TACTCTTGGTAATACCGTATGGAAAGAAATTTTGGAGGTAGTTAAATTTGGTGAATTTGGCGTTTTGATAGCCATTCGCCAAAATAAAAATTTGCCATTTTGAGCCATTATACGCATGATCAATGGCACATGGCCACAAATTCACCAATTAAAATTCACCAAATTAAAATTTGCCAATCATCCAAAATTTAGCAATTCGCCAAAATTTAGTCCCTCCAAAATTTCCTTCTGTATGGTACATGTACATCTCTCACCCTCCATTTAATGATGGACCCCTAATTCTCTCTTTATTAACAGGTATATGAGTTTAATGGAGACGATAGTGCCATACCATTGACTGCTGACATTCACCCTATTAATAATGATTTAATTATTATCGGTTATAATAATGGGACGACAAGATTCATTAACTTATATAGTGGGAACGTTCTCTCTGAACACAAGTATTCAACTATTGCATTTTTGTTGTTTTATTTTATTATTTATTATTTTATTCTAGACACGAGGGCTCAGTTAAAAGTGTGTTGTTCACTAAAAATGGCAAAAAGTGTTTTGTGAGTGACAGCAACGGCTCATTGTACTTATATAATGAAGCTACTAATAATAACTATATATTAATAACCACACTGGGTTAGTATACTAATAATAATAATAATGTGTTTACTTGTATTTTGTAATCTCTCTCTCTCTCTCTCCAGACAGTATAGTTTGTTCTGGAAAGCTTATGATAAATGATGATGATACCCTGCTTGGTTTTATTGGCCCATTGCCATCAATTGTCTCAATATATTCTATAAAATCATTACAACTGGTAAGAATATGTTTTATTAATAGTAATTAATCATTATATTCTAGTCGGTTCATATTGATGTTTCTGTTGGAGAAGGTAACAGTAACTTGTTACCTGTTGATGCCTGCTTCACTAGTAATGAGATTAATCATATCGTAATACTGACCAATCAGAATAGAGTATTGAAGTACAGTGCTTTTAATGGACAATTTATTTCCCAAGTAATTAATAATAATAATAATAATAATAATAATAATAATAATAACAACACTTATTCTTTTCTCAGTATACTCCTACTCATCATGCTTCATGTGTCTCAGTTATTAATAACTCATTAATAACTGGAGGAGCTAGCGGTGAACTATCAGTCAGTGATTATCATACAAGAGGTGAAGACCAGGTAGGATGGTGTGGGTGTGGTTATTAATATTATGTGCATTAATTAGAATTATATTGGTACAAGTGGGCGTGTCACTGGATTATTAGGTTATTCAAATTATTTGATATCAGCCTCAGGAAATGCATTATGTCATTGGATACTGACTCCACCTACTGAAAAGATGACCCCGCCCACTAATGAGTTGACTCCGCCTATTAATACTTCACTTGTTTGTGGTCCTTGGCCAAATGTAGAGTCATTGACCACGCCCACTTCTAATGAAACTGATGAAATATTGATATCTCGTACGCCTCATGGAGGGGTGGAGCTTACTTTGACCACACCCACAGATAAACCACGTGATGTTGTAGTTGCCAGTAAACCAAAGGGTTCTTATATTTATAACCAGCCACTTTATTCTAAACCACACCCACTTTTATCAACCAACCAGCCCAGTATGTCTCTACAGAATGTTCATGGTTACAATAACGCAGGACGTAATAATGTGAAATGGATATTTAAAGAAGGTTAATTATTTTATTATTATTATTAATATGGTGTCAATACTATAGTACAGGGATTTTGGCCAAATTTTGCCAAAAATGAAAAGTAGAGAATTTTTCATTTTTATGATATTTTCTGATGCATATACATGTACTTATGTTGTGCAGAAAGTTTGAGCTGATTCCGATCAAAATTAGATTTTTTATGATTTTTTAAAGTTACTCAAAAATCGGGCCAAAGTCCCTGTACTATAGTACAGGGATTTTGGCCAAATTTCGCCAGAAATGAAAAGTAGAGAATTCTTCATTTTTATGATATTTTCTGATGCATATACATGTACTTATGTTGTGCAGAAAGTTTGAGCTGATTCCAATCAAAATTGAATTTTTAATGATTTTTTAAAGTTACTCAAAAATCGGGCTAAAGTCCCTGTACTATAGTACAGGGACTTTGGCTAAATTTCACCAAAAATGAAAAGTAGAGAATTTTTAATTTTTATGATATTTTCTGATGCATATACATGTACTTTATGTTGCATAGAAAGTTTGAGCTGATTCCGATCAAAATTGGATTTTTAATGATTTTTTTAAAGTTACTCAAAATCCCTGTACTACAGTACATGATCTTCAAAAATGACTTGTAGAATTTCCTGGTACATGTACATGCAGCAAGAGTACTCTAGCATGTAGTTATGATTCTCTTTATATTGTAGGGTTAATTGTGTATTCCAGTGGTAGTACAATCATTATTAACAATTTAAATACTCTTTCTAATCAATCAATGCTAACTGGTCATAACACTGAAATATCAACAGTGGCTTTATCACATGATGGGTGGAGCCTTGTATCAGCTAGCCACTCCCACAAAAACTGGCCGTGTGAAGTTAGAATATGGGATATTGATACACATAAATGCACTAAGGTGAATTATAACAATTTCTGTTGTCATTTCCGTCATTTTTTTTAGATATTAAATATTCATGAAATTGGTGTCATTGCTATGGAATATTCTTTCGACGATCGCTATCTTTTATCAGCTGGTAATAAATTAGTTAATTAATTGATTTAACGTTTATTATTTTAGGTGAAGATCATGTACTATCTGTATACTGTATTAGCACTGAAATGATTATTATTAACATTAAGACGACTGAGTTGATTAACGCCATTGCTTGGGACCCCATCAATGCTTACGAGTTCAGCAGCATCAGCAAAGATGGAGTTACATTTTGGATATTGGAAGAAAAGTCAGGAACACTACAGACACATAAACCAACCGCTAATGTCAAAGAAGTATAACTATCAGTATAAATAAACAGTGTCATTATTATTGTGTCTTGTTGTTAGATGACTGGTCTCTGTTACTCTACTAGTAATTACCTTTTTACTGGAGGGAGAGATGGTAAAGCTATAGGTTTACAATACAATATTAACTTATGTATAATGCCTGCTGTTGATGTATATTAGGATCTCTAAGTATTTGGAATACTAATAATAACGATTGTATATTCAGCTGGAACACAGGCTGTCGGGAAATAAGTTAGCCATAATTAACTCATTAGTCTTACTCATCCATATAACTGTTGTATGGTTGTATAATTGTTGTAATTGTTTATGGTATACTGTAGGTTGTATGGTTGCTAATAGTAATAAGGTAATGGTTGGTAGTCCTGATGGGTTGGTTCAGTTATGGTTGATTGATCCCTCAGACCCCAGCCCCACCTCTATACTGGACCATTCATTGTATGTGGTGGGTGGAGCTTACTCTCTCTCTTTTAACCCTCAACTAACAATGGTACATAATACCTCATTAATATTCATAGACTCATTAATATTCATAGGGTTTAATTGGTTGCCTCTCTATATTTTTCGTGAATTGGGCTGAAAGGGTTTCCTCCGATTTGATGTTCAGTCACCATGGTAACGTGAGGAGCATGGCTTATTCGTCTGATGGGCGTGTCTTTGGATCATGTGACGATCATGTGACCAATCTATGGGCCACTAGCGACTGGACAAATCTATTACAATTTAAATCAAAAAATGTACTTACACGTACATGTACATGTATTTTATGTTCCATTATAGGTTGCTACGGCAATAGAGTTGATTGACCACGCCCACCAGTACCTGTGTGCCATTGGGTACACTGACGGTTCAGTGACTGTCTGTAATATAACGAGTGGGCGTGTACTGACTACTCACCGCCCACACAAATCAGAAATTAGAAAATTAATGTCATCTGCTAGAGGTAATGATCATGACATCATTATTACCATCGTTACTAATAATAATTTTGCTAGAGACCTCATTATTACTTGGTTATTCTGATGGACTATTGCTCTCCATTGATGCTTATAATGGAAACGTTAATTATAAAATATCTTCACACGAGGGAAGAGAAATCACCGATTTGGACCGCAACCTTTTTAAAGTTGGAGTAAGAACATACCCAATCTTCTTATGCAGCTATTGACTCACTCCTTTCCTCTCTCTTTCTCAGTTACCTGGTGTTGTTAATGTCAACGAAGAGATATGGTTGATATCAAGTGTTGATCAGCGTATCAGTGTCTGGATCAATAATACACTATTGGACTGGATTACATTTCCTTCTTCCAACAAACAAGTACATGTACATGTATCAACTTCACCATCAACATCATCATCATTATTATAGTTACAGTATCAATCTAATTCTTCAATACCAACGTTAAGTCGTTTTTCCCCCACTGAGCCAGATGTTATCATATACTCTGGCTATGGATCTGAGAAATGTTTATACACGTACAGTTTAACTCAGAAAAGGGTTAGTATATTAAGATATAAAAGCCAGTATTGATTACTTTAAATGAAATAGGTATTCAAGAAATTGCAAATTAATTACTGGCCTATTTGTTTATCTGTATCTCCGATCAGCCAGCTAATAGCAATTGGCTCAAGAGGTTGTTGTTATTGTTTTTATTTTAATAATGTTGTTATTGTTATTAATTATTAGAGCAAGTCATTATGCTAATCGATTGCGATGGAGCGTATCATGAAAGCTCCACTCACTGTGATGCTGTGTCAGATGTAGCATTCTCTCCTAGTGGAGGTCAATTAGTATCATCAAGTCAAAATACGCATCACATTTGGTCATATTGTAAGTAAAATAAGTTATTATTATTAACATAAATAATACATTTATTTAATTATTAATATTCGAATAAAAAAGAATGTACGGGGTTGAAGAGTTGTTAGAAGGCGAGAGGAGAGACTTTACGAAACTTTTTGAAACCTCGGTGACATATTGATCATCAAACATCAACCAATTACTATTATTATTATTATTATTTGCTTTTTTAATAATACTGGTATAATGGCCACTGTAACTGCTTGATCCAGTATGCAATATAATACAATACAGTTCATACATGTTACTCTTGTTACTGCTACTAGTGATCATGTTAAAGGATGTGTATAAAGGTATCGCTATGTTCCCAGCCGCTTTCACCTGCTGTCCGGAGAAATGCTTTAAATGTATTGCCATTATTTTAGGTAATTCATGTATGACGGTTCTATGCGTTGCCTCTGTCAACTGGAGGCAACTCTTACAGTAGTATTTATTGCATTCTCTTAAATATTCAACCGAAGAGAACTGCGAAAGAGACCAAGATAGAGAATAGGCTCCACAGTAACTGCTGTCTCCTTTGCTAAGGACGGGTATACTTAGCATGTTAAACGACTCTTCTCTCGTCTGTATCTCTTCACACGTGTAACACTTTGTCTCCTGGACTAGCACGCCTTGAAATATACTACCTGGTAATTGGAGTGAGATGGGAGGGGCTGGGGGCGGGGACTCGGGTGTGGTTAATTTAGGTGAAAAGAAGCACGATATTTTTTGATTTCCTTTAAGGATTTTAACTGGAGGAGGGAGAGGGTTGTGATCGTCGTTTGATAGCGTCCTTTTTCTATTTTTAGTCGTGAGAGAGTCGAGAAGGATGCTTAAGCACTCCTGGCTGTCATGTTGGATGCCATTCTCGAAATAACTACCTCTACATAAAGGAATTAATGAATTTATTATTGGAGTGTCTAATCACGTTACATACTGTAATTTCTCTATTAAACTGACTGGGATGACGACGGTTCCCATTCCTCTTTCCGGAACGTTCATTTGCAATAATAACTAAAAAATAAATATTAATAATTAAAATAAAAATTAATGAATTCAAGTGACGTCATTCTCACTTCTCTTAGACAGTAATAAATAGACTCGTCTCCACTTCCACCCTATAATGATAATAACAACAACAACAATTAATAATTACTTAACAGTATTAATTTCTTTAATTACTTTATATTTAATTATTAATTCCATCAATCCAGGTGTGTGTTCCAAAGCCTGTATAACAGCATTAGCATAGCAGGTGTAACCCAAGTTACTGAGACCACAGTAAGGAAGGACTGCTCCTTCTTCCTCTCTCTCTGTCTCTTTCTGACAGCTCCTCTTAGTTCCTCTCCCTTTCTTTAAGGACAATATCTTTTTCTTTCCTCTTTCGGCGGCCATTTTGAAAACAAAGGCGGGTGAATTACGCGGCAATGCAACAACTTGATGAGTTGTCACGTGACATCATGAATATTAATTAGTTAGTTAATTAACACCTCTATCTCTCGTGGAGGCAGTGGGAGCTGTTATTTTTTCCTCTTCTTGGCAGCCTTTCTCTCTCCCTTCTATACTCTTCTCTTTACAATAAGACCCTGTGATGGGTAAAGGGAATGATCTCCTTCACCTCCTCAAGACGGGAAACTCAGGCGAGGCCCGCAAGCTTGTCGCTAAGATGAAAAAACAAGGTCAGGAGTTACTATCATAGTGTCACATTCCTCCTTTTCCCTCCCTCCCTCCCTCTCTTTATCTTCCTTTCTAAATGTCATTCACTGTCTGATTGCATTCATACAAAGGTGCCTCGAGTCATTAATTGATGTATATACATGTACATTGTTTATTGATGATGTTTATGATTCCAGGGCTTAATGTATTCTTGTTTGTCTCACTGTTGTGATATAATTATAATGTATTATTATACACAAATAGAGGCTGTTTACATTGTTTAATAAGTATGTGTATCTTATATACAATTATTGATATTGTATAGGGAAAAAGAAATTCTTAGCAGCTGTCAATGAGCAGGATGAAGAGGGGTAAACACTTAGCAGCAACCTTTGTCACTTTTACCCTCCCCCCTCTCTCTCTCCTTTCCTTCCCGTTAGCTGTACAGCCCTTCATTACAGTGCTGGATTTAATTTCCTTGATTTTATTGAAGAATTTCTTGAAGCTGGGGCAGTCATTAATATAGAGGACAATAGAGGTACATGTACGAACACCAGCTGCACAGACACACACTCTATGTCTAGTCTCTTTTTACTAATGACACCACTGGCAGTTTTGGCACCACGTACAGTCGTTCACTACTTGTACCTCACTACAGAGGTGTCCCCATTATTGGGGTAGGCTTGTACCAATTGGGACACTACAAAATGTCCTCATTATAAAAGTGTCCTCATTATAAAGGTGTCCTTACTGTATGTGTCCTATTATAAAGGTGTCCTTCCTTATTATAGAGACACAGAAATATTTACACTTATTCCTCATTAGGTGCTACACCATTGCATTTAGCAGCTACTAATGGTCGCTGTGAAGCTGTTTCTATATTACTAAGGAGAGGAGCTGATCCTAATATAGTAACACGTGTTGGCGACAGCCCGTTACATGCAGCTGCTCAAAATGGACACACTGAAGTGGTAAAAACGAGCAAGCATGCATTTTTATACTAATAATAATAATAATAATAATAATAATAATAATAATAATAATAACAATAATAATAATAATAATAATAACAATAATAAATGATATATTATTACACGCATGTATGTGTAGGTTGAGTATTTAGTAAAAGATCATGCAAGATGTACATTGCTGAATGTCTCTGGGCAGTCGCCATTAGATCTTGCTTGTCAGCATGGTCACACTAACTGTGTCGCTTATCTTCTTCACTCCGGACAGTTTAGCCCCCAGAAGCAGGAGACGGTTCAAAATGCTTTGAAACTCGCCTCAAAGCACGGCCACACCCACGTGTTGAAGTACGTGTGTGTGTGTGTGTTTAGAAGAAGCGTAGAAAGAGAAACATGAGAGGAGAGATTAAAGAGATAATTGAAGATAATGATTGCTTGTTTGTTGGCCACTGGCCTTGTTTTGTTGTCCATTGTCTTTGTAAACTGTCCATCAATCAAATAACATCAAATGCACAGCAAGTAGTGATAATGGTCCTTTGAATTTACAAATATAAGTTGTATCTCTCTCTCTCTCTTTGTCCTTCTCTCCCTCCCTCCCTCTCTCTCTCCCTTTCCCTCTTAGTCTACTAATAAGGTATGGGTTTGATATAAACCGTGTCCTGCCTGGTGCCCACGGTACTTGTCTACATGAAGCAGCTCTTTACGGTAAAACTGAGACAGTACATTATCTGTTGCAGTGTGGAGCAGACCCATCAGTAAAGAACACACAAGGACTCACACCACTTGATATTGTGAATCACTATACGGACCCAAGGAGTGCACACCAACTGAAACAGATACTACAAGGTAGAGAAGGAAGAGAGAGAGAGAGTACATATTAATTAAATAATGGATCTGTTCCTCAGATGCTGTTGCTAATCAAATCAGAACCAGTGGCCAGAGAGTGGGAGGAGTCAGTCATCAACAACAAACCACAACTAATAGCACTAGTAGTGGAACAACAGCTGCTCAACAAATGTACACACAATACTATCAGCAGCAACAACAGCTACAGCAGCAACAAGCAGGAGGAGGATCTAGAGGAAACTATACTGGTCATCCTCAGACCCATACTGGTTATGCTCAGACCCATACTGGTTATGCTCAGACCCATACTGGCCATCCTCAAACCCATACTGGCCATCCTCAAACCCATACTGGCCATCCTCAAACCCATTCCAGTCCTCATACTGGCCATCCTCATGCTCATGCTGGCTATTCTCAGACCCATACTGGCCATTCTCAAGCCCATGCTGGTTATGCTCAAACCAATACTGGTCATCCTCAGGCCCATACTGGTCATCATCAGACCCATGCTGGTCATCCTCAGACCCATGCCGGTCATCCTCAGACTCATACCGGTCATCCTCAGACCCATGCTGGTCATCCTCAGACCCATACTGGTCATCCTCAGACCCATACCAGTCATCCCCAGACCCATACCGGCCAGCCTCAGTCCTATACTAGTCAAAGTGGTGGCGGTAGTCCTAAAGTGGGTGCGGCCTCATTGCCAGGTGGTGATTTTGCGTCCATGATTGCTGGTAAAGTTGCTAGCAGGAATCAAAGAAGAGAAGAAGATCAAGTCATGATGAGAAGCTCAACAATGGCTACTGGGACCCAGAGGTAATTAATAATTAATTAATTAATTGATTAATTAATTAATGTGTTAATTAGGCCTGTTATTGATAAAGCTGCATTATTAAGAAAAAGGCGGAGTTATTCAGATGAATCAGAAGCAACTGAGACCATACCTTACAGTAGTAACCCACCTACTCTACCGAGACGTACTCATGCTGGACCGCCCACTTTTAAACCAGTTCCCCCTCCAGCCACTTCACCAGTACCAGGCTAGTTACGAGTACACATAGCAGCTGCCTCTGTATTATTATTCTATTAATACACATAATGTATTGTGTTATTGTAAGGGAACTTTTGCATCTATTTCAGACAAGCTTTTCACCTTGTTTTTGACTAGTTTTAGGATGAATTCTAGTCCTCAATTAAAATTACCCACTGTGTAATGCACTTTAATAGAATAACAACAACAATAATAATACTAATAATAATATTATTATTAATTGATTAATAGGTGATACCCAACCGTCCCCAGTTCTAGGCAATGCCTCGTTGCCGTTAGGTGAAGTTAAGTTGAAGAAGATTTCATCTGTACCTGCTCCAGCTCAAAAAGAGGAGCCATCTTTCGAGAACGAATTACTTAAAAAACTAAAAAGGCGTCAAGAAACCATAGACACGCCTCCAGCAGCTGTAGAACAACCACCCACTCAATCTAACCCGTTAAACGAATCAGCACCTGCCCCTCCTCCCACACAGCAGGAGACCACACCCACTCATCAACCGCCAGTAAGTTACAGTATACTCCTACTGTCTGTGTTTGTATCATCATATTGCAATACTGCACTGTATTTGGTGTTTGTTATGAATTCCTGTATTCTTTAATTTAATAAAATATTGACAGTTATCTTATAAATCTATGATCAATTAATAATTGCATTTTTGTGCTTAATATTTATAATGTTAATAATTTTATTTATTATTTTATTAATAGTCACCTGTAAAGCCAGCTCCTAAGCCAAAGCCTAAACCAAAGGGTAAAGTTGATCCTCCTCCTCCGCCTGCAGCAGCTGCTGTGGAGGCACAGACAGGACCAGCTCCTTTATCGTGGCAGGAGGAGATAGCAAAAAGAAAGTTACAAAAGGAGAAGGAAGAACAGCTTAGAAGAGAAGAGGAAGCCAAGAGAGAGGAGGAGGAGAGAAAGAGAGAGGAAGAGAGAAGGGCAGAAGAAGCAAGGAGAGCAGAGGAGGCTAGGAAGATAGAGGAAGCTAAGAGATTACAAGAAGAAAAGAGAATTGAAGAAGAGAGAAGGGCAGAGGAAGCAAGGGTAGCTGAAGAGGCCAGGAAGAGAGAAGAAATCAGGAAAGCTGAGGAGTTAAGAAGGGGAGGGGGACCCGGGCCTAGTATTAATAAATCTCCGCCTAAACCACGTCCTAAGCCTTCTAAAGCTCCTGTACCACCTCCGGTCACTACTGCCCCTCCCCTCAATAATGCCACGCCTTCTAGTAGTGCCACGCCTCCTAGCAGCGCTGGTATTGTGTTACCAGCAGCTATGATTGGACCAGGTGGAGGAGGAGGATTCATTTCATTGCCGTCGTCAATGATCGGACCGTCTTCTAACGGAATCCCACCCAGTGATCCCACGCCTACTGGCGTGATCTCAACTAGCACTTCTGCACCAGTAACTGCTCCTGTATCTACTCCAATTAATACCCAGAGTGCTCCTAATATTTCTGCTCCAAGCGTTCCTATACCAACTCCAATTAATGCCCCCAGTGACGAGAAGGAGTCCAGCCCATTACATGCTCTTAAGGAATTGGATAGACCAGCCACGCCTTCAAGCGAACATCAAAGTAATAATTATTATTTTTAAAAATAATTTATTATTATTTTTAATTTTAGTGTCCCGCAGTACCAGTCTTAGTTCCATACAGTCGGTTCCTATTTCAGCTACAATGGTAATGTATTACTACATGTACTACATGTACATTTGTATATGCATTTAAAATGGAATACATTTTTTTAATGGTCGTAACTTAAAAAATATTTGTCGGAATCAGCTCAAACTTGCTACATAGCATAAGGACATCAATATCTATCAGAAAATGTAATAAAAATTTGGGGTATTTTGGAGCCATTTTTTGGAAAAAAACCATGGGCTATAGCCTTGGGTATTTTTTAAAAACTGACCCATTTTAAAAAATGGTCATAACTTGAAAATTTCTTATCAGAATCAGCTCAAACTTTCTACACAGCATAAGGACATTAATATGTATCAAAAAATGTAATAAAAATTGGGGGTGATTTCGGAGCCATTTTTTGGAAAAAACCATGGGCTATAGCCTTGGGTATTTTTCAAAAACTGGCTGATTTTTTAAAATGGCCATAACTTGAAAAATATTTGTCGGAATCAGCTCAAACTTTCTACACAGCATAAGTACATCAATATGTATCAGATAATGTAATAAAAATTGGAGGTGATTTCGGAGCCATTTTTTGGAAAAAACCATGGGCTATAGCCTTGGGTACTTTTTCAAATTTTGACGTTTTCTTAAAATGGCTGTAACTTGAAAAATTGAAGTTGGAATCAGCTCAAACTTTCTACACAGCATAAGGACATCAATATGTATCAGAAAATGTAATAAAAATTGGGGGTGATTTCGGAGCCATTTTTTGGAAAAAACCATGTGATATGTTAAACAGCTATATACATGTACATGTACCTGAGCTCTTCCTCTTTCTCCTTTACAGCCTCAGTCGGCATTTGAGTGTATCCCAATAGCTGAATGGCTCAATAGTTACAAGTTACAAGAATACGTCTCATTACTGGAGTCTGCAGGCTATGACAACACCGACTTTCTACTGGGTACTACTGCAGAGGTACTTTATTCCAATTAATGCCCGCTTTATTTGATTCTTATTAATGCCCATTTATAGGAACTTTCAGAACTTGGCGTGACTAAAGTCGGCCATCGTAAGAGGATTCTATCCGCTTTGAGCCAGCTGATTGCAAAAGAACATTTCTTGACATTTAAACCAGTGAGAAAAGCAGACTATTATTATTATTATTATTATTATTATTATTATTGTTGTTGTTGTTGTTGTTGTTGTTGTTGTTTATATAGTCTAGTGTAGCCGAGTGGTTACAGCAGTTAGGACTGAGTGCTTATGAGACCTTGTTGATAGAGTCTGGCTATGACGACATTGAATTTATAACTTCAGTCACCAAAGAAGAACTGGTTGAGATTGGCATTGTTAAAAAAGGTACAATACGTGTATATTATATGTATTATTTATTTTATTTATTTATTGATTTATTTATTGTTCATGTATTATTCATTTGTTGTCAGGTCATATTAAAAGGTTCGAGAGAGGCATAAACGAGTTAAACGAGTTACTAAAGACCGAGACAGTCACCTCTCCTTACCCGTCTACTAATTATCACATTCCGTTGCCAAGCTCTCCCTCTCACAGTGTTTCTAATCTATCTTCTTCTTCGCAGAACTTTGAGAGCACTCGCGCTTCATCTATAATAACGGAGCCGGAAGGAGGTGTGGTCAGAGATACAGAGGTAAAGCCTCGTGCTAGCAGTGACGTCAGTAAGGTCTCAAATAATGCGTCAAGTGTTGATTCAGGTATTGAAGTAGCCGAGAAACGTAAGAGTGTGAATTTTAATAAAATGAAACATTTACTTGAGAAGAGAATGGGAATACCAGTGACTGGTGAAGTTACAGTCGATGATGAGAATGACGATGATGAATGTACCCCTTGTCCCTCTCCTCCCCCACCTGTAGTAGCCCCGCCCACTGCCAAACAGGCAAGACCTTTATCTACTAATATGTCCGATAAGTCTAAATCCGGCGGACCACCTCCTCCTATTCCAAGACGAGCCGTTTCCACAGTACTGACGGGCAAGGAAAGTCCTTTGCTACAGAATCAAGTTATGACTAACAATGATAGCACAGATCAAGGGAATGGTAAGTAAAACGCTAAATTTAATAGTAACCATGATAATTAATAATGTCGTTAAATGTAGAGGGTTTGAATGTTAATTTAAAGTGACGCATAATTTTATTATTTTTATTATTATTATCATTGTAGATGCCACTCCTACACATCTTTATAGAACGGAGGATATTGATGGCGTTTTAGACGGGACTCCTCCTCCTCCTCCTCCTCCTAAAGAGGTCAAGAGATCAGCTTCACTTATACCGGAACTTGACGCATTAGAGAGCGTCCTTCAAGGATTCAATCAACCAGGGGACGAAGAATCTGGAGCTCTATCTGAGGAGGAGGAAGAAGAGTAATGATGATTATAACTGTACCTTGTGTAGTAGCACCTTATATCATATTATATCACTTTCCTTTGTGGCTTTTATTCAGTGCTGGTTTGTGGTCAATCTTGTGCTTGTCCATGTTTTAAAACTCTCAGAAATAAAAAATGCAATTTTCATATTAAAATTGTGAAATTGAAGCACTTGTAATGATTATTGTTATTTTTTCTCTCTCTACATTAGGTCAAATAAAACTGACCAGCTATTGGCAGATATTGATGACATGTTAGCCGATCTCAATGATCACCTTGACGTTATGATTCCAGGATCAAAATAATACTTGATATTGATTATATTGAATAATATTATAATAGACACTATTTGAGTTTGAAATCAGTTAAATTATACAATTTATTATTGTTGTTATTTTGTGTGTGTTGTTTGGGGTCTTTTTATTTGAGATCTTTAGTGTGTCATTGTTTTTAAATAATTGTAAAAATGGACATCTTACCGTACAAAGTTTTAAAATGCCCGGCAAACGTTCCTGCGCATGCGTAAACCTACGGTCACTATGGTTACGCGAACTTGAATAACAAAACAAGTTTAACAAGGGAGCAATGGCTGCTGTAGAAGCTAAACCAAAGTCTGTACGTCGTGCGAAGTACTGGGACGAGAACGTTGAAGAAGGTAACCTACACTGTGCTATAGTAATGTCTGACCTCGCTGCAGCTTATAGGTTTCAGCTAGCAGGCTATAGAGATGAAATTGAATATTCAAAATTTCATCCACAAGAAGTGGTAAGTATTATCATTGATCTCTATCATCAATTTCTCTTCACTTTGTGATAGATTGATCGTTGGCCTCATAACAATTATATAAAGAAGCTGAAAAGACGAAACGATGGTTTATTTTATTACTATAACAAAGAGAGGGAATGCCTGGACAAAGAGATACATAAAATCAAACTCTACACTCATTAGAAGATAAGAAAGGAAGTGAAGAGAGGGAACTGCTACACTTCTGCATCATAATCAATCCTCTGTCTCTTTTCTCTTTTAACAAATAATTCTTTTGATTCTATTTCATTTGTTAACTCATCAATCCTGGCCCTTAATCTCTCATTACTTGCTTCCAACTGAGCCGGAGAGAAAGAAAGAGCATTAGTTAGTATAATGATAGCTAAGTCTTTTACTTCAGTAACTTGTTCTTTCAACACAGAATCTGCTCCAATGTCAAGTTTATAAGAATTAAGTATATTAATGCAGCCTTCTCTTTCCTATGCCAAAAACAATTAACAAGAAATTATTCCTATTAGCTCGTACCTTAGCAATCAACTTGTTCTTTCTTTCCAGTTTTTGGATAGTTTCATTCTTAATTTCTATCTCAGACTAGTGATGATTATAATTGAAGCCACACCTTTCCCGTAAACTTACATTTAACTTTGTCATTTCTTCTTTCAGATGCTCGATTTCTTGAGTTAATTTTCTGTTATTGTTATCAGAAATAGTTAATTTTGTTTCCATTTCTGAGAGCTTTGTTGCTTGGATTATATCTTTTTGTTGAAATTGAATCAACTGTAACTTCATCAAAGATGGCGACCTGATATATAAAGTTATTTATAGTTCAGATAAAATGCAGTATTTCTTCATTTTTATTACATTTATCAGAACTCCTAAATGCAATAAATACAATAACAGAACTACCTTAGGGGAGTTGCTCCTCCTTCTATAGAGTATGACTCTAATTGCTCTTTCATGAGCTACAGTAGTAACATATTAATAATTATTAGTATTATTATAGCATTATTTTTATTGTACTTTATTTTCTGTCACCAATTCATTATAGTCAACTTGAGCTGCTTCAAGTTTAGCTACTTTATCTCGCAAAGTATGCAGTTGATATATCAATAAATCGTTATTATCTACACGGCCTCTGAAAAAATAATAAAAATTAGAAAAACTTCTCTCTCTCTCTCATTTACTTTAATACTTCATTTTCTTTGGTTAAAGTATTGTTTAGTTGTTCAAGGTCACTATAATCAGATAATCTCTTCCTTGAGATGCTCACTAGTCTGTGTTCTTCATCCATCTCTCTCAATTTTCTGTCCAACTCTTTCACTTTCTCCTGCGATTTTGACAACTGTCTAGCAATATCATCGCATTCCAGTATTTTGTTATGAAGTTTCTGCACATTACTATAATAAAGTATAATAAATAAGTCATCTAATGTGTGCACTAACAGTTTTGATGTTTCTTCTAGTTTCTTCATTTCTTCACTCATTAGCTGCTTCTGGTCCTCAATCAATTCTAACCTAAAATGGCTGCAAAATAAATTATCATCATCATCATTACCTTTTCTTCAAATATCCATTTTCTTCTTCCAGTGAAGTTTTCTCTAATAGAACCTAACACACAAAAATGAAAACTAAAAAATTGTCATCATCAAGTTGCTTTATAAGTACATGATTCAGCTCTCCTTTTATTTCAACAAGATGATCACTAGTTGCAGTACCACCAGTGGTCGATTGACTATTAGATTCGTATAAAGAAGATTCCTTTAAACTTGTTAGTTGAGATATTAGCTCACGACGCTCTTGCTCTAACTAAAAGAAATAATTTTAAAATTACAAAAAACAACAGTGACAAACAAAAACTCGTAATACTTTATGATTTCTTGTTAAAAGTTTGTGATATTGCTCTGTCATTTCTTCTGAAGGAGAGAGGTGAAGAAGTTCATCTATTTCTTCATCATCAACATCCAACTCGTCATATTCAAGGATTTCTCCAACCTCCTCTTCATTGGTAGACATCTTGTTTCTGCTCTGCCTTAGCCACACCCACTGTTTAGTGTTTATTAACGAATATTAAAGTTATAAAAATTACCAAGACAAGAGATTATTTTCTTCAATATTAAAAATATCTTTGGTAGTTTTTCTTTTCTTTTTTACATTTTCAATGGACACTACTCCAGATCTACCACGCTTTCTCTTCTTTGCAAGAATAGGCTTAGCCTCTTTCTTCATTTCACTATCATCTGATGCTGCTTCATTTACAGCTGGTCGAGTTTCTGTTACTTTTGTTGTGATGGCTGCTGCTTCTTCTGGTTTTAGTTTAATCTCAGCAACTGCTTCTTCTCTCATTAGTTTTCCTAACTTAAATCCATCTAATACATGTAACCGAGGCAACCAGCGTCTAATCTATAAACAAACTTAAACAAATATTATAATCACTATAATTACCTTATCTGTGTATTCAGTGATTGGGTTTCCCTTTAGATTAAGGTTCTTTAAGTTGGTCAGCGATTTAAGGCAATCCACACAACTGATGGAATTCTGTCCTAAATCAAGAATTTGAAGTCTAAAAAACAAAATAAAACAAAATAAAATGATGATTGGATTACCTTTTATTATACTGTATGTCTTGAGGTATGTATGCGATATTATTACCAGTTAATCTTAATTCTAACAATAAACTGTTGCCCTAATAATAAAAGTAAACATTAATGAGCATACATAACCAGCTAACAGCTGCTACATGTTAGTACAATAGAGTTTATAGTTACATAAAGTAATATTTTGTACAAGTAACCCTTCAATAGCACAGGGACCCATTCATTCTTTCTATCTAATTATAACTGATGATTGTACAGTAGTGAATATTATTACCTTTGTGCTTGGTGCTGTAGCTAGTTTATTGAATGATAGTGATAACTTGGTGAGATTGGATAATGAGGTGACATCAATTGATTCAAATAAATTATTAGATAATACTAAAAAATAATAGTAATACTAAACAATAATAATAATTTTATTTTTATTTTTTATTTATTTATTTATTTTTAATAATGATTAACAATAATAACAGTACAGATAATAACAACAACAACTGTGATAAAGGTAAAAATAGGACAGAATTGTAGAATAGGTTAGGAGAGAATAAGGGAAAGATAGTGGAAAGTAAAGAATAGAGCAAAGAGTTTTTAAAGCTTACAAATAAAATAAAATATACTATAAATTTTGTTATAATAATAATAGTAATAATCACCCTCTCTTACTTAGTGTGTTAAGATCAACTAGCATAGAAAGTGAAGGTAGTTTAGTTAATTGGTTATCATTTAATATCAGGGCCTTTAGATCTATCATAGCTGATAATTTAAAACTAATTAATAACAACTCACTTGTTAATTTCATTATATCATCACAGCTTGTTAAAGAATTATGACTTGCATTTAATACTAATAATTACAATAATAATAATAATAATAATAATAATAATCATTACAATCTTACCGACTAAATTTCTCAAATGTTCTATGCCTCTAATTGATACGAGCATATTATATGATAAATTTAGCCACGTCACAGAAAAAAAACTTCCTAAAATTAATTATATAATTATAATAATTGATATTAATTTACTTATTCCTTTCATATTAATTAACTTATTATGAGAAACATTAAGCTTCTGAATATCTGAGCTCTTCCTAATAAATAAGATCACGTGATGCTGGTATTTTGTCCTTACTCAAGATCCTTTAGAGTAGCTAGTTCTTGTCTTGAGGCTGTTAGCGTATTTTTCTCTTCTTGTTTTGCTGTAGCCATTTCTAGCTATTATACATCTACATGTGATCAACTGGGCGTGGCTGAATCCAACACCCACGCATAGATTAATGCTGATAGTGATAAAGATCAGATGACCTTAGATGAAAATGAGGCAGAGAAGACAAAGCGTGAGGATTATTAGCATCGTATCTGCTCTTCTCTTTATCTTTCTTTACACTGGCTTTAAAAATGGAGGGAGAGATGGGCTCAGTCTCAGTAATAGTGACATTCAGCCAGAACTAGCTACCACACGGAAGTTACTTGGATTTGGTCACAGTTCTGCGCCAATCTGTCAGTCGGATTCTGATAATGGCGGGGACCAGGACAATGCTAACTGCTCTCATCCTTTGCATAAAAACAATTCTTGTCAATTCGTTAAAGATAATTGTGGAGATGATGTAGCCCTCTTCGACTATCTGGCCTTTGTCGCCTGCTCTCTTCATCATGTGAAAGTAGAGCCGATCTATTGTAAACTGTTATTGTTTATCTTTAATTTTATGTAGCCGATAGCTTATATTATATTAGCATTATGGCTGGTGTATCTCATTTCCTTGTTAGCGACGACAGTAAGAGAGAGAGAAAGGAGGAGGAGGAGAAAGAGTGGTGAATCTTGCTAATGATATTCATACTTTTTCCTTCACAGGCTGATTATTTTTTTGTACCACCTCTTAATTTACTATCCGATAAACTGAAACTGTCCCCAAGTATTGCTGGAATTACTCTGTTAGCTATTGGAAATGGTAAGCTCATTTTTGGGCGGGGCTTGTCTGATAATTGCTATAGTCTAAATTTTGAGCAGCTGCTTTAAAAATTCGTAAAAAAATCCAAACTTGGTCGGAATGAGCTCAAATTTTCTATGCAACATAAGAACATGTATATGTATCAGAAAAAAATATAAAAATTAAGAAATTTTTCCTTTTCAATTTTGGCGAAATTTGGTCTGAGACCATGTACTATAGTACAGGGACTTTTACCCAATTTTGGAACAACTTTAAAAATTTGTGAAAATGAGCTCAAAGTTTCTACATGACATAAGAACATAATTTCGTTGCCAGTTTTGATTAAAAGCATAAAGATTATTATTTATATTTATTTATTACTAATTAGGTGCTCCTGATGTTTTTACTGCCTTCTCCGCTCTTAAAAATGGAGACCTGCCACTAGTCCTTGGGTCAGTCACAATATAAGATACAGTAACATGATTAAACTCTCCCTCTCCTCTTCTCTCCCTCTCCTCTCCCCCTACTCTATGCAGTGCCCTCATTGGTGCATCAATATTTATCTCGACTGTTGTCTTGGGTAGCGTTATATTAATAACTAAAGTGACCTCAGACACAATAGGTCAGTAAATTATTATTTAATTATTTTATTCAAATTATATATTTCAGATAAGATTGATTTTACTCGTGACGTAGTGGCCTACATTGTGGTTGTAGCTACAGTTATACTGGTAGCTTTTGATGGACTGGTAACACTGAACTGTATTCATCCTGTAGTGATTATTGTTGTTAGGTTGAACTCTATGAAGCAATATTCTTCCCCATTATATACATTGTTTATATAGCAGCTGCTATAATCATAGGATACTTAAGAGTGAGCTGCTATTGTTGTTGATGATGATTGTTGTTTGTTGTTTGTTGTTGTTGTTGTTTGTTGTTTATAGACTGCATGGAAAAAACATAAAGAATCAAAGAATGGAACTAGCATACAGACTGATATTGATAAAGGTGATAGTGCTATAGAATGTGCTGATGAATCAAGGCCATTAATAGAAGGTACGTCAATAGTTATTGATAGTTATCAATAGTTATAAATGGTTATTAATGGCTATTAATAGCGTCCAATAATATACTAGGAACTGAAGTAAAGGAAAAAGAGAAAGAGAGACTGGAACTCGAAGGGTTAACATTTGTGAGTATGATTAATTATTATTCATTAATACCTGTGTTTATTAATTTATTAGCCGAGGGGGCGTAACATTGCCGTAAAGATACAGTGGTTTCTTGAGCTACCTTTCAGCTTGTTGAGATGGATATCTATACCACCTTGCTGCCATGTGAGTCAAACAATCTGATTGGTCGACCATCATTGCCTTACAATAGGACGGTAAATGGTCGGAGTGGCATCGCTGGTTTGCTGTTAGTTCTCCGATTCCAATGATTGTGATACTGGCTATCACAGCTGGTGGCTGGTCTGCTTTTACTTATCCAATTGAATCAACCAAATTCCCACTTATTGTTATATTCTTTATTATAGGTAAAATATACTATTGTGCTTACATCTTATATTTTATTGTTGTTGATATAGGTATAATATTATCAATAGTGTTGTATTTTGTTATTGGTAAGACTAAACCTCACTGGATAGTCCAGTCACTATTAGGACTGGCTGGATTCATCATGTCAATTGCTTGGCTCAACATTGAAGCTAATGAAGTCGTCAGTCTCCTCGAAGCTTTCGGACTTGCTTTTAGCATTGATACAGGTAGGTAAATATAGTATGATATTTCTTCATTTAAATAAACATTTTATTTTTTATTAGCAATCCTTGGTCTCACAGTACTGGCTATTGGTAATTCAGTAGGCGATTGGGTCGCTGACACAGCAGTAGCAAGGGCCGGTGAGCCAGGTATGGGCGTGGCTTCATGTTTTGGGTCTCCCCTACTTAACGATGTCCTGGGTCTCAGCGTTGCCTTGATAGTGAGTATAACTGATAGAACTGACCTCTCTATCTTTCATTCACTGTTATTATAATAATTACGAAAAAATTTATTCATAGATTAGTAGTACACAATTTATCATGCACTGTTAACAGCAAATTCATTTACTATAATTATTACTTATATTTATATTATTTGTATATATTACTATTATCTTGTTTTAGGCAAAGATTGGTATTTATGACAAAGGGAAGTCATTTCCAATTTGCATCCAAAGCAGAGAGTACGTGAAAGTGAAGCTTTCGTGGATATTTTTATCTTTTTCACTTATTCTGAGTGCACTGGTATTCCCACTCTTTAAATTTAGTCCTCCTAGGTAATAATAATAATAATAATAATAATAATTATGGCGTTTTAATGCCTGTATGTGGTCCTGCCGATTTGCTGCTCTTCCTCCGCAAGTCGATGGGCTTGTTTGACTCTTTTATAGTTTCTCTTTTCTCTCCTCTATCCTCTTCTTTCATCCCCTCCTCGTTTATTTTCCTGTCTGCTTTCTGTAGTTCTTCTAATTCTCTAAGGGCCACTCCCTTTTTTTTCTATGTTATTGTTTACCCCTTTGTGTCTTATTGCATAATAATGATAATAATAATAATAATAATAATAATAATAATAATAATAATAATAATAATAATAATAATAAATGTTAATATGTTTTTGTTGTTTATAGGGCATATGGTCTTGTTCTGATATACATCTACATTGTGTTTATGTTATTTTCTGTATTGGATGAATTGGACATATTGAAGTTTTATTATTACTTGTAAAAAGCTTTATTTTTAAATATTTTATAGTAGCTACATGTACATTTGTATGATAATACTACCCAAAAAAGGATAAAGGAGTGGCTTTATAAACTTTAATAACTTGCAATTAAGCACATTCAATTTGAGATTGATCTGAAGATGATTCTTTCTTCTCTTGCCCTCTTTATCTTTCTTTTTCTTGGAAGTAGTGGAGAAGAAAGCTGCAGACATGTCCTAAGGTAAGATACTGGACTCAGTAGAATGAGTTATAGTAGCCTGTGTCACATTTCTTTGCAGCAGTAGATCTAATGGCAGTCCAGCTATTACGAGAATTAATAGAGAAAATAGCACTAGTTGTCAAAATGGAGATATTTTATGGAGTAATCTACTCTCGTCTTCATCGTCACATATAGTTCAATTCACGAAGAATCACTCTCCTTTCTCGCTCTGTCTTCATTATCAGGAGACAGGATTCACTATGGTGCAGTTGAAGGGAAAAGCAAAAAGGGAGATAGGAAGAAGAGGAGAAGGACCTCAGTGTATCCAATCGCACTGTAATCACGTGTCTCTGTTGATCAAAACTAGAAAAGGATCATCATTAAACAAACTGTCTTATTCACTGCGGCCTAGCAATGGTGAGAGTTAAAGTCATACTGCTGTTGTTATTGTCATTTTATCAATGTGCTATCATGTACTATAGATTGTGCAAGATGTTCAGATAGTTGCATGGAAAAGATACTTTGTAGTAGCGATTACAGTAAGTTGAACCTGACTCGTAGTATAATGAGCCTAATGAGAGAAAGAGACAGGTGGGGCTGAGTAAGAGGAGGGGGTTTACTTTTGCTGTCATAACTAATGTCACTTTGATCTCTCTTGCAGTATTTATAGGTCTTGTGAGAAAATCCAATCTGCTATCAGATAATTCTAGTTTATACAAATCATCAATAGAAGTTCAAAACTATCTCAGATACAATAACTCGTATATATTGGATAGTGGAAGGAGTACATGTACAAGATCGCCCTCACAATTTGCACTAAACTCAGAATATGCCATACCGAGTACAGGCATCGTTAGTGTGTTTGGCAAATGCAAGCTAAAGGAGGGCCAGAAGTACTTCATCGGAAGCAATCTGAAGCTAGGATACTTGTCAAAGCCTCGGTTGATGCTTGGCTGTGCTCAGGAAGATGTTAATTTCATGTTATATCATTTGAACAAGCTTCTCTTACATAATACTAATACTTGTTGCTGACCACAACCATGTCCCCCCTCTCTCTCTGTTTATCAGTCTTTGTCACTTTACTATTGTCATTATGTTATATATATTATTATTACTCATTTATAATCATTATATACAATATTTTATTGGAAATTTTGTAAAGGAACACACTGTCGTGGTTGGGTAGGGTTCCTGCATAAAGGACAGTTCCCTTTCTCACTGACCCACTCTATGATGCAGCTCCAGCAGTACAAATGACCGCAAGGAGGTACTGTGGGGCACGTACAATTCTCAAGACATAGGGAACATTTTATTGAAGATACAACAGCACCATTAGTCGCACCAGCTTTGTTAAGAATGTCCTTAGTCTCTTCATCTCTACTCCATACACTGCTCTTGATCCTTGTCATTAATTTAATAGCTAATTGTAGCATTATGAGTAGGCCTAACAGCTTATATGGATTGGGTGGTGTCGCTGTTAGTGAGTATCTTATCATTATGTATCTGATACTTGTTATCCTCTTGCTCAACCATTGATAGACACCAAACAGATAGAAAAAAGATAAATGAATTTGATTTGATATTTTCATTATTTCTTCAACATTCCCCATGACATACTCCATGGTCCTATTGGTAGTGTACTTCCTAATAAGCCCCGCCCCCCTCTCAAGGACATATCGACCCACCACATGTAACACTACAGACACTATCCTTCTACTAATGGACGGTATAGCCGGCCCGTTGGTTTGCACTATATTGCAATATTCTTCCCCCAGAGTCTGATTACCATTCAGAGTAGTTAGTGAATAATACAATAGCTCAGCCAGGAGCTGTAATTCTCTCTGATACAGTAGCCAGTATCTTCTTGGCAGCAATGGCTCCGTCAGGTCAGAGAGTAGGGAAGTAACGTAGTCACGGTAATAGAGGTCCTTTTGGTTGCTACGAACAAGCTCGGGAGTTCCTGCTGGATAAAACTCTAGCTTCCTAGCTGCCGCCATTTTGAATAATTAAATCGGAGCCACGCCCAAAATGAATTAATTAATAGGACAATGGTAGATGTTGTAAGTAGATTTTGATTTCAATAATAATAATAATAATATTTAATTAGAGTGTTATAATACCAGTGTATAACTCAGCTCAGTGGTTACAAGAGACACTAGAGTCCTTATTGGTCCAAAGATTTACTGGAAAATGGGAAGTATCAATATACAACGACTCTTCAACGGTAAGGAGGAGGAGACAGAGATACCAATATAGTCTAATACATTATGCTAAAGGATAATTCAATGGACATAATAAAGAGCTATAAAGATAAGTTCATATCCAATGGGATTGGATATGTAATAGGATCAGATGAATCCACATCAAAACCTAAAGGAGGTTGGCACACACACAGAGTTACTCACTAAACGTACCATATGCATTTACAAGTTACAAGTACAAGCAATACTTGATGTGTTGGCATTAATTATTATTATTATTTACTATCTTGTGGTCTGTTTGATGTGGGCTCAGTTGGGTATACAAGAAATAAGGCCATATCTCAATCATCAGGTGACTACCTTTGTCTACAGGACTCCGTTAGTGCAATATTTACAACTGTTTGCATTAATATTGAATTAAATGTAATATTATTATTGCAGGATGATCTAATGTTAGAAAATAGAATATTACTACAATATCAACAAGCGGACGATCACACAGTAAGAGGAGAGTGAGAGAGGAAGAGAGTGAGAGGTCATTGATAATGGCTTACAGCTGGTAGGTAGTAGATTTATTCGTGAACCGACCGACTCAACAATTAGATACACAAAATGGGCCAATACACTAAACTCAAAACAACTATACACTCAAGTAAATGAAATAAAAACAAAATAATAATAATAATAATAATAATAATAGGCATTCACATCATTTGGTCCTACATTGATAATACCAACATGGTTCATGTCAAGGAGACTGTTTAATAAATACGGACCATTTGATGAAACTGGACAAGTAATCAAATAAAATAAATAGCTATTGATTGATTTCTAATTATAGGGGACTCCTGAGGATTTAATATTATTTTATAATTTAATTAGAGGACGGGAAAGAGGAGAGGGGGTTGAACTGAAACGTGTTGATGAGCCACTGATTGTATACAGATACCATATTAATAATACTACACTCAGCATTAATGAGTAATAGAGAAATGAATTACTGTACTATTACTATCATCATCATCATCATCATCATCATTATTATTATTATTATTGTATAATAGAGAGACAATATGGGAGCTGAGAGTTAAAGCACTAGAAGAACACGTTTTATCAAAATGGAAGTATTTTACAATATGGAATGCTGGAAAGCAAGGAAGGAGATTGTACAGAACAATATCTGAAGAAAATAAGCTCAAAGTAAAGGCATAAAGTGTTAATAAAATAATAATAATAATCAGGTGAAATCCTTTTGTGATGTTGATAGCAAGAAGATCGATAAAGGACATTATACTTATGAAGAAAGCAAGGTTTAGTCAAGCTAATAATAGTTTAATATTAATTATTATCAGGAGAAAGAAAAGCCTAAAGTGCCAATAGTGCACTTTACCAAAGCCACACCTCCTTTTATAATCTGCATTAAATGGGTAATCTAATAGCCACACCCACACAATACATTGTTATTATTATTATTATGCAGGAACTCACTGGCGGTGAATTTGAAAATAATTTATTGTCGTTAAATCTAATTGAAGGAATAGACTATTATAATTTCAGTTAATAACTATCAATAACCACTATTGCCTCATTTTTCTTGTTCAGTTTCTGTCTTTGGTGGTACTATTAATAATAAAAATTATTTTTTAAAAGTTCAAATTCAGCGTGGCTTACAAACGTATTTATCAGGCCAGTTTTCCATTTCTTCCAAACTTTTGGCGGTCCATGGGCTAAGTAACACAATTAATGGACCTTTATAAAGTAACAAGGAGAGAATGACGTAGGAAAATGTGCCATTCTGTTTTTCTACCTGTTGCTCCAAATACAACAGAGACAACCAGGACAGGCTGCCTCTCCCAAGCCATCTTTAACCAGTTCCAACTCGCTCTAAAGGCAGACATTTTTTCATTAATAACCAGTAAAATAAATAACCCGTTGTCCGTATCAACAAAATTAATAATCAAGATGGCGGTTTATTGTGAAACTAATAATTTACTAATCTGTATACTATAAACACGTGCTGCCACGTGGTATAGTGTTACTCTTCGTTAGTTAGGACTCTGTGTGATTGTCTAGGTATTACTAGACACTCGTTGTTCTCTATAGTAATTTCATGAACTAGTCCACGGAACCTATACTTCACTCTTAGGTATTTCTTCTCCCCAATGCAAGGATCATAAAAACCAGGAATGATGCTCTTTGCCGTTTCCCTAAGGACCAGTTTTGAATCAGCCACTAAGCACTGTAGAGGTACACGTACATCAATGACTTTAGGTAGCCCCATAGGATCATGAGATGCAGTAGTAGAGAACAAAGACCCGTACCATGCTTCTAATATTATTAGTCCATGGCGTGACTGCTCGTTGGTTTGAATTCTTTCGACAGTCTCCATCATCAGATCAACTGCTGATTCTGCCTCTCTTCTCCTCTCCTTCATTTCTCTTTCTCTCTCCATTCTTATTTCCTCCGTCTCTTTAACTTTATAAAATCTCAACAGCGGCCCAAGTGCAAGTATTTTTAATATGCCATACAGACCCAATGGAACAAGGCTGGCCATCATGATAGACATTACATCGACATAGGGCGATACTTGTACTTTTACAACATAATTCATTGAGGCACGGATGAATTGTAGACGCAACTGAACACCGTCAGAAGCTGATAAGTTGACACGCCCACCAACTTGCGTCAATTTAGAGATATTGTGATCCACAGAGTAAGAGAGAGAAGGTCCCCTAGTCCCAATACGACCGCTCAGTGTAAGCATGTACAAATCAACAGGTTTCATGCATAGCGCTAACTGTAGGTATGATCTATTGTAACCAATCATGACATCAGATGATAGAACGGCCTTTTCTGTTATCTGCCTTGATAAAGACACACCCACTGTGTTCCCGGACTCCTTAATGTGAAACGTGCTAGTCGTTTTGTCGTCTAGTTTACGAGAGAGATGGGTATTTAATAAAACACCGACACCAAATGGTGGCATCCAATGCAGGACATTCTCTCCAGTGATGTACATGTTGTTGGTAATGTTACGATAATAATCGAAACCGACCGAAGGTAACCGTCCCACATTACCAGAGACCTTGACCCAATTATGCTGACCTAAGTCCTGCCTAACGCTAGCTGTTAGACCAGTGTATGGTCGACTGGCTCGTACTGTTGACAGCAAGGACCCGGTCAGTAATAAGGTAGCACTTTTACTTAACGAGGAACTGACGCTTTGTTGAGCGTACGCATCAGTTACTCTAATTGATGCCCACCCCCTCTCCCCACTAGTGAAATCAGTGGCGTCTAACGAAACTTTGTAGAGACCCTGTGGGTTCACCTCTTGGATGTAAGTCCGCTCGTCAAAAAGGTTTTTAAGTTTTTCATATTCATCAATCAGTTCAGTGGGCAGGGAGGTACGCTCTATCAGTGCTCGGTCATTCTCTACTCCTTTCTTTCCTCTTATATCGTAAACTGAGCGTAATCTGCTGTCACTCAGTATCTGATAGGCTTCTTGTATTCTTTTGAAGAACCTTGACGCAATCTCTTGTTTCTCTTTGTCCTGATATCTAAATAATTTTTAAAAATTATAAATGAAACACTCATTTTATTAGTCATTTCATAAATCTTTTTCCATGCACCTAAATTATAATTAATTAATTAGCCCCGCCCCTAACCTATCTGGGTGGTATATTTTGCAGAGTCGCCTGTAAGCTGAGCGTATTTCCTCGGGACTAGCAGTCCTTGATACGTTCAACAAAGTGTAGTACTCGTCTTGGTCTTCTAATGCGAGCTCTCGATCAAGTAGAGATTGCTCCTCTCCTCCAGCCGCCATCTTTATTCAGGTGTCTCCTAGTGCGCATGCCCAGTGATCAGTGAACACGTGCTTCACAGCAGAATAAGTGTAAGCCATGGCTGCCCTCTCTTTCTTTGTCTTTAAGTTTATTTATATCAATAGGTTGTTTGCCCGTTACTTTTTAAAGCAGTACTTGTTCAATAAAGATGTCTGGAGGCCTTGATATTTTTGCATTGACGGAGGATGACGTCACAAAGATGCTCTCAGCAGGAGTCCACCTAGGGGATGCTAATATTAATTACCAAATGAGCAGTTATGTGTATAAAGTCAGGTCTGACGGTGAGATTTATAATTTTAATTAATTAGTGGGTGCGGTTTGTAATTAATTAGGTACCGCTATTATTAACCTTCGTAAAACTTGGGAGAAACTATTACTGGCCGCACGGGTCATTGCCGCTATTGAAAACCCTGCTGATATATGTGTCATATCTAACGGTAACTTGGGACAGGTAAGCTCCCTCATTAATGGTTGTTCCTGTAATGGGCATTATTTAGAGAGCAATATTGAAATTCTCAAAGTACGTGGGATGCTCCCCTGTTGCTGGTCGGTTTACTCCTGGTACTTTCACCAATCAAATTCAAAAGGCATTTCGTGAGCCACGCCTGCTTGTTGTTGCCGATCCTCTCCTTGATCATCAGGTGGGTGTGGTTATTAACTGGTTGTCATAGCATTAATTTTTTCAGCCAATCACTGAAGCCTCTTATGTCAATATCCCGGTGATTTCATTCTGCAACAGCAGCTCAACTGTTCGTTATGTTGACGTGGCAATACCTTGTAATACTAATGTAAGTATTTTAATAATAACATCATTATTTATTTGTTTGTTTGTTTGTTTGTTTAGGGTAAACACTCTCAAGGTCTAATGTGGTGGATGTTAGCTCGTGAGGTTTTACGTTTGAAAGGAGAACTGAGCCGTGATATGCCATGGGACATTGTACCTGATCTGTTCTTCTACAGGGACCCTGAAGATGTATGTGTGATTGTGAGAGAGAGGGAGAGTTCCTCTTTCTGTTTTAGGTTGAGAAAGAGGAGCAGGCTAAAGCTGAGCAAGAGCTCCTCCTTCAACAAGAAGGTTGGAACACTGGAGCTACTGATACTGTCGCTGAAGACCAATGGAATGACCCTAGTGCGTATTAATGATGATGTTTATAATAATAATGAATATTGATTAGGTAGTAATTGGGGTGAGGGTACTACAGCTCCATCAGTACCTGCTCCAGCTGCTAGTGGCCAACCAACTCAACCACCTGGTATAAGTAGTACTGCTCCTTTTGGTGAGCAGGATTGGAACATGGGGCCTACGACCACTACCAAAGACTGGGGGGCAGATGAGGGAGGAGAATGGAGCAACACTGATACCAATGTATGTTTATTTATTGTTTTGTTTATTTGTTGTTTGTTTGTTTGTTAGGTTAATTGGTAACGAGGTACATAAGAGACTATGAAAGAAGAGAATCATTTTGTCTATTTTCTCTTGTAAAGATTAATAAATAAAAATTAATAACAAGAAATATGATACGATGACAACAGATTAATTCTTAGTAGAAGACTTGGCTTCTTTTTTATTCAAAGAACTGTCACTGTTCTTGCTTTCATCATTAACATCACTTTTTCCTTCATTAACAGTATTGCCACCATTACTGTTATCACTGCCATCATCAACAAAGAAGCAAAAATAGCCCAATACACCGAGGAGACCAGCACCAATCGTTACCCCGTAGAATGGGCTTCTTGATCTACCTAAAGTATTTATGTCCAAATATTTGTAGTCTCTTGCTGGACTACTGAGAAATGGAAGCGGCTCTTTGCTGCCTGAATATCTTCTAAATAAATGATGGAAGCTCTTCCTTACACTTTGTACAGTTAAAACTATTTAAGAAAAACAGAATTGCAAAATATTTAGAGAAATTGTAACTCACTAAAGGCCATGTTTAGAGGCGGAGCTAACTGCTTAGCCACACCCCTAAACATTAAAGAAGGCTTGGCCAGTTAAAGTTTATACAAAAAATTAATAATTTACAATAAATCAAAAAAATAATCCAATCCTTGTCCAATTTCCCATATTGATAGACCGGTACCTAACTCCGTCATTAACTGGAGTCTCTCCTGCATAGACTATAAATGAGCAACAATAATAATAATAATAATATCAATAATAATTTATTGTTCTCTACTTTTAACGAAGGATAATAGACTAGATGCCTCATGCCACCTGCAGTTCTAATTGAATAAAATATTAATGGAATAATAATAATAATAATATTGGCGCTATTACTTGTAATTGAAGTAGTGCTCAGAACAATGATCGTCCCATTCAATCTTTGGCTTGTAATTTGACAACAGCTCAACATACCTTTTTAATAATTATTATTGTCATTATTATCATTATTATTAGTTCTTCCTACCTGTTACCTACGACAGCTGCAAAAAAGATTAATTACTTAATAAAAATACTTATTAATAACATGTATATACCGTCCATTCCACTTGGTCCAAAGTCGTACCCATAGAAATTAATACCAACAAGTAGTTTATTTCTTTTGGAAGAACCCGTGAGTTCTTTAATGCAATCCTCTACCCAGTGGAGTGGAGCAACTGGCCCAGGACTGTCATTCAGTGAGTATGATGTGTGTATTTAATGCTATTACTTTATGTTATAGGGCACTAATGATAATACCTTTGAGGAGTTGAGTAGTCGTACGTCATCAACGAGAAGCCATCAACGTCATTTAGTAACCTCTGATAATCTTTAGGACCAAACAATGCTGAGCTAGAATATTAAATAAAAGTAAGTAAAATAAACAAATAAATAAAAATACATTGTAACCTTACCCTTCCTTTGTAGAGGGGATGACTAGTATTAATTGCAAATTAAACTTGTGAAACTGTTTTGAAATTCTTTTGATAACGTCCGATAGTTCGCTAAAAATAACGAAATTAATAGCAATGAATGACTCAAGTAATGATAAAAACCTTTTATAGTGTCCACCTAATTGGCTCCATATCTCAAGAACAGCACCATCGAACCTGTAATTCTAAACAATAATAATAACAATGGTTAAATATTTAATCAAAATTAAACTGACTGCAATCTGCTCGGTGATGAAGACGGCTAATTTCAATCTTTTGCTTTCGCTTGAAAATAATTCCTGATAATCATTCATGGTCCAACCCTCAAATAATAGCCGAGGGACAATCTTTACTCCTCCTCCTCCTTCCTTCCCTCCATTTCTAACTTCCTCAATCCATCCTGTAAAAGAGGAGATTTATTCTTAGTCACTTTTGACAAAAGTCCCTGTACTATAGTACAGGGACTTTTACCCGATTTTGGAGCAACTTAAAAAATTCATAAAAAATCTAATTTTGATCGGAATCAGTTCAAACTTTCTACACAACATTAGAACATGTATATTCACCAGAAAAACTTATAAAAATGGGGAGTTCTCTCATTTTCAATTTTGGCAAAATACCCTGTACTATAATAGTACAGTGAATTTGTGTGCAACATTGCTCCTTATCTTCTACTAACCTTGATCAATATCGTGAATACCAGTCATTTCAAACATTTGCCTAGCAGGCCTAAAATTATCAAAATAAAATTAATGAAACACATCAAAGAATTCTTTTCTGACAAGCATTACTTTATTTGTAGCCAAACTGGAGAAATATGAGTAAACTTGTTAGCAAACCATTTAGCAGTATCATAACCATGATTATTCCACTAGAAAGAGAGCTAGTATTGATACATGTACATTTATTTATTTATTATTATTCATTTATTATTTAACTTTACAGTGCAACATAAAGTAGACATGCAAGTGTAGAGGTACTAATTATCATTGTTAATTTATAGGGGTTCCCCACCAGAGGCTTACTGGAGTTACGTAACCTAGGGACATCATTGTTTCTGGTAGCTGTCTTTTGCTTGCTGAGTTTGTAGAGTATAATTTATGATTTTTAATAATGTCTGCATATTTGACATTTGCAGATACTAGACCTCTCTCACTAACAGTCTTTAGAGCTGCTTCTGATGCTGCATTTTCATCCTGAGAAGGCAATAAGATCATTAATGATATTTTATTAATAATAATAATAATAATAATAATTATTATTATTAATAATAACAATCTGCTAACTGGAGTAATTTCCTTGATCTTTTTCTTTTTCTTTTTGTCGGATTTGCTAAGTGTTCCTTCGCTTACAACAGCAGCTAAAAATATCAACAGAACAACAAAGAGGACTTTAAAATCCGCCATGTTATGGGCGTGGCTAGGTAATTTATAGCCACACCTCATATTGGAACATGTACAAAAACATGTCATTTTGTTTATTTATTGTATTTTTATTTTATTTTAGATCATCAAGCAGCTCATTCCTAACCAGCAGCAGCTCCTTCACTGCTGGACAGTCTTTCCTTAACAATTGGCCCTCCAGCCAATTTATTAATGGGGGCTGGTGAGTAGTAATTATTAATTAACATAATAGTTATTGTTAATGATAGGGTGATACCACATAATCTAACTGATCTCACGGGACCCTGTAATATTAAACGACTGAACAGGAACCAGGATACACTCTCGCAAGAAGAATTTGTAAAAAAGTTAATTATTAATTTATAATTATAAAATAACTATTTATAATCAATTCAGATTTGCATATAATGAGCCGGTAATATTAATTAATGTTACGGATCAGACAGTAAGTAATAATTTAATTAATTTATAAATGAAGTGTTTCAATAGGAATTTAGAATGCATTCAACAAGAGAGCAGCTGTTATCCAAATATGGCAACTACAGTATAACTGTCACTACAGCTAATACACACTCGTATCCTAAAGGTATTTATTAATTATTATTATTATCATTATTACTTATTACTTTATTAGCTGAAATGACGTTAAACGATTATGTTAATATTATTATGAAACCGCAAGAAGAAGGACGACTGGGTAGTGGTAAGCAGCTGCTGTCTCTCCCTCCCTCGTCATGTGATGTGTCATGTGACAGATACTTTATATCATTTTGGTGACAATGACAGAGAAGAATGGGCTGAGCTCTTTTCAATGTATAACATTCCTCCATACACAGTCCCTGGACTAGAACCTGTCATTAGTTTTGGGTTAGCTGGTAAGGAAGAAAGAGGAGGAGAGAGTGTGTGTGAGAAAGGAGATAGAGAAGGAGCAGGGGAGAGGAGTGATGGAGGTCAGTAGTGATAATCTACTCATTACAGGGCCAGGGACTGGTGTACCTTTTCATATCCATGGACCAACTTTTGCAGAAACAATATATGGAAGGAAAGTATGACATAAATAATTATGATAATATTCACTTTTTATTAATAAATATTGTTATTATTATTTTAGAGGTGGTTTTTATATTCGCCAAAAGTCCGGCCATTATTCGACCCAAATGGCTCCACTCTTGACTGGCTAACAAATACTTATTTTTCACTGCCAATTAACGAGAGGCCACTTGAATGTGTACTGCAACCAGGAGAAGTGAGCCATTTTTAAAATTATAATTTATTTTTATTTTTTATTTTTTTGCAGGTGCTGTATTTTCCCGCCTATTGGTGGCATGCTACACTCAATGTTGATGCTTCAGTTTTTGTTTCTACCTTTTTAGCATAAAATTTTTTATTCATTTTCCGGATACTTCAGTATACTTCAATAACTAATTTCTGTATACTATCAGTATAACTATAGTATATTCAGAAACATTAATATTTAGTTATTATAATAATTAGTGTTAGTATAATGTTTATAATTACTGAGTTGGAAGATTTAGTGAAGATTCAGCCATGGAAATTCCAAAGAGATACGAATGAAATCATCAAATCAACTTTAAATAGAAAATTCTCCAACAAGGTATATTAGAATTAATGAACAGCTGCTAAAAATTGATAGATAAAAATAATGACAGGTCCTGCATAATGTCGGTTTATGTGTCTCATTATTCGACATAATCAAAGTGAACGAGTTCTTTCTATTGGCAGGAGATGGGGCCACACAAGCTAAAAGTAAATTATAATTTTCTAAGAATTAATTAGAGGGGTCATGATTCAATAAATTTTTAGTTAGATTCAGTTTAATTGTATTCCGTCCTTTCATTGATGAAATATTAGTTGGAAAAGTGAGGGGATCATCTCGCTCAGAAGGAATTAGAGGTAATTATTACTAATGAAATAAATGGTTAATTAACTTGTTTATAATTAATTAGTATCATTAGGATTCTTTGATAATGTATTAATATTACCCCAGTCAATGCCACACCCATCGAGATTGTAAGTTTAATTTATTATTATTATTATGATTTTATTATTTTTTAATTACTATTATTATTGTTGTTGTTGTTTTTATTAGTGATGATGATGAACAGTTGTGGGTGTGGCAGTATGATAATGAGGATGGTACTAATGATATGATCATTGATATTGGGCAGGATATTAGATTTAAAGTTATTGAAGAGAAATTTATTGACATTTCACCAAAAGGTACACTAAAATTACTCAAAGGAATATGTTATACTTTTGAAAAATTTGGCCAAAGTCCCTGTACTATAGTACAGTGACTTTTACCCGATTTTGGAGTAACTTTAAAAAATCATAAAAAATCCAATTTTGATCGGAATCAGCTCAAACTTTCTGCGCAACATAAGTACATGTATATGCATCAGAAAATATCATAAAAATGAAGAATTCTCTCCTTTTCATTTTTGGTGAAATTTGGCCAAAGTCCCTGTACTATAGTACAGGGACTTTAGCCCAATTTTTGAGTAACTTTAAAAAATCATAAAAAATCCAATTTGGATCGGAATCAGCTCAAACTTTCTGCGCAACATAAGTACATGTATATGCATCAGAAAATATTATAAAAATGGAGAATTCTCTACTTGTCATTTTTGGCACAATCTGGCCTGAGTATAGCTGTCTTTTTTTAGTATCACAGAGTGGCAGTGAAGCACAGCAGAGCAGTAATTCACCATATACGATATATGTGAGTTATGATGTAATGTGATGTAATATGATGTCATCATTAGGGATCTATTAGCGAATCTGGCCTAGGGCTAGTTAGTTGGTGGGACGGTTAATTAATTATCGAAATAAGTGAAAAACTATCGTTTTATTGACAAAACTCATTTAAAATAATAATAACATTATTATTATTACGCTAAAATAATCAAAATAATAATAATAATAGTTAAATGAAAAACAATTCAAAATCAATTCGTAACTGCTACTCTAAGACAAGAACAAGAACAACAATAATAATAATAAAAGCTAAGAAAATGAGTAACTAATTCAAAAATAAAGTCTTTAAAAATTAAGACAATTCACAATAAGAAAGCCACACCAATTCCAATTATTTGTTCATTTAAATGTCTTCGTCATCATCTGGCGATTCATCAGAGCGATTCAGTGGGCTGGGTCCAGCCTTATTGGAGCCACGCCTACCTGACCTACCCAATGCAGAACTAACAGTCTGACGTCTAGCACTTCTAAAGTGAGAGAGAGAGAGAGAGAGAACAATAATAATAATAATAATAATAATAATAATAGTAATAATAATAATAATAATAATAATAATAATAATAATAATAATAATAATAATAGTAGTAGTAGGTTAATTAGCTTACGTTGATTTTGATCTGTCTCTCTGAATAGCCTCCAGCTGCTCCTGCAGTTCATCTGCTTCTCTTTGAACTCTTCTCTTCTGTGCTTGGATCCTTGCATTCTCCTCCTCTGCCTCTTCTAGTGCCCTCTTTAAAGACCTCACACGAGACTGTTGCTTATCAGCCTAAAAACAACAACAACAACAACAATGCTTTAATTATTGTTTGTTTTTTTACCTGTTGTTTGTATTGTTCGGATTGTTTTCTCTCGTCTTCAATGGCTCCGGCGTATTCCTTCAACTTCTTTTCTTGACGGCGAAGAGATCTCTTGATTTGAGAATTATCCCTTGAAAGTTAAGAATAAATAAATACAACTGGTAACGTATGATGGTGGCTCACTTCAGAGCCATGTCTCTTTCTTCCTCTAGGGCAGCAACTCTTGACTCCATTGCAGCGACTTGAGCTTTCATCTTTCTTCCCCCAGCACTCTCAGCTTCCTCAAGACGATCCCTTAACTCTTTGACCTTTAAAAGGATCAGTAAAACGTACACCATCAAATCATGTTAACGTAGTACTTGTTTCTCAAGTGTGAGTCTGTTATTCTCCGACTGGTTGTAGTTGGACTGAAGTGATGATATTTCTTGTGACAGTGAGTCCGCGGTCTGTTGAGCTTTCCTTGCCTTCTCAGTAGCAGCTTCACTGTTCAGTTGTTCTTCCTCAAAATCTTCTTCAAGCGTCGCTAGTCTTGTCTCTATACGTCTCTTCTCTTCAGAGAGCCCATTTCTAATAAAAGAGAAAGAGAAACAATATATATTCTTTTCTTGTTATATTTTTATTTCCTCACATTTTACTAGATACGGTAGAGAGTTCTTCCTGTGCTTCATCTCTGTCAGACTCGGCCGATCTCCTTGCCCTGTCAGCATTTTGCAGTTCCTCTTGTTTCTGTGAGAGGTCTCCCTCTAATCCCCGAACCTTCTTCTCGAGTTCTTTAACGCGCGAGATCATTTCATCTTGAGCTGCTCTTGCTTCCTCCGCAGAGAGCTGAGCATCCTTGAGCTGGTTCTGAACTTTACGATATTGTTTGACAGCTTCCTCTTTAGCTTTGGCGTCAGCCTCAGCCCGTGCCTCCCATTCTGATATTTCTCCCTCCATCTTTCTCTTGGCAATCTGAGCAATGTTCTTTTGCTTCTTCTCTTCCTCGAGTTGAGACTCAAGGTCCCTGATCTGCTGAGTCAGCTTACGGCGAGTGTCCTCAATTTGTTCCTCTTTTGATGAGAGTTCTCTCTCGTACGACGTTTTAGCTGCTTGCATGTTAACCTATAAGACAAAAATAATAATAATAATAATAATAATAATAATAATAATAATAATAATAATAATACCTCTAGTCTAAGTCGTGCGTCTTCTGCCACCTGTAGTTCATCGTCAACCTCCTCCAGCTGTTGTTTCATTTCTTCGAGCTGCTGCTCCAACTGCTTCTTATTCTTAGCTAATTCATGGACCTACAGAAAAAAAGAGAATATTATCAATAATTTTAAAACAAAACATTTAAAACAATACAAGAAATACTACTAATACTAGTACTCTTACACTCTTCCCCACGTCATCTTTCGTCTCCACTAGTGAGTCTCTCTCAGACTGCAAGGCTCTTCGCTGTCTCTCCACGTCCTCCAGTTTCTCTTGAAGTTCCTCCAACTCGCGGTTCAATGACAAAGACTTGGTCTCTGCTTGACGAGCTCTCTGTTCTGCTTCATCTCTTTCTTGAGCATTCTTCTCGGCTAATGATTGCACCTCAGTTAGTTGCTATACAATAATAATAATAATGAAATATACTTCATCTTTTATCATTATTGTTATTACATTATCAAATTTCTTTTGCTTCTTTTCCAATTGAAGTATTTCACTTCTTTGAGACTCAACCTGAACCATCAGATCATCCAACTACATAAAGAAATCAATATCAGTATCAGTATCAATATCAGTATCAATATCAGTGCTTACATCTTCCTGTATTTTCTTCTTTGATCTCGTCAGTTTTTGATTCTCTGCTTGTAGTTCCTCAACTCTCTCCTTCAATCCGTCCATTTCTTTGTCCACTTTCTTCTTAGAAGCTTGCAACTCTTCAAGGTTAACTTGATCATCGTCAGCTTTCCTCTTAGCCTCAGACAGCTACATGTACAAAGACATGTGATAGTCATGTGATGCATGTATAAAACATGTGATGATCATGTGACATATACCTGTTGTGTCAGTTGCACTAGTTTGTTTTGTAAAGCAGTCTTAGCTTCTTCCTCATCTTCAACTTGTTGAGTTAAATGGTCGACTTCTTCCTGGAGCTGCTTCTGCTTATTCTGTGCAGCAATCTTCAGCCTTGACTCTTCTGATACTTGATCCTTTAACGAGAGAGTACCAGTGAATATGAACATTAGTGACAGAGTATGACATAAAGTGGTGGCTTACCTGTAGTTCTTGAATCTGTCCCAAGTAGTTTTTATTGTTCCTGTCAGAAGAAGTGAACTTTGTCTCCAGCTCTTCAAGTTGAGAGGAAATGTTAGCAATTTCAGCCTAAACAACAACAATCAAAAACAACAATAGCAGCAACAAGACTGCAACACTTTGTACCTTCATTCTTTCATTCTGGCTGGTCAGTTCTTGGACTTTAGCAGTATCCTCTGCAATGTGAGCCTGTGCTTCACTCAACTGAGCCTCAACGTTCCTACGTCTCTTCTCGCTCTCAGACAGCGAACTGGTAGCATCTTTCAGATCAGAAGAGAGATTGCTCCGCTCCGTTTCAAGACTGTTCTTCACTTTCTCCAACATTGACTTAGCCTAGAGAGAGAGTAAGAAGATAGAGTTATGATGTAGATATTAAATTACCTTTTTAGCATTGTCAAGTTGTTCGTTTAAGTCTTCCACATTCCTGGTATGCTTCTGTCTCATTGAAGCTATAGCAGCTTCATGTGAAGATATCTCCTCGTCCAGGGTTCTTTTTAAAGCTGATAGCTCGCTCTCTCTCTGAGCGGTCATGGCTTGTTGGGCAGTTGTTGAGCTGGTTGTGTCATCAAGAAGCTCCTGTAGCTTCTCAAGTTCAGCGTTTAATTGCTTCCTATTTTTTTCTGATTTGTTCCTGGCCTCTCTCTCGCTCTCAAGGTCGTCCTGAGTCTCCTGGAGTTGAGTGGCTAGTTCTCGCTTCTCCTTTTCAGCTTTAGCACGACCAGCTGCTTCTTCATCTGCCCTAGCATTAACGTTAGCTAGTTCTGTCTCTAGTTTGGCCACTTGAGACTCCAAGTCTTCAATGCGCTGCTTGGCTCTTGCCAGCTGCTCCTGGAGGTCAGCAATTTCCTTTTGAAGTTTTCTCTTATCGTTATCCAATTCTTGACGCCTCTAAACAATTAATTAAATACATATTAATTATTATTTATTAATTATTCATACTTTAGTTTCTCGCTCTAGTTTCTCATCCAGCTCAGCGCTGAGTTGTTCCAGCTTCACTCTTTGTCTGTGCTCTTGCTTTGCCTTTCCCTCCTCCTGCTCCAGGGCGGCCTGTATCTCTCGGACTTTATCATCAAGATGGTTCTTCTCACGAGATAACTATTAATAGTTAGTGATAGTTATTAGTGGTTATTAACAGTTATTAATGAAGTGGCTTACTTTGGATATATTATCATCATTAATTGTAATTTGTTCCTCAAGAGCTTTTATTTTATTTTCGGCCGAAACTTTTTCCTGCATTAACTTCTGATTGGAAGTGCCTTCTTCCTCAAGCCTGTCAAAATAAGCATATAATTAAAGGGTGTGGCTTGTAGTAGGCATGGCTCACTGTTCTTCAGTCTCTTGTAGCTGCTGCTTAAGTTTCTTCCAGTCCGAGACCAGCTGGTTGTTCTGTTCGTCACTCTCTTCCAATCGAAGCTCATACTCGCCGATCATACCTTCCAATTCTGTTCTCTTTTGAGCTAACATGTCCCTCATCTTAAGAGAGAGAGAAAGAAAGAGAGAGAGAGAGGGGGGGAGGGCTCAATAAATTTCTTCCCTAGGAACGTTATGTTGGATTACTTCTTCAGCTTCTTGTGTGAGGAACTTCTCTTCCCTCAGTTGATCCTCGAGCTGTTTGTTGTTCACCAGTACCACATTGTTCTTCTTGGCTAATTCATCATACTCAATGCGTAGCTTCTCATAGCTGGCGTTTAGTTTCTTGATCTCTTCTTCCATTTCTCTCTTCTGCTCCTCAGCATTGGTCACTTGCAGTAATGGTTTAACCTACAGAGAGAGAGGGGGAGAGAGAAGGAGGGCATTAATTGAAGAGTAGTTTATGTATCGTGTGTACTTTAGTGAAGAGGCGCCACCATTTCCAGTTACGAAGCTTAAGGTAGCTCTGGACATTCCTTTGTATGATCCTGATGGCTCTGGTCTGCTCGACACGTTTTTGGAAATTCCTAAAATAGTAATAATAATAATAATAATAATAATAATAATAATAATAATTGCATACTTTCTTCCAATGAACCCCCTGCAATGGGACTGAAGACCAATAAGAATTTCAGTTAGTTTCAGGTCCCTCTCTTCCTCCAATTGGGCCAGTACTCCTGCCCTGAAGAAAACTTTACTGTGACCAATACGATAAGTGGCTTTATCCAACTCAAGTGCAATCAACTGTAAGAGGAATAAATAGTCATTTTATTTATTTATTTATTAATTAATTAACCATTTTTTCAGCTGCTTTCTTCCCGTCCATAAAACCCTTTGGTATTATCCCTGGAGTGAGTATCTCATACCGCTGACGGAACTCTTGGAAGAGGATTCTGTTAGGGAAACCCAGTCGACAGATCCTGATACCCTCCAGGACTCCGTTACACCTCAACTGGTCAAGAACTAGTGGAGCAACAATCTTACCAGCCTAAGAAAAGAGAGAGACAAATGTATAAGTTTTAGAACTTTTAAAAATTCATAAAAAATCTGAACTTGATCGGAATGAGCTCAAACTTTCTACACAACATAAGTACATGTATATACATCAGAAAAAATTATAAAAAAATGAGTATTCTCTACTTTTCATTTTTGGCAAAATTTGGCCCAAGACCCTGTACTATAGTACAGGGACTTTTTCCTGATTTTAGAGTAACTTTAAAAATTCATAAAAAATCCAAATTTGATTTGAATGAGCTCAAACTTTCTAGACAACATAAGTACATGTATATGCATCAGGAAATATAATAAAAATTGAGAAATCTCTCCTTTTCATTTTTGGTGAAATTTGGCCCAAAACCCTGTACTATAGTACAGGAACTTTGGCTCAATTTTGAAGCAATTTGAAAATTTATCAAAAAATCCAACTATGCTTGAAATTTAGTTCATTATCATTAAATACCTTTTTCTCATAATTAGGAATGATGCATCTCACAAAGTGTGGGTGTGTCTGTCTCAAAGTTATCATCAAATTGCTTAGCTGCTCTTTGTAGAGCTGACCGACAGTACGGAACATTCCTTTACGACTTCTCTGGGCACCAAACGCTGACTTGGCCTCTGATTGAGCCTATAATAATAATAATAATAATAATAAATTCTATAATTAGTAACACCATTCCTATATATTCTATAATTAGTAAAATTCTAAAATTAGTAACACCATTCTATAATTAGTAACATACCCTGGTCCCTATACTTACTTGTACTCCCATTCCCACTACATGAGCCGTGTCCTTCCACAGTGTAGCCACGAACCAGTCATTGGACGCTACTAGCAGCTGGATCACATTATCGTTGAGTGGGTCCATATTCTTCATCAACCACTGGTCACAGTTATAATGGACCTGAGAGAGGGAAGGGAGGGGGGGGGTGAGAAATATTACAGGTGTCACTGTTAATTAAAACATTATACATGTATATTTATTGTTAATTAACACAACATTACTAAGTATCAACAAAATACATGTACAAGGAAAACACCTAGCTCATACTATCATATGTACGCTGTATGAGCTATTATTAAAATTTATTAGCTTTTATCATTATTTATTTTTAATGGTATTTACATTTCCAGCATAGTGACCGAGAGTAAAATCAGACGAAGATCGAAAGTCAGGCTTTGAGTATTTAGGGTTCTGAGCATGTTCCCTCTGGAGTTTCTCAACGTAAGACTTATCAGTGGCTTTAGGGAACCAACACTCCTCGTCAAGGAGAGAGAGAATACCCATCGGCTTCTCAATGAGATCAATGCAAGGCTGAAGGTCTAACCCGAAATCAATGAACGTCCACTCTATGCCTTCAGTTCTGTACTCCTCCTGTTAATAAATAAATAAATAATTAAATAAATAGATAAATAAATAACTGAATAAATAAATAAATAAATAAATTTTTGACCTGTTCAAGTATAAACATTGTGTGATTAAAGAGTTGCTGGAGTTTCTCATTTGTATAGTTGATACACAGCTGCTCAAAGGAATTGACCTACAGTACACGAGACAATAATTAGTTAGTTTAAACTGATCTAGAGAATGAAATCAGTTCTGGGGAAGAGTGACAATACTAACACATCAAAGAGAGAGAGAGAAGGTAAGGTAGCTGCTAACTTTAAATATTTCAAATCCAGCAATGTCAAGTATTCCAATGAAAGAAGTACCAGATCCGATAGATCTGTCCAGTGTCTTATTGACCCTCTGGACGATCCACTTGAACATCCTCTCGTAAAGGGCTTTAGCTAACGACTGGCATGAATACTCAACCTGTTAATAATATACTAATAATATAGCAATAATATACTAATAATACACATGAGAATATACTAACAACGTCACAATAATATACTATACTGTACTAACCTGAGATTTGTTCTGTGATCTTATGGTGAATTCTCTCCCAGTTTTTATCTTTGGTTTCAGGAGTGCTTTGGTGAAATCAGTTACAGGAACCCCCAACAGTTTCCCAATCTGCTGAGCCACAGTGTTATCGACTAGGAGGGCTTGATCTGAATTCCTCTCCTGCTTGAACTCCATATTACCAAACAGGAGGACAGCAGAAACAACACGAAATACAGCTATAAATAAATAAATTAATAAACAAACAAATAATATTATCTTTTGCTTTGCTTCTTATTACAATAATAATAGTAGTAAACCACACCCCTTCATTAAATGCATCAAGCCACACCCACTACATTAATAACTATTAATAACCTGATTTCTCTTCCTCGGAGATCCCCATCACATTCATTGCCTCCACAGTGTCGTCGTATTCTTGCACGTCGTTTATACCAGCAACCGATAAATTACCGTTTGATAAAAACTTATACTTTTCAAACGAGTGATAGAAATACTCCTCCTTCTCTTTAGGATCCATTCCATTTAATATCTATAAACAAAAACAACAACATAAGCAACAACGTAACAACAAATACCTGATAGAATATGTGGAACGTTCTTTCGTCTGTTGCTTGTCGAACTGCACGAGACTTTTCTAACAGATCTTGAAATAAATTAAGGAACAATAATTATAATAATTTATTAATTAATAGTTATTAATATTAGTTATTAAGGATACAAGTGTCGATATTAGCTCCAGCAATGTGACCGGATGAATCAAAGTTGATGCGAATGAATTTACCCTAAAAATCAAACACCAAAACAGCATCAATATATCAGTATTGGGACTTACAAAACGTGATGAGTTATCATTCTTGACAGTCTTAGCGTTACCAAATGCTTCCAGAATCGGGTTAGCCTGCAGCAGCTGTGCCTCTAGTTCTCCTTGTAATCCTGTCAAACCGGCTTTGATGTTCAGCGTGGTACTGGTTGAGGTTCTACGAATAGGGCCCTTGGGTTTAGCTGCCGACCCTCCACTAGCAATGACCGCCAGATACTGTATAACCTTCTTTGTATTCTCTGTCTTTCCAGCTCCAGATTCACCACTAGAGTCAAGATATTATTGATACAATTATTAGTAAATTATTAGTAAACTATTATCATATTAGCAGCAGTACAAGTACAAAATCAGTCACACTATTAGTACATTATCAGTTATATTATTAGTATATTATTAGCTACATTATTAGTATACTTACGTGCAGAGGATAGACTGATCCTCCCTGTCCAACAGCATGTTCCTGTAAGACTGATCAGTGACAGCATAAACATGAGGCGGCATTTCATGTCTCTTCTTTCCTCGATACAAGTCAACCACTCTGTCCGTATATATGGGGAGCATCTTATAAGGATTGACGACAACACAGAACAATCCAGAATATGTCTGTCATGAGAGAGAGAGGAAAGCAGAGGGAGAGAGACAGAGGAGAGGGAGAGAAGGAAAGTGATAGTAAAATAGTTCATGGATCATTAGTTTCGGTTTATACTGTCAAATATTTCCAATAACTTAAAAGTTTTATTTAATTTAAGATCTACATCATATACGTATCCCTGCACTATTATGGGTTTGCTAATACAGTAAACAACAAGACAAAAAACAACAACAACAACAACAATAATAATAAATACTTATTTATAAAACTGTATGCACATGTATGATATAATTGTGATGCGATTAATATGTTAAATAAAGTCATAGTATCAGTGGAATGCTTGGAATTTTATACTTACAATTCATCGACAAGAATTAATAATAATAACAACAATAATAATGACATTAAAATAACAGGGGCAGCAAAAACAACAGGAGCATTAAGACGAAAGAGGAAGAGAGAGAGAGGGGGGGGGTAAATAGTGACGGCCGGCCATGTGTCTGTATATGTACAAATTCTATTTACATGTCATCAATTAAAAACAAATTATTCTTAACGAGAACAAAACGATGAATTAATTAGCATCAATTGCCCCCTCTCTCTCCATTATTTAAATTGCAACAAAAAAGGAGTAGAGTCTCTCTCTCTCTTACATAGATGAGGCCAGAATAATATCTGTCAGTGAGGTTGTGAAGAACAGACGCCTCGTTCAAGAAGGAGAGCTCAGCCATGTCCTCCACTTTCTCAAACTTTGGAGGATTCATCTTTTGGATGTCATCCTTGGAGACGGTCTTCTTCTGGCCGTCGGTCATTTCGACTGTCACGCTGTCTCCTTCTTCTTTCTTTATAGACCCGGGGACGAAACCAGCCTCGGGGTGTGGGACCCATACCAGCTTCTTCTTCGCCCACTCTGCTTGGGCTATGGCATCGTACATCTTCCCCCGATCAACGCTCAAGTATTTGAGATCCTCCGTAGCCATTTTTAAAGAGGAAAGAGAGAACAGTAAGAGAGGGAGAGACGTGGATTTACCGTCGAGGGAGAAGGTACACCCCTATGAATCTTGATATATCAGGGTCACGTGACTCATCTCTAATTAAAATTTTTTGGCGCCAAAAAGCAGCTACTACTTGCCAGCATAATCAGCATATGTACTCTTGACTATACTATGTTGCCAGGTCTCTTTTTATAAGATTTATCATAATCATCATCACTGTATGCATTCACATGATTACACATTAAAATTAACGAAGAGGTGATAACTGTCACTGATCCGTTTTTAAGGAGTTCATAAAGTTCTCAATATTATATTCAGTATCATACTGATTGTCATCCCAGAGGTCGGGCAAATTATCCAAAATACTCTTCAACCCTCCTCCTCCTATTCCTCCTATCCCTGCCTCTAATGAGCCACCAGTAGAGGGGGCAGTAGAAGAGGAAGCTGCTCCTTTTCCTTCTCCAAGTTGAAAGAGATCGAGAAAATCAGAAGTATTCATTGATAGTAGACTATTGTTCTCTTGAGTGACAACTGTGTTAGCAATATTCAACTTGAACTTCTGCAAACTACAGAAAGAGACACAAAGCTTACTATAATACTATTAAATACTTCTTAATTAATACCAATTACCATGGTTACAATGTAACCGGCTTATATAGCTATTAATAATTCATTTAAAATCGACACTTTACAAACAAATAAATTAAATCAGTAACAAAACAACAAGAGGAGGGGATCAACACTTACCTCATAATCTTCTCCTCCAGTGTCCCTCTTGTTATCAGCCTATACACATTCACAACACGTTTTTGACCAATCCTATGCGCTCTGTCCATTGCCTAACAATACAAGAATTGGCTTTAATAGTGAAAAGCATAGTCATAATCCTCAGGCAAAAAAAGGAGGGATATAGTACTGGGAGATACATGTACATGTATGGTAAACTCAAGGGAGCACATTATACTGTTAACTATTGGTTATACTTAGTGTACATGCTTACAAATGGAGCAGACAATGAGTGAGACAGCATTCCTAGCATTCCTATCATTATATACCATCAAAACACCTGCTCCTATTGACACACACACACACTCAACTAAATCACTGTTCACAAACACAACCTCAAGGAGACCATTAGTACAACAATCTGGCCTCAAGATAAAGGTGTCTACAACTTGTGCCCTAATTATACTTACCACCATACACTCGCCCTAAACCATAACCCATTACCGCACCCACCATCAATTACCTGAAGGTCTTTGGTTGGGTTCCAATCGTGTTCAAAGAATATGACAGTGTCTGCTCCAGTTAAATTCAACCCCAACCCACCAACGTGTGTCGTTAATAATAATAAATCGATTGAGGGATCCATATTGAACCTAGCAATGAATAATAAACTATTTAATTAACTATCATGCAACTACATGCTCAGAGACAAACTATAAATTTTGTAAAAAATCCCAACTTGATTGGAATGGCCTTATGTTCACACAATAAGGCCAGTGTACCAGCTCCCTCTCCCTTTACCTGTGTACCAGATCATGTCTGTCTTTAGGTGGGACTGACCCGTCTAATCTTAAATAAGTTACAGAAGGCATATGAACTCTAAAAAACAAATAAATAAATATAATATAGTTGGGCTCTTTACTTTAACAGATCTCTTTCAATTATATCCAGTATTGTTTTATACTGACAGAATAGGAGCACACGATGCTGGCTGACAACAGATCCACCTCCATCAATACAAGCATCACTCAGTGAGTCTACATCATTAGTACCAATACCACACTCATTGAGCAACTGTCTGTAAAAAGAGAGGGAGAGCTGGTATACTAACAGCTGGTACATACTTCAGTGCTAGGAGCTTAGCCGAGTGTGTTATATCATGTAGAGTTGTGTTATCTTTATTTAAAAACTTCATTACATTGTCATACAATGGGTGGTCCTTATTAACAACCAGTAGGGGATGGTTACACACTTTACGAAGATACTGTAATGCCTAAGGAAAGAGATTGAAACCAAGACCACGAGCTCTTCCATTACTTGGAACACGTGACCCTGTGCCGGATTGCTCTTCTTCTTTTTCTTTTCTGGCGGTTCACTATCATCAGCTCCAGCTGTGCCTTCATACACTGTATCCTCCACATTCTGTTTAGCTCTACTTTGAGCAAAATCCTCATAAAGCAAAACCTAAAGAAGAAGAAGAGGAAATAAAAGAGAGAGAGGGGGGAGGTGGGGTATAACTAACTTGCAAGGGGCTGAGATCACAATGATAGTCTTGTATTATTTTCGGTGGCAGGTCTTGTAATACGTCTTCTTTCATTCTTCTCAATAAAAATGGGAGGACTTGTCTATGTAACGCCTCCATAGCTAGAGCACCTGAAGAAATCAGAAAAAGAGAAAATGTTACATTAAATGTAACACAACCCCACATTACTTAGTTATTATTATTATTATTATTATTATTATTATTATTATTATTATTACCAGCTTCCTGTTCCTTGGACGATGATTTAGCGTCTCTACTCAGTACTATGGGGTGACCATACCTAATGTTAAAGTGCTGCTCAGTGCCAAGGAAACCGGGCATTAAGAAATCAAACAGTGACCATAACTCAAGCACATTGTTCTAATTATGAGCACGAAGAAATATTGAAAAGGGTGTGGTCAATTAATTGCTATACTTGAATGGGAGTGCCTGAGAGTATTAATCTGTGATTAGCCAATAAGGACTTGACAGCTTTAGTAACCTATTAATAATAATAATAATAACAATAATAATAATAATAATAATAATAATAATAATAATAATAATAATTCCTTTAAAAATGATTACTTTTGTCTTTGTATTCTTTATGATGTGGCCTTCGTCAAGAACGCAATAATTCCAATGGATGCCACTAAAAGAGAGAGAGAGACGGTCAGGGGTATATATAACATAGTAATTAACATACGAAAAGAAGTCAATATCATTTCTAACAATATCATAAGACACAATCACCAAATCATAATCGGAAACAACTTTCTGCAGCCTAGAGAGAGAGGGAACACATCGCATCATTGTGTACATGTATATGTACCTTCCCCTAACAGCAGGTGGTCCACAATATTGGATTGGATTCAAATGCTCCAATTCACAGAACTTCTTCACTTCATAATACCAGTGTCCAGTGAGGGTCGGCGGACATATGACAATGGACGGAAGGGGAGAGCAATCGGGGTGACCAGTTGCCTAGCAACAATACACATAAGGTTGTCATGACAACAAGATCGCACCTCGTATTGCTTCTTCCTGTCGAATGTGTCTCCAGCAATGATGCATATTGATTGAAGGGTTTTACCCAATCCCATATCTGTAAAGGATTAGTAGTTATAAAAAGAGGTGTGACTAAAGGGTTAACGTTAATAACTCACCATCACAGAGGATACCATGTACTTGATACTTGTTCAAAAAAGCTAACCAATTGATCCCATCCTACATCAATATCAGTGTTAATATATCAATATCAGTGTTAATGGAATCAGTGTTAATATATCAGCATCAGTGATTCAGGAAATCAGTATAATATCACTTACTTGTTGATACTTTCTCAGTTCAGCTTTAATCGGTACAGGTACTTTATAATTATCAAGTTTGCTCGGATTAAGCAGCTGCTCTAGGAACTTTCTCTCTTTATTTCTCTTATCAACTAAAACTTGAGAGACACCAGCTGGATCAACGGCTCCAGACTATCAGTGTCATACAATCCCTGTAATGATCAATTTTAACTGAACTTACTTCAAGTGGCATTAGTGCTACAAGCTTAGCAAAGCAATGCGACGCCATTAGTCTAACACTATTATCCTGATCACTCATCCGACCCAGTACAGGCATCACAAGTAATACTACGTACCACAAGATATTAATATCTAATGTATCTATAAAACCTATTTAATAATAAAAATAAATAAATAAAATAAAATAAAAGATTTTCATTACAAGCTATGACTTCAATTGCTCCTTGTCTATTTTCTATATTTTTTGTGTCGCCCAAAAAAGGAAGTATTTCATCCATGAAAAACTGCAAAAAAAACAATGTATAAACATCAAAAGTCTGTTTAGGAAAAAAAAAAAAGCTATGCATTGACCGGGAATCGAACCCGGGCCTCCCGCGTGGCAGGCGAGAATTCTACCACTGAACCATCAATGCAGAACATACCATCAAGACTTCATGAATATTGATAATAGCTAGAGCAGCTGTACATCGAGCTCCCATATGTCTAATGGCGGTAAAAGGAGACAAGACACAAGAGAGAAGGGATGGTAGTAGAGAGAAAAACTATTTAACGAAATAATAAATAAATACACAGCTGGTATTTACTCTTTCTTTTATCGTTGAGTCTAAAATCGCTGGACAAAGTGTTTCAAATATTTGCAATCCATTGACAATGGCAGCAGCTGCTTTCATATCATCATCAGTAAACACTATATTTATTGATCAGTGATATCATTAATAATAATAAGTAAATACCTTTAGATTCATTTCTAATATTAGACAACGGATCGTTTATCAAACTCCACAGTTGAGGTAGTTTAGTGAATAATTCTGATCCAAAATGACCCACTAAAGCACTCAGTCCAGCTTCACCTCCACTCCTCTGGACACTTAATAACTATTAATATAACCACAGGGTTAACCACAGTCATCAATTAGAACACACATTCTGTTCGTTATTGCTTCCAGTCAATCCACTAGAGCCATTAGCCTCTCTATTTGATCCAGCTGGTCTCCCAGGACCTCTTCTTGACTTCAGTGACTTGGATACCTGCTAATGATAATAAATTATACAACCACATATACCACATACAATGAAACATACTTTATTATTTTTCATTAGTGATATAATTCCATCAGTAATACTCCAACTAATGCTATTAGAACTGTCCTTCTTCTGGTGGGTGTGGGTTGATTGTTCCTGTCCAGTACCATCAGCTGGTTTAATTGGAGGAGTGTGACTAGAATCACAACATAAATACCCAGCTAGGTTCTTAATTATCTTATTATTAGGAGATGGAGTCCTGTCGATGGATAACTCAAGAAGAACACTCAGCCATTGTGAAGTGAGTGACTGCAGCAAAGGATCACTGTGTGTCTTTATGGAGTCCATCAGTGGTCGAATGATAGGGTTTAGCTTAGGAGGGAGGGAAGAGAGGGATATTAGGCTACCAGCAGCTGTAGTCTGCACTAACAGCTGCAATGAGGAGTGATACTCTTGATACTGGCCAATGCTTGTTAGTAGGTTGCGATGATACGACTCAAAGTCCTAAAGGAGGAGGAGAGATATGATATAAATTGATTTGTTTCTCTACTTGTTTCTCCTCGTCAGTTAACGTCAAAGTTTCTATTCCTTTGGAATAAGTACTGCCAGCCAGTTGAACAGCAAACTCAACAGAATATAAACTAGCAATAAATATTAATTAATAAAAGATAATGAATAATTAATATGGCAAAAGCACCTTGGATTTATTCCTCCACTGACATCAATACCCTTTTTCTCTAAACCGCTAACAAGAACCTAAACACGTGTACATGTACATGTAACACATAATCCATACATGTACATGTACAGTACGTACATAGCAGTCTTTTTGCAATGATGCCATAAATGGTGTGACTTCTTCATATACACAATATTCAGTAAGAGAACTGGTCAGACTGGTTATGATATCTGGTTGTGGCGGAGCATCTTTCCAGTAAGTTATTAGCAAAGAGGCCAGTATTTTACAAATGGAACTGTTACTGGAGAGCATCTGAGAGACGGGAGTTGATAATAAAGCATGAGAGGAAGAAGGAATGGAGCCAACTAATAAACCAATGCACCTGTTACATAGAGAGAGAGAGAGAGAGAATTAAAAATTTAGATAGAAATAGTTCATTTCTTTCTTACTTGGAGCAAGTGACTCTAGCTTTAAAAGCTGCTTGTTCTTTGACAGAAATCGATTCAACTCCTAAACAACCGCCCAAATAAACATCTCCAGCAAGGCCATTCTAAAAGCAAAACAATAAAAACAACAATAAACAACAGGATTATATTAATTACTAGTAGTGAGAGGTCAATGGATTGTATGGGTGGAGTCACTAATATTGATAACCAATTCATTAAAGTTTTCGATAATATTTCACACAATTTAGAACCATCTACCAACGATACCACTCGATTCCATACCTAAATCAAATAATAAGAAATTAATAATTACAGTGCTCTTTATTAGAGAAAAATGATAATTATACTAATAACCACATAGTACAGGGTATTCCGCCAAAAATAAAAAGGAGAGAATTTTCCATTTTTATATTATTTTCTGATGCATATACATGTACTTATGTTGCGCAGAAAGTTTGAGCTCATTCCGATCAAGTTTGGATTTTTTACGAATTTTAAAAGTTACTCAAAAATCAGGCCAAAGTCCCTGTACTATAGTACATGGTCTCGGGCCAAATTTTGCAAAAAATAAAAAGTAGAAAATTTTCCGTTTTTATATTATTTCCTGATGCATATACATGTACTTATGTTGCACAGAAAGTTTTAGCTCATTCCGATCAAGTTTGGATTTTTTTACGAATTTTTTAAATCGCTCCAAAATCAGGTAAAAGTCCCTGTACTATAGTACAGCATATTTTATCAAAAATGGATTCTTCATTAATAGGAGCTAGTCTCTTACTTCAAAGGCTACGTTCCCAACACCACTGTCCCCCTCAAGAGCTAATCTAATAAATAAATTATTTAACAATTCGTTCAGAATAGCCTCGAGCCACAAGGAAGTCTCTTTATTAGGGGTAGCCCCTTCGTTAGGAATCATAATCAAATTATTGATTGTTTTCAAACAGGAGCCTCTCACGGTGTGAATGGTATGGTTTAAAAATGGATACAACCTTGGGACTAATAATGACAATGAGGAACCAGATAATAGCGAAGACACCTCCTCCTATTAATAAAGTTATTAATAAGTTATCAATAGTTATTAACAAACATTATTTGATTTGTATTTGGGTAGGTATGTTAAGAGGCATGAAAGTAGATCCATTACAGCTGCTGTTGATGAAGAGAGGTCGTCCAAATGAAGCAGACTGTCCCATAGTATATGTACTAACATTACCAGCTGGAGAAATGAAAATAACAACAGCATTAGTCTTTCTCTCTCTCTCACTCTGTCATTAAAAGAGGTGTGTAAATGATCAGCCACAGGTAGGAGCGCTCTTGCAGCAACAGATCTCACATCATCATCATTATCCTGCAATCCTTTAATGATACACTCACCAACAACTGGTAATATGTTAATGGATACATCCTAGAAAATTGTGCATATTTTACTTACTGATTACCCCCAGGGGCCCCCCTTGGGTATAAATTCTCTTACCATTCTAGCGGCTAGTAAGTGTTGTAGTCCTAATAGGGTTGAATGTCTGATCTCCCAGAGGTCCTGCTGGCTCAATATTAACAACAAGTTAATTAATTTATAAATATTCTCATCAGAAAGTTCTTTACAAATAATACCAAGAACTTGAGCACATGTGGCACGTACAGGTGCTACCACCTATAATCATATTCATAGCATTAATTAATTATCAATTAATTACTTGATCTGATACAAAATCGGCAAAGCGATCCAGAGCAAACACACAAATTATCCTAATGGCAGCATCTGAGAGCCAATTCTGATTAACAGTAATCCTCTAATAATAATTAATAATAATTAATAATAATAATAATAATAATAATAATAATAATAATAATAATAATAATGATAATAATAATAATAATAATAATAATAATGAACATTGTAGTTGCTTACCTGTTCAGTGGGCGTGGTTGACAATATTCCAGCTGTATCACCATGCTGCTTGATAACTTCTCTTAAAGCTGAACCGGCCCCATGTCGTACCTATGGAGTAAAGGGAACTATGAAATGTACATGCATTATATTGATGTACTACACACCTCCCACTGGGGGTTAAATAATTGCTGAAACATGAACTCACAGAACCAGGTAAAAGGCCATTCATCGGACTACAAAAACCATTAAATAAAGTAAATAATTAAGAAAGTGACAAGCAAAATTACTTCATCAAAGAAAGCCTCTGTATCAGGTACTTGGTCTATTATTATTTTATTGCTTCCTTCTGCTTGGTCAACCATTACAGAAGATGTCTTGAGCCTCTTGCTGGTAGGAGGAGTGGGGTCATTATCGCTAGGAGAGAAGAGATATACTTTTATCAAACATTACAAGTGTGCTACCATTCTGCTGCCTTCTCTTTATCACGTGCAACCTTCCTTGAAGCCATTTTAACTTTTCTCTTGGCTCTGTTTCTCTCTCTGGCACTCATACCACTCAGAGCAGTTAACTCATGTATTTCAACATTGGACTAACACGAGAGAAGAGAGAGAGAGAGAGAGAGAGAGAGAGAGAGAGAGAGAGAGAGAGAGAGAGAGAGAGAGAGAGAGAGAGAGAGTGAAGGTAAGAGGGAGAATGAAGTAGAATAAGAATCCTTGTTTACTTGTTTCAGTGGTTTTGTCTGTTTTTTGAAATTAGTCAGTAGATCGTTATCATCAAACAGCTGCTCCAGGCCAGTTGAGAATACCTTACCTTGCGAGACTAAGCCTAACTTCTGTTTCAACTGTTGCCTGTGATATGTGGCTTTCTCCTAATAAGAACAGTAACAATAGAAATTATCAACTTGTCATTATACTTTTTGCGTCATTTTTTGATACTCGACATCATTCTCAAGTTGATTATATTCATCACCAGTAGAACTAAGCAATGGAGTGCCATACTTTAACACCTAATTAATTAATTAATTAAGTACTTAATTAATATTCATACCTGTGTAATATCAAATGTTTCAAATGAAAGTTGTTCGCTGGTCTTAAATGCATCTTTCTCTTCATCTTTATTATTAAATGGAGGGTTCCAGTGCTTCACATTCTTCACTATAGCCTCAACAGCTTGAGCAGCTGCTACCCTGCTATCCCAATTCTTACTAGACAAATACTGGCAAACCTAATAAATAATAATAATATTATTGTTGTTGTTGTCAATTTTGATTTTTTTAAAATTTACTTTTCTCAGTAGATTATTAAACTCGTGTGGGTGGAGTTTCTGTATTTCCCCTATTTGTTGGGCAGCTGCTTTACGTGTGACTGGAGTTGAGCCACACTCCAAAAGCACCCAAAGCCTGTCCAGCCTAACACATCATAAATAAATCATTAATGTGAATTTCTCACAAATTGCTGCCATTTTAAACCCCGCCCTTACTTACCTCGTGGCCATTTCTGCGCATGCTCAGTACATATTCCCTCGCTTTTTATATTACGTCACTCAAATCAGTTAATTGATAGTTATTGATACGTTTACGCGGTTATTAATAAATTTAAGCCACGCCCAATCAGAAAAAACTGTTTGATCTGCACAAGAAGGAGATACTGGAATTATGGCTAGCAAGAGTGACCCCAGCAAAGAGCCAGAGGCTAAGAAGAGGAAGCAAGTCCGTGTGTGGGTGGACGGCTGGTAAGAACTTGAAATTTTCTCCTAATACTTCATCAATAATCTTCTCACAGCTTTGATATGGTTCATTTTGGTCATGCTAATGCATTGAGACAAGTATGTAGTTCAATTATGTGGAAAGTGGGTGTTCATTATTGTTATCAATAGGCAAAAGCTTTAGGAGATGTACTAATAGTTGGAGTTCACAGCGACAGTAATTATTTGTGTTGTTGTTGTTGTTTATTGTTGTTGTTTAGAGGAAGTAACGAGACACAAAGGCATTCCGGTGATGAGCGAGAAAGAAAGGTTAGTCATTAATAGTTGATAATAGTTAATTAACCGATTGAAAAGATACAAGATGGTGAGGTCTATAAAGTGGGTGGATGAGGTCAGTATTTAATGACTCCAATAAATAACTGAAGCTTCAATCACTCCTTCAGGTCGTAGAGGATGTTCCATATGTCACTCCTGTATCAATACTCGACGAACATAACTGTGATTTCTGTGCACATGGAGGTATTGCACTTATATGCACATGCATCGTATATTTTTACTAAATCTTTAGATGATATTACATTTGCCCCTGATGGTTCCCATAGCTATCAGGCTATCGTTGACGCCGGTCGTTTTAAAACCTTTAAAAGAACTCAGGGGGTTTCTACCACTGACCTGGTAGGAAGGTATGACATCATTTTTATGTGTATAGTACATTATGTTGTATGTTCATTGAATGTTAGGATGTTATTGATGACAAAAGAGCATTTCCTTGATTCAGAAAAGGAGGACATTGTAGCTCAGTCTCCAGTCAAGAAATTTGCAGTAAATGAAATGGGGGCCATTACCATAACCTTTCTCCCTCTCTCTACCTCTCAGAATCCTTTAGGTACTAATCCATACAATGGCCTCTTTAAATTTTTGAGAACCTCACAGAGAATTATTGACTTCTCTGGTGGTACCGTCAAAGAACCAAAGGTAGCCTTTATAAGTTATCAGGATTGTTGCTCTATTATAATTCATTGCTATTGTTCTTTTACACGACAGTCTGGTGATAAAGTTGTGTATGTCGCTGGAGATTTCGATCTGTTTCACGTTGGACATGTTGCCTTTTTAGAAAAGTGCCTTCAATTCGGTAATTATATTATAATCGGACTACATGAAGACAGGGTAAGTAGTTAATTAACTATTAATAATGAACTACTAAATATCAATATAGGTTGTCAATTCTTACAAAGGACGTAATTTCCCTATAATGAATCTACATGAACGCGTCCTTGGAGCTCTGGCTTGCAGAGTATGATTAATATCACATTGTTTATTGTTTATCGTTTTGTTTGTTTGAATGTTTATAGTATGTTTCAGATGTTGTTATTGGTGCTCCTTATCAAATTGAAGAGGATTTACTCGACTTTTTCAAAGTATAATGTATATTTATGTGTGTACATAATGTGCAATGGTGTGGTGTTCGCAGGTCGATTTTGTGGTTCATGGTCGAACACCAATCAAACCTTGTCATGATGGTTCAGATCCTTATCAAGTTAGAAACAATAAATAATAATGATAACTAAATAAATTAATTAATAAATAAGGTTGCACGTGATAGAGGTATATTCCGTCAAATTGATAGCAACAACCCACTGACTACTAACGATATAGTTCATCGCATCATACGAAACAGGTATGAAAAAATAACATTTTTGTGATACTTGTTTGTCTTTAGAATGAAATTTGAGGAGAGGAATGAAAGGAAGGAGAGTGTTGATAAACGTGGACAAGAAAGCTGTGAGTCATGAAGAAAGAGCTGCTGAAAATTGACCCGAAAATATCTGCTAAAAGCATTATTATTATTATTACTATTGTGGGCACTATGTGTCGTTTTATTGTCATTTTAATGTCACAAGCATAGTAACTTTAAAATTACCAGCAGGTCTAGGCTTATTATTATTATTATTATTATTATTATTATTACTATTATTGCTACACTTTTATTGAATTAATAAATGAATTTAAATTACAACACTAATAATAATTAATTTAGTCTTTTCGTCGCACTATTATTTAAAATTATGTTTTCGGTCTGGGTGGCCCTTGCAGCGGACTCTGACCAGGTCCCAACATTATCTATGGGAAAAAAATTAATTAATGGTGGGAGGAGCAACCATGCCCACATAACCATTTACGATATTATTAATTATTGTCAGCACAAGAAAATTATTTCTAGTTGATCGTACACAAACCTGTTTAGTTTGGAGGTCTTGCATAGCTACCATTTCTAGTCTCTGGGTTTCTATGAAAGCTGGAAACCAGAGCAAAGCCATTGAAGTACCAATGACCCAAGCAGAGCGACGTATCAGCCAGTAGGTGAATGAGAACCCGTTCTTGCTCAGCCTCCACCAACTGTCAGGGACCATCTCAGAGAGACCAACCAATCTCTCCAAAATTGTCTCGTTTATACCCTCCAACTGGTTAAATTTGAAGTTTAGGGTATTCATTATTTGTTATTTACTTCTTCTTCGTCTATTTCACTCTCTTCCTCTTCTTCCTTTTGCTTCAATCCTTTGAAACTAACACCTAAAGAGCTCCTAGTGTCCATATTGCAGCACGTGTGTAGACCACACCTACCAATCGTTAGCCAGCCACACCTACAGGTAGACTACGCCCACGTATACTTCACATACCCCTCCTTTAGGAGAATCCCCTTAGCTCTCCTGGCTTCCCTTCTCTCTCTCTATCTCCTCTGGTCATGTTTCCAGTCACGCAGGTAACACACAGCTGCTTCTGTAATATAATCTACTCCTTCTAGTCCTAAGCCTTTTATAAACGTATCGTTTTCTGGTCTCTCTTTTTTATTTATTTCTCCAGCGCCAGTACAGTTGGGTCAACAAGACAGAGCAGGCTCCTAACACTAGCATTGGAATATCCAACAATGAACGGATTAACAGATTTGGACAATCATCACAGACCAGAAACAATGAAGACAGGTCTGTGGGACATACATGTTCACAGAACTATCACCAATTAACATTGTTATACACACACACACTCTCTCTCTCTCTCTTTACCCCTCTCTCCCTCTCTCTACCCCTCTCTCCCTATCTTTATAGATACTACAGTGGCTGCCAAGGTAATATCCAATTGTGTATGGTCCTTGATGGCCATCAAGGTGAATCAGCTGCCGAGTTCACTGTGCTTAGTTTAGCCGGTAAGATACTCTCAGAGTCTAGAATAGAAGACCCTAAGTTGCTCCTGGAGAGGGTTTTCAGAGAAACCGAAGACTCTTTCTTTGTTGGTATGGACGATCCGATTGGACGGAGATTAGCATTGAAAGCAGAATTAAATGTAAGAGAGAGAGAAAGGGAGGAGAATCTTTAATTAATGTATTAATTAATGTGCGTGCTTTTTGATTTATAGCAAAGACCAGCTGGTGGTTCATTTGAACGTCATCGTGACTTACAACAGGATGAACTGCGGAGGCTGGACTCACAGATTGAGGGAGGGACCACTGTAGTACTGTCATTGATAACCACGAACAATCAGTAAGATACTGTATTGCTTGTAGGTGTGGCTAATCTCCATCTCTTTATTATTATTATTACTATTGTAGGTTGTATACAGCTAATATTGGCGATTCAAGAGCTGTTTTATGTGAAGAGGATAAAAACGGTCGCATCATTGCCTCCCAACTCTCCGATGATCATAACGTATTCAACCCGGAGGAACAAGATAGACTCAAGAAACTAGGACTTGATATAGGACAGCTGCTACAGCTACGAAGATTAGGACCTTTTCAAATTACCAGATCAATTGGAGATTACCTAATCAAAGGTGGCTACACTGAAGTGGATGTGTTGAGGTATGTATAAGAAGTGTGTCTGTTTTTCATAATATTGTAATAATACTCTATTCTCAGGTCTGCTTCACAAGGGCCAGGTATAGCCACTCCTTTTGTTAACGGCCCTTGGGATATTTCTAATCTTCAAAATAAAACGTTTCTAATACTAATGTCCGACGGGCTCTACGAAGCATATGGGTCTTGCATCAACACGAGAAACCCTCCAGAGCTTCACTCTTCGCTGGCGAGACTCGTGATGGATGAAATGAGGCTACATAATAGACTGGATCGTGTGGGACAGGCCGTCGTGAATAGAGTGAAGGAACAGTACAGGGAGATATGTAGGAGGGACAGGAAGGATGGTAAACTTGATGATATGACATTAATAATTCAAAACTTTACCTACCCCATGGGTTCAGCTCCTGTCCCCGAACAAATTGACTCACCCCTGCTCCAGTATCACAGTCCGTCGCCTTTTTATAGTCATAGGACTCCTCATGTTGAGTCTTCACCAGGTGGAGTTTTTGTTGAAGAGAATATCAGCCCATTTCCCTCTACTGGACGTCAACAACCGCCTATACATTATCAGCAGTTTGGTGGGCACGCTGGTCAAATGGCTACTGGTAGATCAACTGGTTCAATGGCTACTGGTGGGTACACTGGTTCGATGGCTACTGGTCAATCAACTGGTTCAATGGCTACTGGTCAATCAACTGGTTCAATGGCTACTGGTCAATCAACTGGTTCAATGGCTACTGGTGGGTACACTGGTTCAATGGCTACTGGTCAATCAACTGGTTCAATGGCTACTGGTAGATCGACTGGTTCAATGGCTCAGCCAGGCAGTGATAATGTACAATTGGTAGCTCAACAAATGTCTGGTTTGAATATTAAGCCAAAGGAACTCTTTCCTCCTGAGGGCGGGCAGTCAGCAGCTGCTAGTGTTAATAGGCCCAGAGAGCTCACGAAAGAAGAGGAGGAGTCTGGGAAATTTATAAAACCCTATATTGTGTTTCCAAATGATTTTCCATTTGATCTGACACTTGATAGCATTCGAGATTAGTTTTTGTATTAATTATAATTTTAATAATAATAAGAATGATATGAATCAGTAACAGCCACGTTTTTAACTTTATGCCGCAACTGCATGTATGCAATTATACGTTTTTTTAATTTTAAAAAGCTACGGAATTTTTTCATTTTTAAAATCTTTCACACAAATTACTGGTATATTGTAGATGTTAGTGTTCATTATGGCTTAAAAAACAAACGGTGAAAAAATAATTGGGAGTGGCCTTCACTGAAGCCCCGCCCCCTGGTCAAAGAAAGAAAGCAATTTAGCTTCAACATCATCTGGAGTATATTTTATATATTTATCTCGATTTTTAGTAAAATTTACCCCAGAATACCTAGAAAAATAACATAATTTTGACTCATTTTACTAATGCAAACGTACTCGTCATAAAATGCTTCATAGGGTATATTCACAAGTTGTACTATTTCATCCCTCACTCTTCGTCTGAGAGTGGGGTCTGGGATTGAATATTGCTGCTGGGTCTTGAATAGCTCCTCAAGCTCAACATTAAACCCCTGGAGGGGGAGAACAATAATTAATAGTATTATTATAATAATAATTACTTTGAACTTGTCTTTCAGTGCTTGTTTTTGGTTCTTAGTGGGAGGAAGATTAACTGACAAATGTCCCAAATGACCCAACAATTTAGCAAACCTGTATACACAACAAAAAAACAACAACAACAACAACAATAAACATAATAATGTTTTTCTCTGACCCTCTCTGATATCCGCTCCTCTGGTTGTCTATTAAAGTTACATAATTCTCTTCAATATCTCTTAAAGCCATTCTCATGAGGTCAAGCATGAGCTCTTTCCTAAGAGAAAGAATGACAGGAGCTCTCATTGTTACTCCTGCACCTGGTGAATGTTGAGTGTACAAATGAATAGTTGTTTAATAAGAAGACAGCTGCTAGGACAGGAGACTCATAGTTTCTGGCTTTTTGCTCCATATTCAATGCAAGGGCATTGAGGGTTTGAACTAGTACAATAATTATTTTAAAATATATATATAATATATCTTACCCATAAAATTTCCAACTGCTTTTCTACAATCTTCAAGATCATAGTAACCCTCTAATATTAAAAAATAGCATCACAATCACGCCACACCTACTCACCGTGATTCAGCTGTAGTCTGCCCACAGTGTCTGAGAATGTTAGCATTTGCTCCAGGAACCACATCGTCTAAATGACCACACCCACCATAACCACACCCACAAATAAAATGGCTACCTTGCTCGTTAGTTCGTGTACTGTTCCATCTCGTGGAAGATTAGAAACTTTTTCAGAGTCGCCCTTTAATTAGAGAATAATAACGTGTATAGATTACATGCAAACATACTTTAATGTACACGATGTAATCTTGTAATCCTTTTGACGCCTATACCATATATACTCCAATTATAAGTACAATTCTAATATTACTCACTAGTTTTTCACACCTTCCAAGCAAATGCCCAAACTTCACATATAGCTCCTCCCCTCCAGTTGCATTCTATGGAGAATATTAATTAATATTAATTAAACATTGTCTTACAAATAAAAGTGATTTATATTCCGGGAGGGTCTTGTAAAGTGCTTCGACTATTTTTAAAATTGAAATAATTGTCAGAAACTCGTGCCTTGTCATCTGCCGCTGAGCCAGTGTGAGGACACTCTGTAATATACAAAATAAAATAATATATTCTTTCTCTCTCTTCCTCTCTTTCAGTTGCTTACATCTCCCTTGGATATGAGATAGTTAATCGGTTCTGATATGATGATGTTAAACACATGACTGTGGTGTCTCTGTGGTACGATACGCTCCATCAACACGAATTCAGACTAATTAATGATAATGATAATAATAATAATAATAATAATAATAATAATAATAAGTAATAATGATATTATTACCTTCATTAATTTCATTAAAATTATTGACAATTTAACAACTACTGTTGCACCCTCCAACCTATTATACACCAGTTATTAATAGTTATTAATGGTTATTAATAGTTATATTTCTTACGGTTCATCTGAAGTGACTGCTCCATCTCCAGCTAGTAATGACGAAGTTGAGAGCTTGCCTTGAACTGCATTAATAATAATAATAATAATAATAATAATTTGTTTATTATTTTTTAAATTTTACCTATTTTACTCCTTGCTAGTCCAGTTATACTGTGATACAAATTAATCAGAATAAATTCATAAAATACATAACTAACTCTTTCTTTTTGCCACCTTGTTTCTTTGTTGGAGTAGCAGGCTTGACTGCAACTGGAGAAGAGAAAAAAATTAAATTTGAAATGATTTCAAAGCCAGTTTTGGGGGAAATTGGCTCGTTTTTAAAATGGAAATAACTTGAAAAATACTTGTCGGAATCAGCTCAAACTTTCTACACAGCATAAAGGCATCATTATGTATCAGAAAATGTAATAAAAATTGGGGGTGATTTCGGAGCCATTTTTTGAAAAAACCATGGGCTATAGCCTTGGGTATTTTTCAAAATTTTGACGTTTTCTTAAAATGGCCGTAACTCGAAAAATTGAAGTCGGAATCAGCTTAAACTTTCTACACAGCATGAGGACATCAATATGTATCAGAAAATGTAATAAAAATTTGGGGTGATTTCAGAGCCATTTTTTGGAAAAAAACCATGGGCTATATAGCCTTGGGTATTTTTCAAATTTTGACATTTTCTTAAAATGGCCGTAACTTGAAAAATATTAGTCGGAATCAGCTCAAACTTTCTACACAGCATAAAGGCATCATTATGTATCAGAAAATGTAATAAAAATTGGGGGTGATTTCGGAGCCATTTTTTGAAAAAAACCATGGGCTATAGCCTTGGGTATTTTTCAAAATTTTGACGTTTTCTTAAAATGGCCGTAACTCGAAAAATTAAAGTCGGAATCAACTCAAAATTTCTACATAGCATAAGGACATCAATATGTATCAGAAAATGTAATAAAAATTGGGGGTGATTTCGGAGCCATTTTTTTGAAAAAAACCATGAGCTATAGCCTTGGGTATTTTTCAAAATTTTGACGTTTTCTTAAAATGGCTGTAACTCGAAAAATTGAAGTCGGAATCACCTCAAACTTTCTACACAGCATAAGGACATGAATAATTGAATATGTATCAGAAAATGTAATAAAAATTTGGGGTGATTTCAGAGCCATTTTTTGGAAAAAAACCATGGGCTATAGCCTTGGGTATTTTTCAAAATTTTGACATTTTCTTAAAATGGCCGTAACTTGAAAAATATTAGTCGGAATCACCTCAAACTTTCTACACAGCATGAGGACATCAATATGTATCAGAAAATGTAATAAAAATTGGGGGTGATTTTGGAGCCATTTTTTGGAAAAAACCATGGGCTATAGTCTTGGGTATTTTAAGGATATAGTAAAAGAAATGTTTATCTTACAAGAAGAGGCATAGGCTTGCTTTCTTGGTGTGTTATTATCATAAAACGAAGAGAGGGTCCTTCCCAACGTATTAGACCTTATTTGTCCATAATTATTCAAAATGTCTCCTCTATTTTCAGCAGCTGAAGTCACGACATAGCGTGCAACTGTACTGAGGTCTTTCACGACACCGTCAGGAAGGTGCTGTATTGTCGGCGTGGCTTGTTTAGTGGGTGAGGCTTGGATTTCATCTCCTGCTTGTGACAATTCCAAGTCCACCATCTTTTGAAGGACTGCATAAGGAACTGGCTCGGAATTATGTCGCAATAAATCTCTAAAGTTCTTTTCGAGTATTTCGATACCGCGATCAAATGAAGTTGTCTAGAGAAAAAGGAATTATTTTGATAATATTAACTTAACATTTACCACGTGTGATAACTCCATGCTGGACGGATTGTTATGACGAAAGAAATCAACAGCAGCTCTTAACTTGTCCAATAATTTCAAATATGCTTCAAAATTACCTTTAGGTCTAAAAAATATCATTAAAAATGCTAATTAATAATTTAATAATAAAATGATGCTACTTATTAATAATAAATCATGCAAGTATTTGTACCCTTCTCTCAATTTTGGATCAACTTCATCGGCAACGTGATGGTAATCAATGACTTGCTGTAGTTTAGTCATTGTAGAATCAATATCTAACGAGAGAGAGAGAGACAGAGAGGGAGAGACAGAGAGGGAGAGAGAGAGAGGGGGGGAGAGAGAGTACATGTATTAATACATCCACTACAGTTGTACATAGTTCTATTACTTTCTTGTAAAGCTGTCAATTGTTTCGTCTTCTTATACACTGGCATTATTGTTTTATCCATTTTAGTCAAGCGGCCATCAAAAGAGTCCAGAATATCAACCTACCATAAGTCCCATCTTAAATATAGAGAGACAAGTTTTCAACCTTACCATGTCTTTTGTTAATTTCTCGCTTTGTGACAATCTTTCTGATAACTCTTTAATCTTTGCCTCATCCTAAAATAAATTATGAAAGAAAGAGTGAAGGAGAAATGAGTCTAGTAGGTTCTTTACTTGAGCTAGGCGAGCTTCTATGTGTTTTCTTCTTGCAGCAACGGCCTCCATTTTGAAGTGGTGACGTCACCAAAACACGCCCACACAAGAATGTTCATGAAGGGGCCGGGGCCATTGAATTCAATTTTCTAACATTGCCGGGATTTTACGAAGAGATACGGAGGAGGCGAATTGGTGATAGCTATGTCTTTCTCTTCTGAGTTTTCTCCTGCAGCGATAGCAGCGAGAGATTCTGTACAAAGTCCTCCGGAAGGATATTATGGCAAATACTCACCTACCTTCCCAAACCCTGTTTATTGTTTCGTGGAAATGTTTTATGCTTATAAAGATACCTTCTATCAAAAGTATGTCTGTATAGAAATAGTATTTCTATTAAAAGTATAACTGGTATGAGTCTAATTGCATTGACCTTTGCAAGTTTGAACGAGAGATACTGATCTTCCTCGTAATTAAATGCGTGGGATCTTATTATTTGATAATTTTGAATTTTAATTATAGCTAGGCCTATTATGATTTAATGTTAATAAGAATTTAATGTTAGTAACAATGTTAATAAGAATTGATTTTAGCATATATTTGTGTACCATTGCAAAGCCATTTATTTGTCGTGCCTGTACTTAAGTAAATAAACGTTTATTTAAACTGAAAATACTGTGAATATCTTTATGTATAGCTGGTAATTTTTGGAGGAGGAAATTATTGAGAATTCGGCTTAAAAAAATTTTTTGTGACCATTTAACAATAATTATAAAACCCAGCATATTGAGCCGTACTGATTAACTAACAGCTGTTAAGTGGCTCAATTATCTCTTTTACAGTTTAGTTCCACACAATGGGATCAATCAATGGCTGAAAGACACTTGGGAATGGCATTACATTTGTAGCTACATTACCTTAAAAGATATCTTTTATATCATTTTGACTGCAATTTTATTTACTATTCTAAGATTCATCGTCTACAAAGTACTTTTAGAGGTGAGCTCCTATATTTCATTCATTATCCAGCTATTTAATTTATAGCGGATACCTCTTTGGTTTAAATTGGCCCCAGAGGCCGTGGAGAAGTTTCCCGAGGCTGCCTTTAGAACTGGAGTGTATGCGCCTTTATGGCTCCTCTCCTTTTATTCCATAGCCCAAAGGAACCTTTTCTATTATCCCTTCACAGTCTGGGAAGGTTAGTATTGTTTAAAGTTTTATCTGATTTATATTTTGAGCTAATTCTAATATTATTGAGCTTTCATATTTTTTAGATAATCTGATTTTTATACATTTTTGCCACTTATAAACATTTAACCTAATGCATCTCTTACTGTAGATTGGATAGCTGGAGCTTTTGTCCCATTTGATATATACGTTGGCTATATAATACAAATGGGTTTCTACATTCACATGATGTACGCCACTACATACATTGAGACTGTTAGGAAGGACTATGCTGTACAGATGCTACACCATGGTCTTACATTGTGCCTCCTTGGTTACTCATTATGCATGAGGTGAGACGTCAACTTCTAAATGTACATATACCATACCTCATGCGTTTGATATTGACAGTTGTTTATCCTTTTATTCCATACCCCTAGGTTTCATTACATTGGTCTTCTAGTTCTTTTTATTCATGATTTTGCTGACGTCTTCCTTGAAGTGGCGAAGGCCATCCTTTACTTCAAAGACAGGGGTGGGAAGTCTTACAAGCTACCAGAACACATAGCGAATGTTCTCTTTGCAGTATTCGTATTGCAATGGTAAACCCTTGTTTGTCGTAATGTATGTTATGACTACTATCCCTCATCATAGGATACTCTTTCGCTTGTACTGGTATCCCGTGAAGTTGCTATATGCTACCGGATTCGTTAGTCAAAAGTTTTATCCCGAGGCTCCGTTTTATTCCCTTTTTAACATAATGCTCCTGGTCCTATACGGGCTACACATCTACTGGTTTTTTTTTATAATACGTCTTGTTGTCAAAGTGATAACTGGGAATGAGTTATCCGATACACGTGACCTTGAGGAAGAAAAGAAAAATGATTAATATCAAGAGAAATGAAGCAGTAATACAAGAAATATTTGCTAGTATTATCATTAAACTTGAACTAATAATAATTATTAAAAATTATAATTATAATGCATTAGGTTTATTTTAGTGTGGAAATTTTTTATCATTAGATTGTAAAAAAGGAAGCGGTAGGCTGTGTTTACGTGAGCGTGGTCCTTCGTCTGTAATTGAGTCTTGTCTTTTAAGTATTGACTTTACTGTAGGACTGCTCAGTGGCTCTAGCGAGCCTTCACAATAGAAGCCACTTTGTCTCCTTGCAGCCTTGTAACTTTTATTGCCGCTGCTGCTAACCGAATAGTTTGGTAATGAAGGGAGCTTGTCAAAACTTAGTTTAAGTTTCCCTCTCTGGCTTGCTAGTGGCACAACTTTTCTATGAGAGAATGAGGGGAGCTTGATTGGTTTAGTTTGTGGAACGTCAAACATTGATTTACCACCACTCCAGTCACCAGTTCTGCCTGACTGCTGCTCGTTCAGTTCAGGCAAATGAAATTTGTCTGGTTTGACTCGAAACTGAAATACACTTGGAGAGCTTGTATCAAATTCAAAGTGATCATCGGAATCATTGATGAAATCAGAGAGAGTTTTGACTTCTTTTCTTGTCCGTTTCCGTCTTGTTTTCGGTGACAGGAACGACAACTCTCCTAACCCATAACAACTAGTCTCTTTCATCCAGTCTTCGGGTGTCATAAAGTTTTCCAAGTCTCGTATAGTGACTGACGCTTTACCCTTTTCAACAAGGACTCGAGCAGCTTCTATGTGACTATTTTGAGCTGCAATCAGTAAAGGAGTGAGTCCCTTGATGTTCTTTTGATCGACATGCATCCTTTGCTTGAGAGACTCACCTAGTACTTTCCTTACAATTTCAGGATCTCCTACTTGAGCTGCATGGCACAATGGAGTGTTTCCTTCGTTGTCTGCTATTTTAACGTCTGAGCCTTTCCGGAGTAAAGTAGAAACTAGCTCCAAGTCTTGATTTTTAATTGCAGAGATGAGAGGAGTCTGGCCATCTTTATCTGCAGTGTTTATCTGACAGCCTCGCTCAAGCAGCAAATTTGCTATTGTTCTCCTAGGTTCGGGATCCTTCAAAGAAGCTGCAAGCAGCAATGGAGATTCATTCTTTTGACTGGCACAATTGACACTGACACGGCTATCCAAAAGTCTCTTGACTATCTTGGCCTTACCCAGTGCAGCTGCCTCTAAGAGCTGAGCTGATAGATCAACGTGATGATTAACAACAGGACGGGATGGTTGCTTTCCTTTACCAGCTCCCTGTCCTGTAGAAGCCATGATGCACAAAAACAAAGCTAAAGCTGACGCGGATTTGGGTGGGGTCTCTTCATCTAGAACTAGAATTAACCATAAAGATGAATTCTTTTGTGTGCAAGCGTTTAGCTCATTCTGCTGCTGCAGGAGTTAGATCCCACCAGTTTGTAGTATGTGGTGGAGGAACGGGGGGACTAGCTGTAGCTTCTTCACTGGCAAGAAGATTTGGAAAAGACAAGGTCGCTGTGATTGAGCCAAGTGATGTAAGCATCAATGTTTTTATAGTAGTGTAGAATTTATAGTATTCCTAATAATTAAAATTCATTTGATTAATAACAATGTGTTGATAGGTACATTATTACCAGCCGATGTGGACAATGGTCGGTGCAGGCATTAAAACATTGGAGCAGTCACGTCGTCCTATGGCAGATGTAATGCCACAGAACGCCGCATGGTACAAGACAGCAGTGACCGAGTTTGAGCCATCAAAGAGCGCTGTGCATACTCAAGATGGAACAACCATTAAATACGACTATCTTATTGTTGGATTGGGGCTGAAAGTTGATTTTGACAGGGTAAAGAGCACGAACCCTAATACCTGACATTACCATAGCAACTATATCATGAATATGTTTACACTCTAGTATGATATGGCTTCATCATTTCTTATTTTAGATCTGCTATCTATCCTTCCCTTACTCTAATATCTATGTTTAGATTAAGGGTTTAACAGAAGCCTTAGAAATGCCCAGTTCTGGCGTTAGCTCTAACTATTCTAGTGACAGTGTTACTAAAACGTACGAGTACCTCAACTCTTTCAAAGGCGGCGAAGCTATTTTTACGTTTCCTCCTTTGCCCATTAAATGTCCAGGAGCTCCACAGAAAATAATGTACTTAGCTGAAGAGCTGTTTAAAAGGGTAATTGATGATTGAGCATGATTTTAAGTGCTTGCAAAAAAACCTTGTCTTGTTTCTTTACATAGAATAATGTGAGGGACAAGACTCGCATAACTTATAATTCAGCAATTGGTGTGATATTTGGCGTGAAGAAGTATGCAAACGAGCTATTGAAGGTTCTAGAACAAAATTAATATGATGTATTTGATTAAAGAATCTGTCATATTTATCATTGTTAGGTGATAAGTCGTAAAGGCATTGATGTCAATTTTCAGCACAATCTTGTTGAAATTATCCCGGAAAGAAAAGAAGCTATTTTCGAGGTACTTAAAGAAGGTCATGAAGGCGAACGCAAGACCTTTAGCGTGAGTGTCATTGAACTACCGATAATCAGAAATATATTCGTATTATTGTATATTAGTTTGATTTCATGCATGCAACCCCACCTATGGGTCCACTGGATGTGATTAAAGAGAGTCCGTTAGCTGATGGAGCTGGCTGGCTGGATGTTAATCCACAGACAATGCAGCACAAGAAATTTGGTATGAAAATAATAATAATAATAATAATAATAATAATAATAATAATAATAATAATAATAATAATAATAAATATGAAGATGATGAGCATTAACATTATAATGATTCCTTGTAGAAAATGTGTTTGGAATTGGCGACTGCACTAATGTCCCAACCAGTAAAACAGCTGCTGCCTGTGCCGCTGAATCAGCTGTGCTTAAAAAGAATTTGTTTAAGGTCATGAAAGGACAAAATCCGGATTCTGAAGTTAGAAATATTGATTATAATTATTACTTATACATGTATACTTGCAGTATGATGGATATACTTCTTGTCCTCTTGTGACTGGATACAACACTTGCATTCTTGCTGAGTTTGATTACACAGGGACACCTTTAGAAACCTTTCCGTTTGATCAAGGAAAAGTATGTTTAAAAGAGCATCGTGGTACATAGCAATAATGTGTTATTATGTATCTTGATAGGAGAGACAGACAATGTATTATTTAAAAGCTGATATATTACCAGAAGTGTATTGGCATGGGCTTATAAAGTAATAATGCATTTTCAATTATAATTATTTATAATATTTTTTTTATTTTCACACAGAGGCTTGTGGGGTGGACCCAAACCTTTTAGAAAAGCAATGAAACTCGGTCTCTCTAAATAAAGAAAAATGTGAACTACATTATTTTGAACTTTTATTTTTTGACAGTGCTGCTCTCAATTTATTTTACAGTTTAATGAATCATCTATAAATACAACTATCACAGCATTCATTAAAGCATCAACATATAACAATCAGAATTGCATGGGCGATCTGACCTTAATTGGCTAAATTTAAATTTTGCATTTTAAAAACACAATAAAGATGTATAATTTAATGTTGCAAGCACAATTTAATAATAAATGTTATAAAACACAAGACAAGTATAACAATCAGCGTGTCAAGTATGGCAATAATGTTTTAGCAGGATTAAAATAAAAATTATTTTCATTTGTAGTACATCGAAATCCTCATTATATCTGATATAGGATTGTTCCTTTGTCTGTTTCGATAGAAAAGGCTCACAATGCAAAACAGGATCAGCCCAACCAGGCTCACAACTGAATAGCTTATATAGTAATACATAGGCCACTTAGGATCGTCATGTTTGTGACCGTCCCCTGTATATTCATTCTTAACACCAAAATATATGACAGAGACGACAGCACTCCAGACTCCGATTAAAAAATAATGACATCCAATTAAAAGACCTTTCATGTTGTCTGGACTTTGAGCATAAATGAACTCCAAAACTATAAAAGAAGATGATTATTGCACTTTAAGATTTTGAACTTACTAGGCACAAAGACTGATGTTTCTGCAATGCCCATGACTACACTTGATAGTAATAGGTACAGCAATAAATTATCATCGGAGGTTTTAGAGCCAAGACAAGCAGCCAGCAGTACTGACAAGAAACCAAAAGCTAGACCCAATCCAATGCGCTTTCGAGAGTTAGGAAGATAATTAGACATAAAAGGAAATATTAGGTTGTTTAGTAAAGGAATTAAGAGAACCACTACAGAATAGACAGTAAGACTGCTTAACTGATGAAAGAGAAAATATTTTCTTTCAAGAGGAGAAATTTCTTTTAAATGCTTCACCTGATAATTGGACATACTTAAATACTATACAAGAGACAGAGTAGATTATTATTATTATTATTACTATCAATGGGTATAACTCACAGCTCCATAAGTTGACACAAATCCACTCAAAGTTAAAATAACAAGTAGTATCCTACCAAAACTCCTCACATCCTGGACCTGTTCATCAGTATATTTCCCTCCATGATATTGTCTAGCATACTCCAGTCCAGATGGAGGGTCTTCTCCGTAACGGAAGGCGCTTATAAACTGATGCTTTGGTCGTGAGTGAGCAGCATTGCAGAGGACACCACAAATATGCCTGATGGGGTTTCGGTTTCTGCTCTCTGTTTCGAAATTGTCCTGGCAAGCTCTGTGTAGCAGCAAGGCTACCGTCAAAGCTGTAGCAGCTGCCAATGGTGGAAATCCACTACGGCCGGCAACAGCAGTGGAAACCTTTCTGAATCCTGTACTGCTCAATATTCCCAAAACAGCAGCTAAGTTCTTTGTCCAGTACCACATGTAAATGAAAGAGCTGACTTCCTCACTGGGGGAATTGCACAGTTGACCAGCGCCATACGTTAACAGATTAATTTCAAAAATACCTTCGAATATTCCAATGATGACAAGAAAGACAATGGGGAGAACAACGTTAAAAGCAACGTTATCTTTACTGACATAGCTGCAAATTGTAAAATTAATCGTTAGTAAGATCGAAAAAAACCATATGATAAATAGACAAATACGTGACATTAATTTCCGACCAAAGTAGACGTCACCCAATATCCCTCCAATTGGATAGAAGAGAGCTGGAAACCCATAGATACCGACAGAAAATATTGTATTATTCCATTCTGAAGGTTGAATTATATGCACACTGTTCTGCTCTGCCAATAACCGATAGCCGAAGTATTGAAAGAGATGTATCAAAAGGACATAGATAACTGGCCTGGTTCTAGGCAAACGTCTCCATAATGACAATTTCACATTCCTCCAGCTCACAGCTCCTCCGGTTGAAAAAATACTAAAACTCGACTTGTAGCCTCTGCTTGATGACCTTGAGAATGAGGTGCTGTCTTCAGAGGATGAGCCAAATAGTAATCTTGTTCTTTCAGCATCTTCAACACCAGCACTTAGGATGATCTGGCTAGTATCCATCCTGACCCTTGATAGATCTACTGCTGATAATGCTTTATCAAAACAGCTTACTCTGCAGCTGCTGAATTATCAACCACTCCTTCCAGTTGACATAAAGTGACAAGGATGATCAGACTTTTGCTATTTATTGCTGTTTTGGTCTCTTTCTCAAAGGCAGAGGAAGAGCAAAATAATGATGTCCTCTCCTCTTTTCTAAAATGGTCCTCTCACTACATTCCTCATGTTAAGGACCCAATGAGGCACTACCAAACATGGAAGAAAACCTGGGATTACGTTCAAGAGCATAATGGTAATCACTCATCCGGCCTAGTGAACTACTCACTGTCAATGAACCAGTTCGCCGCACTGCAGCTGGACCCACACATAATCACTCAAACACATAATCAAATTATACCTGATGACAGGAAAGAAGAATTTGAGTACCCATTTGACATTGACTGGAGGACAAAAGGAGTCATCACTCCAGTACAGTATGATGGTTGCTCTCAAGTCCTGGCACTAGTTGATGCAGTGAACAGTGCTGTAGCAATAAAGACTGGACACCTGGTGCCATTCAGTGCTGAAGAAGTCTCTGACTGTTGCTTTGGATGCATCTGTGATCCAGGACCACAGCAAGCAGATCCACCTACTGCCTGCGTCAAAAGAAACGGAGGACTTTGTAGGGACATAGACTATCCATACACAACGAACATGTGCATGTGCCACGAGTGTATTGATGGGTCAGTTCGCCAACCCATACAAGACTATCATAATATTGCCAATGGAAGTGAAAAGGATCTTGCTACTGCTCTTAAGAAGCAACCTGTAATAGTAGCCATTGACTCAAGCGATCCATCACTTAAAGTAAGAAGACAATATTATGATTATAATCATAATTATCAACACAGTTGTATAAGAGTGGAATCTACTCATCAAAGAATTGCTCAGCAACTCATCTTGATCACATGCTACTCCTAGTTGGCTATGGCAGTAAAGATGGAGAGGATTACTGGCTGTGTAAAAACTGTTGGGGTGAGTTGTCACTGCAAGAAGATATAATCTTTATCTTTTATCTTCTCCAGGGGAAGGATGGGGCATGAAAGGTTATGTACTCATAGCAAGAAATAAAAATAACATGTGTGGAATAGCCAGCAAAGCATCTTATCCAATAGTGTGATCCATTGGCTTAAAAAAACTGTACATCAGGTCTGGGAGAAAAAAGTATTGCAAATCGCTAATCACATGCTTGTGATTAAATTTTGCATACATATTGTTTAATTTTTGCTAGATAATTATTGAGTTCATTTATTATTAGTAATTATTATCTGACAAAATTAAACGTCAACTTTTTCACGCTTCTCTTTGACCAAGAAACTCGTTTCAATGATTTCGTTCGACGAAGCCAACTTGGACTCTAACTCTTTCATGTCTGTAAAAAATAAATAAAATAAATTTGACACTACACAGAGAAACACTGTGCAACACATTTAGTGTATAATAGTTGGGAAAGTGTGTGTGTGTGTGATATCAGACTTACAGTCGTTGTGCATTTCTTGACGTCTTAAAATATCTTTCTTCTTTTTCTCTTGGAATGCTCTGAAATCTTCCGTTTCCTTTTTATGCTTTTCCATTAAACCCTAAAGAAAAGTAAGTCACACACAACTAAAATTACCTAATTAGAATAATAGTCTAAATCAGCCCAAATTCCCTGTACTATAGTAAAGGGACTTTTTGACAAAAATGAAAAGTAGAGAATTCTCAATTTTTATGATGTTTTTTTATGCATGTACATGTACTTATGTTGCGTAGAAAGTTTGAGTTGATTCTGATCAAAATTGGATTTTTTATGAATTTTTAAAGTTACTCCAAAATCGGGCCAAAGTCCCTGTACTATAGTACAGGGTCTCGAGTCAAATTTTGTCAAAAATGAAAAGTAGAGAATTCTTAATTTTTATAATTTTTTTGGATATATATACATGTACTTATGTTGTGTAGAAAGTTTGAGTTGATTCCGATCAAAATTGGATTTTTTATGAATTTTTAAAGTTACTCAAAATCTCTAAAGCTGCTCCATAATAGAAACAGCCAGTATTCACCTTTGAAGCTTTGGTCTTAATGGAACGATCTTTCTGTTCAAATAGGTACTGGTACTTTTTGAAATCTTTCTTTATAGTCTACAATAAAAATATATAAGTAAATAAATAAATAAATAAAGTTACTTTGATGTCTTCTTCACTCAGTAAAGATGGCGGTCTCGGCCTCCAAACAAACTGACAGAATCGCTCCATATACCGTGGGCTACGGTAGAGGAGCTTGCCTTGAAATGACCACATGATAAAACCAGTGTCCATCTATAAAACAAGCACATTTTTATATTAAAACAATTATTGTATTTTTTTATTTTGATGCTCAAATTTCTTGAGTACCTTCTCCGACCAGAAACTAAGAGACGAGACAACGTATCGTCCAGTAGGATCCCAAGTTATATCAGTCAGCTTCGTGTGCTCCTGTCTATTCATCAGTGACATATCAGACGTATCTATGAACTCCAACTGACCATCCATACTATGAGTATAATAATAAGAGATAAAGCACATGAACTATAGAACTAGATTATACAGATACATTAGTACAAGTGCAATAAAGCCATTGATTAGTTCTAATAGTGTACCTCTTCAGTCCTGCTAGGACAATAAACTGACCAGCAGGGGACCAGAACAAATTGTTTGAAGCTTGCTTCTCAAATATTTCTACAAAAAGGAATAAAGGGAAAGGAGATAAATAGGACAGTAGCTAGTAAAAGGAATTAACTAAAGATGTTATGTACTTACTGAGTTTTGCAGGTGGCGTTCCCTTCTCATTGATCTTATAGAAACTGACTGATATTCGTGTTGGGGGTTCCCCGTGAATGATAGCTAGTTTTGATCCATTGGGCTCCAACGAGAAATCAATCACCGGCTCTATAGTGAAGAAAAAGGCCAACCATTATAAACATGTAATGTACAAGACATGCAACATTTAAGTAATTACCGTATACCTTTTATCTCAATGGAGTCAACTGGTATCTCATTCTCTCTAGCGTGAAACAACTCAAAACACGACACTTGTTGCTACAGGAAGTAGTACAGTGTCATATGTTCATCCATTTATTAATAATCCTAACCTTTTTTGATTTATTGACCCAGTGATCAACCTTGACGCACAAATAATCGCCCTGCTTATGCCACTGAAGCTTACACTAAGAAAAGGTATTTTAAAATAAATTTTGTTAATAATTCTTTTATAATTACTTCAGAGACTAAGTGGCGACTTTTAGTGGCCACCTCTTGACGGGATGGGATGCGGGTGATGATAATCTTAGAAGGGAGTTCCCCTAACTCTGGTACCCAGTACGATATAAGATAGTCACTAGGGGACCAGGAAAAATCTCTAGAAACCACAGAGGAGGGAGGGAGGGGGAGAGATAACAAAATTAACAAGAGAGATGGTAAAGTTGTGCTAACTTGATTCCTCTCACTACAATTGACTTTTTGTCCAACAATCCAAAATTCTACAAAAAACACAAAAAATGACAAAAACAGCAATAAGTAAACACTCACAGAGCTTTCATAAATACTGAGCACATCATCGCCTTTCTTAGCAAAATACTTGCCATCAAAACTCCACCTACAAAAACATCTCAAATACTCTAAGTGGAGAGACTGCAACTTACTTAATGACAGGCCACTCCTCATTAGAAAGCTTCTTAAAGGATCTCTTCATTTCTCCATTCCTTACATCCCATATAATCACTTGATGAGGATCATTAGGATTATCGACTACATTACTTAATGTCACTATGTACCTACAGACAGTAACTCACACTCGTGTAACAGTGATGAAACAGTACAATGTAGACTCATTTCCATTACTCACTATCACATATTTAATGCCTACGTGGTGAGTGTGGCAGGCACACATGCTAAATTTTAAGAAGTAAAATTACTGATTTGTCTGTGGCATTTTAGGAATTTCTACAAGCCTAACTATACCAGTAAACTGCTCCAACTTTCAATCATTCAAGTAGTACCTTTCACAAGGAGAAAAATCAGCTAAAGTAGCTCGAGAATGCGTAAACTTTCCGATACGTTTAAATTCATCAGTACCCCACAAAGCCACACCCTGAGCGTGAAACGTTGTAAGGTAGGACCCCAAAGGAGACCACTGGAGATACGTATCAGTCCAACTCTATAGGAAATTAGTGATAGAAGGTGGATACAACAAAAATAAGATAAAACATGTACATGCTAATTGAAATAGATATGATGTTTCACCTTTCGTTCACAAACAATGCTTGGTTCTTGTGGCGTGTTACGACAAATGGCGTTCATGTTGTTACGAGGAGCATCATATATCACTGCAAACTGATCATGGCAGTCAGGATCAAGGAGCCACGACCTCAGGTTACCCTATTAAATAAAGTATAGAATAGTCATTGCAACATAGATAACACTAGTGATGTTACTGTAAACATATAATCTGTACAATGTATTTACTAACAATTTCAACAAACTCTTCTTTCTTTGGCTCAACCCATTTACTGTCCAGCTTTCCTAAATATCTAAAGAGGTAGGGGGGGAGAGGGAGGAGTGATGAAGGACTGGCATTAGTATGTGCTATTATTACTGGTCAAAATCGGTGAACAAGTTCACAGAGAATATGTTGTTTTTGTCCAATTTGTATCCATCACATGTCTTGACAGCATTCAGTGCTTCCTCACGAGTGGCATACTCGATGAAAAAATAACTAAAAAAAGAAAATTAGAAAAAATTATGCTAAAACCATATATATATATATACATGTATACACATATACAGTATGTATCAGGAACTACTTTTCATTTTTGGCGAAATTTGACAAAAATCCCTGTACTATAGTACAGGGACTTTGGCCCGATTTTTGAGCAACTTTAAAAATTCGTAAAACATCCAAACTTAATCAGAATTAGCTCAAACTTTCTACGCAACATAAGTACATGTATATGTATCAGGAAAAATTATAAAAATTGAGAATTCTCTACTTTTCATTTTTGACAAAATTTGGCCCGAGGCTCTGTACTATAGTACAGGGACTTTGACCCGATTCTTGATACATACATAGATGTACACCCCCTAAATTACACATAATATAAACATGTATAAAACATACTTACCCCTTGAAAATATTATTCTCATCGACAGGATAATATTCTGATATGATGGTACCAAATTTCCCCACGACTTTCTTCAAAATCCTTTTAAGCTTCTCCATTAGTTCAGGCTTCACTTTAGGAGCGTTGTCAATAACAACAAGAGTGTCTTCATCAGTATCTAAAGTAGGTCTTTTTTTAAGTAAATCCCCCAACAATTCTACATAAAAAACTCAAAATATTTAATTATTAGATGCTGGCATTTAACCTTCATCACTAATATCTTCTTCGAAGCCTTCAGGATCAGAAAAGTCATCATCATCATCAAAATCCGCCATTGCAGAAGACACGTGTTTATGAACAATAGGAAAGATACCATGCCCATTTCATTAATCGATACATGTAATTAACTATTAATAACTACTCATTGTAAATTTATTATTTTAAAAAATTGTACACTCGTTATTATAAACTATTGGTGAATTAAAACTGATTGTTGAGTGGATAGACTCTTATTTGAATCTTAAGCTCCTTCACTTTCTCCTCTTCATGCTTGATGTTAGTAAGTAGTTCATTATATTCGCACTATGAAAATAAAATAAAATAAAATAAATAAATAAAGAAATAACATTACTAATGGCCGAGGGACTAACTGTGCAATACTGCATTTACCTGTAGCTCTCTTTTCTTCCACAATAGTTTAGACATGGACTGTGAAAACTCCGATTCGTCTCCCTGTATACATGTATGTATATTATTATTATTATTACTATTATTATTATTATTATTATTATTATTATTATTATTATTATTATTATCATTACCAAAAACTCTTCCGTTTCTACACGAGGTCTTGCTTCATATAGTTTTATTTCATGCTGTAAACAATCATGAATAATTAACGAGAACATTAATATTCATTAATGAGACAATTAATGAATATTAATAAGCATTACTTCATATTCCTCAATTTGCTTCATTTCTTTTCTGATGCATTCCTTTAGAGCAAAATTTACATCTTTAATTTCCTAGAAATTTAATCAACAGTGCACACATATATATACACTATGCAATCATGCACTATGTAAATCTAGTATATCTATTTTTTCTCTCTCTCTCTCCCTCCCCCTCTCTCTTTGATGCTGCATCTACACTTACATCGTTCTCTGCTTCTAATGTGGCCGCCATCAGGATGAGTGCTTTCATAAATTCTACAAGATACGTAATAATGATGATGATGATGATGATGATGAATCATGATAATAATGGTATCAGATAAACAGGTTTATTGTTACACTAAGTGTAAGGCAAGAATTCCTTTGAAATACAAAGACTAGCTGATATGAAATAACATAGGCCTGCGGTTACTTCTCCTCTTACATGTGGTCAGCTCATTATAATTGTCACAAATGATAAACAACATTATCATTGCAACACTTCTTTAAGCAGAGGGTACATTGTTTTTGTACGCTAGAGTTTTTCCATTAATTCGTCACAGGCTTTGTGACAAATAGAAGACAGGAAGTTAATTCGTTTGTGGTTTGATTTGTAAAATTCTATTGCCTCAAAACCCAACTATACAGTAAATAGATTCACATTACCTTGCTCATCTCCTAGCTTAGAGGCAGAGAATTGCTCTTGGACTTTTTTCTTTAATAAAAAAGGTAAAGGACATCATAATTAAGAGAAAAGCAACACACAAAGACTTACCTTTCTTTTCAATTCAGTCACAACTCTCTGTAGCTCCCAGCAGTAGTCATCTCTCTGTCAAAACAATGAGTGATTTAGTATAACAGCAATAATAAGTGTGTGAGAGTCAAACTTAATGCAACTGATGCAAGGAATTAAACTATCAATACAACAATAGTGTACATGTAAAAGAGTCAGCTACAATAGAATAAAGTGTATATGTACAGTGAAGTGCTGTACACCATTAGGAGTCACCTCATCATATTTCCCATCTGATGAATGGACTTTAGTATGTAGCTTCTCCAATATGTCACTTAGTCTTGCTAGTTCTGCTGTAATCTCTCTGTAAGAGGAAGACAAATGCAAATAAAGAGAGAGAGATAAGAGAAAGAGAGACAGAGGAAAGGAGAGAGAGGGAGAAGGAGAGAGAGAGAGAGAGAGAGAGGGGGGATGTATCATGTGTTACATAAATTCATGTATTGTGTTCCATGATCACTCATGCAACACATTGACCAAATATGGTAAAATCATAATGCTAAACTAACTCCTCGGTTTCTAGCTCATTAGGATCAGGTAAACCAAAAGATTTGGAAGATTTACTCGACCGCTCATACCTACACACACACACAGTCACAGAGTCACACTATATCTTTAATCATCTCACTTAAGGATTTCAACATTAGGAAATAAAGAGTTCCTGTTATTGTACAGCAAGTGCATAAGTGATATTGGTATCTGCAGCGTAGGACTGAAAACAATAACAAGATTCGATATGCCCATCTTGTTAATGTTAGCCTGTAGCAGTAGAGACACAATCCAAAGGATCATAATGATTCTATAGCCGAACCTTATCAGCAATGTGATTCATGTGAACAAACAACCAACTTAAGAGTAGCTTGTTAACAGGTGGTAACTCTTCCATGACTAATAAAAGCATCTCCAACTGCATCTCTGGTGCATCCAGGCCTGTTACGTTATAAGAATAAATAATAATAATGTGTCAGAGGTTGTTATTAAAAAACATGTCACTCGGTTTACAAACTTTTCCTTTATCAAGGAATGACAAACCAAACAAACACGTCACACAGTAATGGACTCACGAGAAGCTGCTTCCAGTCTTGGTAGGAGTTTTAGAGGTACCAGTGGCTCGGGGAGTTCTCTCAAGTAGAGTTTCAACAAACTAGCTACCGTATTGCAGTCATAATTAGATAAATCAACCTCAGATTCTGTATGACCACAATAGGATCAACATAATAAAAACAAGTGTCAACAATAGGGAAACCTTTGTCATAAAGTGTCTTAACACCATCAATCTGTGACTTCACTCCAGCTAACCTGTACACACCTTCGTGCTCTAGAGCTGTATTGGGTGTGTGTGTGTGTGTGTGTGTGTGTGTGATTATGAATTATGCCATACACAATAGTACGATTACCATTCTCCTCCAGATAGTCAATGCACTGTCTGAATATGGTTGGTAGTTCGATCCCATCATTACCAAGCTCACTCCGATACACAGCAGTTTGTAAACTAACACCAAAGACTACCATATAAGGAAGGGGAGAGAGGAAAATGAAATACATACAAAAAAAGGAAGAAAGGATAGGATCAGGGAAAGAGAGAGAGAGAGAGAGAGAGAGAGAGAGAGAGAGAGAAAGAGAGAGAGAGAAAGAGGGGAGAGGTTACCTTTCTTCTTTCTTTTCTTAATGATATTCCCCAGTCCAGTTGGTTTCTTAAAGTGAGGCCGGAACTTCCTACGACTCATTGGACTTGATTTAGGGCTCCCGGAATTAGCTTGCTTCCTATAACACACAGGGAGACATAATGACATGACAGTATGTGTACAAGTACATACAATATACATTAAGAATACATGAATGAAGGACAGATGTTATGTAATTCAATAAATCCTCCTCTACATAATTATCCTAATAGGGACATGTATTAAACACAACAACACATATTTTGACAAATTTTTTTATCAATAAATACCTTAAGAGTGACTTTTAATAATCGATACCATTACCATGCTCTTGGAATACATGTAGAATCCTATTACATGTACATGTACATGTATATATGACGTGATTAACTGATTTCACTATTAATTCTTAACAAGAATTAACTAATCGTACCATTAAAATCAACTGAGGGATAAGTACCCATCGTTAGAAGTCACTCTAGTCTAAGGTACACAAAACAAAATGACATTGTACATGTACATGTACATGTCGTACAGAGATTGAGATAAAGGCTCCCCTAGTGACTGCTCCAGGTCAGATCTTACAAACTCAGTTTTACTGGACTGACTAATAGGGCCCTCCTGTCGGTCCCATTCCTTTGACTCGCTCTCTGATTCGCTGCTGCTCTCAAAACTATCTTCATACTCGTAATCCGCCATTTTGTTTTAAAGGCCACACCTTTGGCCACACCCACGGAACAAAGGTTATAAACCACGCCCATAATGCGTGGGTTGCTGGTAAATAAAATCAAGAGGTGGGCTATCTCCTGATTTGTGGTCACTGGAGAGAGAACTGTTTCTTTTTCTGACCATTCACTTTGCAAACCCGTTTAGCTCCAAGCCTGCTCGTTCATCATGAGCGGTACAGAGGATCCTAGCGTTTACCTGAGGCCCACAGCCTCCAGGACGGTCTACGACCAAACGAAAGCATTCGACTCCAAGAAGTGGGTATGGTTGCCCGATGAGGAAGAAGGTTTCAAGAGCGCCTGCGTTAAGAGCACAAGAGGGGACAAAGTCCTCATTGAGCTAGCAGACGGCAGCGTAAGTACTCGCAGCATGCAACGGGGACCCCTCCATCCATATTCTCTTTTTTATTATTGTAGGAGAAAGAGGTGGACATGAACATCACTGAACAGATGAATCCGCCAAAGTTCGAGAAGATTGAAGACATGGCTGGTCTAACCTATCTCAATGAAGCGTCTGTCCTTCACAACCTTCGTCAGCGATATTACTCCAGTCTCATCTACGTATGTACATGCACAATAGACATACTGAAAGTTACCTTGATTATTATTAATTTTTATTACAGCAAGGGTTCGTAATTTTGATGCATGTATTATGAAAATTAGGATCCTTGAAAGAGTGTGGGGGTTTATCGAATTACATGTTTTGTGGTTGTTTGTTCCTTGCAGATTAAGTTGTGTGTGTGTGTGTGTGTGTTCTGGTACAAGGTTGAAATGTGAGTATCTTGTTGATAGCCATTAGTATCCAGCTGTAGTGGGGGAGGGGGAGTATGTCTGAGAACAGAAAAGGAATTTGTTTTTTGGGTATAAGGAATGTTCCTTTCCTTCCTAACTCTGTTGTTATGGTCACTGTATGTTTGTATAGCCTTTCCTTGATACATGTAATTATTACGGAGCTGTTATATGAGATAATATTGATGTCACTTTAACCACTAGTCCATGGTTAAGGAGATCTGATTCCACATTCTTAACTCAATTTGTTATGGAATTGGCCAAATATGGTCATTTTGGGGACTGAGGTTGGCTCTAACATAGTGTGAAATCATTTAAGAGTTTCACACTAGCCATTTGCATGTTTATTGGCTAAATGGACATCACTTAACACAATTATAATATGATTCTCCCTTTTAACCTCTCTTTCCCTCCTCCCTCTCTCTTTCAAACACGTAGACATACTCTGGTCTCTTTTGTGTGGCCATCAACCCTTATCGCAGACTCCCAATCTACACCGAGCAAGTTGTCAATATGTACAAGGGGAAGAGAAGGACCGAGATGCCTCCTCACATATTTGCTATTGCTGACAATGCCTACAGAGACATGCTTCAAGGTATTAAAGACATACTACATCTTTGTCATTGCCTTGTTTCTTTTTTTTTAGATCGTGAGAATCAGTCAATTTTGATCACGTAAGCATTCATTTGTGTCAGCCATTTGTTGTACATGTATATCTTCTTGCTCTTATTAACTAATGTTCTCTCTCTCTCTCACTCACTCTCTCTCTCTCTCTCTCTTTCTTTCTCGTCTCTTTTCTTACCAGTGGTGAATCTGGTGCTGGTAAAACAGAGAACACCAAGAAAGTCATCCAGTATTTTGCCATTGTTGCTCCTGATAAGCACAAGGTATGAATGTATTGGTTTTGCTAAACTCCCACTTGCTGTCTTTGTGACATTCCAGTCTCTATTAAAATGTTGATGGCATGTAGGAGCTGTTTGCCAAATTAGTCTAAACCAGAATTAATGTATCGAAGCGTGATTTGTAAACACATAGTTGAGGCTAGTTGTAGCCTTTGTCTTAATATGTACTATAGTAAACTGACAGGTTTAGTGCATGTACATGTATGTATGTGTGGAATGTGAGTAGAGACACTAGTCTGTTGTGATTCATGTTTTTATATACCCTTAGTACTCCCTCTCATTCCTTATGATGATATTTATTCTCTCCTTTTTTTCCTTCTCTCTCTCTCCCCTCTCTCTCTGCTTCCTTTCTTTCCTCTCTCTCTCTCTCTTTCTCTTTTCACAGACTGAACAGAACTTAGAGGACCAAGTTATCCAAGCTAACCCTGTTCTTGAAGCTTTTGGAAATGCCAAGACAACAAGAAATGACAACTCATCTCGTTTTGTGAGTGAAAGAGTTTTTGCTTTCTTCATTTCTTTAATTGCCCCTCCTATTATATTAGGGAAAGTTCATTCGCATTCATTTTGGTAATCAAGGGAAGATCTCAGGAGCCGATATTGAGTACTGTACGTTAGAATCCTATATGTTGTTGTTGTTGTTGTTGTTGTTGTTGTTATGTTTGATTTTGTCGTTAGATTTGCTTGAAAAGTCTCGTGTGATATATCAACAATCCGGAGAAAGGAACTATCACATATTTTACCAAATGATGGCCGGAGCACCACAGAAGCTCCTCGGTAATTAACACACAAAGCCGATAATATTTCCTTAATATAATTTTGTTACATAAAACTACAGTGCACATACTTGTGATTAGTTCCAAAATGCTGATATACTTCTAATTGTTTAACATGTATATGTACATGCATACAGTACTTATATACATGTATGTTGATATTTTATTGTTTTTTAGATGATCTCTTGTTGAATCGTCAAGTGAAGGATTACGCCTTCCTTGCTAAAGGCTGCGTCTCTGTTGATGACGTTGATGATGCAGACATGTTTAAGCAAACTGAAGTAAAAATTAACGCTAATCCTCTCCCTGATCCTTCACTTTCCCTTGCCTTCTCTTAGGATGCCATGAATGTTTTAGGTTTCACGACGGAAGAGAAGACGTCCCTCTTCAAGACGGTTGCTGGTATACTCCATTTTGGCAATATTGAAGTGAAGCAGCGCCCAAGAGAGGAGTGGGCTAACATTCCCACAGCAACTGTTGCTGAGAAGGCAAGCACAACATGTGTACATGTACTTATGTGTACAGTACATGTACAGTGTACTACTTACTGTATTATATACCCTGCTCTTAATCACTGTGTGTGCATGCATGAATAGGTGTTGTGTTTATTTGATTTCTTCTCAAGTTATTGTTAAGTGTTGTTACTAGTCCTTAAATGAAACTGATTTTGTAATTAATGAAGCTAATGTTTATCTTACTATATTCATACTAGCTACTGTACCATATGATGATAGTTTCATTATATTTGCTAATTTTTACACTTGCCACTACTTGTATATGATTTTATATCATCATCATCATTATTATTATTATTATTATTATTATTCAGGTTGCTCACTTGCTCGGTTTGAACTCCACTGAGTTCATCAAGGCCCTGATAAAGCCTCGTATCAAAGTTGGCAACGAATACGTTCAACAAGGAAGAACTGAAGGACAAGTAAGTGATACTGTTAAAATGTGAGCTGCATGTACTACTCTATGGGCCTATGTGTCCAAAGTAGAGGGGAAGAGAAATACATATATACTGTTGACCCAGTAGTCCATTGTGTTTTTATTCTTTATTCTTTGTTTTCCTCTTGTGTAGGTGAACTATTCCATTGGTGCTTTGTCTAAAGCAATGTATGAGAGAATGTTTAAATGGCTGGTTGGAAGAGTCAACAAGACACTAGACACAAAGGTAATGTATCATGTATAAACGTACATCTCTACTTGTGTACATGTAGCAAACTAGTAGTTGTATTAGTTCCTCTTACTTACAATTAATGTCCCTGTCTCTTTCATTCCATCAATCTTTCTCTCTTTATCTTTTCTTGTCCCTGTTCATTTTCTACATACACTGTTGTTACCTTTTCTCTATCATATCTTACACGTACATGTACTTCTTCTCTCTACAGAATCGCAAGGCTTACTTCATTGGTGTTCTGGATATTGCCGGTTTCGAGATCTTTAAGGTATTGATCCATCACTTCTCACCTAGCTGTCATTTATTAAAAACGTTTATCATTGATAGGTCAACTCTTTTGAGCAGCTGTGCATCAACTTTACGAACGAGAAGCTCCAGCAGTTCTTCAATCATCACATGTTTGTCCTCGAGCAGGAAGAGTACAAGAAGGAGGGCATTAAATGGGAATTCATTGACTTTGGCCTCGACCTTCAGCCTTGCATTGATCTTATTGAAAAGGTACAATATCATTATTATAATTTTAATAAGTGGAAGTGAGTTTGTTCATATTGGCTTGTTTGTTATTATAATACTTGGCTGTCTCTAGCCCAATCACTAAGTAGATATATCCATTGCCATCACAGTACTACATCAGTAGTCTGGGCCACCATTAGTACATGATGCATCATACATGTATATTCCCTATGTATTGTAGTGCATGTACATGTACATGTACACGTATGTTTACTTGTATATTATATGGTCGGATGATTTATATGCATTTAAAACAATGCAATTCGTACACGCAATTCGGCTGTTTTTAATGATCACGGTATTGTCGAATAGTTTTCCTTTCCTGATTTACGTAGAGCATTTTAATTGTAATAATAATTAGTTTGTGATTAGCAGTCGCCTCTTGTTAATTATTACTACAGTTGCTATTGATAATTGAGTTTGTTGGTGAGTAGTCTTGTAGCATGGCCCCACTCATGTAAGTTATTGTTACTATTTCATAATTTCATTAGCAAATGGGAGTTCTGGCTTTGCTCGACGAGGAGTGCTTGTTCCCGAAAGCCTCTGACAAGAGTTACGTTGAGAAACTGGTCAAGAACCATGATGGGAAGTCTCCTAACTTTATCAACCCACGGGACAAGATGAAGAAGGATGTCCCTCACTTTATGCTAGCACATTACGCTGGAGAGGTAAGTATAGTTAATATTAATAGTTATATACTAGCTCCCATATCAGAATTACCATTATTGATAGTATATAAATCAAATAGCTTTATACATGTAAAGCTGCTCCAAGTGTTTGTGTAGCTCATGAAGCTCATGCTGTTTAGCTCACTTATGTATAAATTACATAAAGTTACATTTTATTGTGTTTTAGGTTGACTACACAGTGTCTGGCTGGCTTGATAAGAACAAGGATCCATTGAATGAATCGGTTGTTGAGCTGTTCAGGAAATCTTCTGATCCTTTTGTTGCTTTACTCTGGGGAGACTATTCTTTTGAAAGTAATGACTCAATCATATTATTATAGATAAATTGTTTAATGATGTAATGTAATCCTATAGGTGAAAAGGGAAGCAGGAAGCGTGGCTCTCAATTCCAAACTGTCGGCCAAATCCACAAGGTATTCTATTCTCTTCATGTGCTGTCAAGATTTGATTAGATAATAATACTTTTTCGGCATTGAATTCATTTTGTTTTTTTTTCTCTCACTCTTATTTCAGACGTCACTCAACAACTTGATGACCACTCTTCGTAACACTACCCCTCACTTTGTCCGTTGCATTATTCCGAATGAGTTGAAGAAGGCCGGAGTCCTTGAGGCCAATCTGGTCCTCCAGCAGCTGAGGTGTAACGGAGTACTAGAAGGTATCCGTATCTGCAGGAAGGGATTCCCCAACCGTCTGCTTTATCCTGAATTCAGGCAAAGGTAAGATATGTTTTTAAATTTTTATTTTAATGTGTTTTATTATTATTTTGTGTGCTATAAAGCATGGTATAAAGTACATGTATACATGTAGTTGTATTTCTTATTATTATTAATGTGTATTTAATGTAATTTTATTATTGATAAGGTACGCAATCTTAGCACCAAAAGCCATTCCTGCTGGTTTCATGGACGGACGTAAAGCGACTGAGAAACTCATCGATGCTCTCCAGCTGGATCAGTCGGAGTTCAGGCTGGGACACAGCAAAGTGTTCTTTAGGGCTGGAGTCCTTGGACGTTTAGAGGACTTGAGAGACGAGAGATTGAGTCTTGTATTTGGACAGTTCCAAGTGTTTTGTCGCGGGTTTATTATGAGGAGGAAGTATAGAAAACTCCAGGAGCAGAGACTAGCCATTGCCGTCATACAACGTAACGTCCGCAAGCATCTCTTCTTGAGGGACTGGCGCTGGTGGAAACTGTTCACCAAAGTGAAGCCATTACTGAATGTTGCACGTGCTGAAGATGAACTGAGACAGAAAGAAGAAGAAGTAATGAAGGAATACATCAATAGTTCCAGTGACATTTTGACTCTTTATTTTGTAGGTGACAAAATTGAGGGAGAAAGCCTCCAAAGACGACCAAGCCCGAAAAGCAATGGAAGAAGATTTAACTCGTTTGATGCAAGAGAAACAGCAGCTGTATGATCAGCTGCAGAAAGTAAGAGACCACAGATCACATAATCACATTATTTTATTTTTTATTTGTCTCTTTGTTATAGGAGCAAGACGCTGCAGCAGAATCTGAAGACAAGCTCTCTAAGCTCATCATTAAGAAAAATGAGCTGGAGGATAATTTTAAGGTATATTTAATGAATTCCCTTCATGAGTAATTGTTATATCGATGTGATGTACCCATACGTGTTTATAGGAACTTGTTGATCGTCTTGATGAAGAAATGGAAGTCAATTCTGAAATGTCTGCCGGCAAGAGAAAGTTAGAGATTGAGATAGAGTCGTTCAAGGACACCATTGATGAGATGAAGCAGCAGCAACAACTTGTAAGGAAAACTAGTTAACCTTTTAGCTTCAGATTTACCGCATCTTTTAAATTCTGTGACAGCTGGAGCAAGAGAAGGCACAGAAAGAGAAGGAGTGTGTCTCTTTGGATGTTGAACTTGAGAAAGTTAATGACTCTTTGTCTAAAATCACTAAAGAGAAACTGTCACTTGAGGATCGTCTCAACGAAGTTTCCAACAGCCTCCAAACTGAGGAAGACAAGGCCTCACGTCTTGGAAAAATGAAAACTAAACTTGAAAGCTCATTACAAGACGCTCAGGAAGAAATTGAGAAGGAGAAGAAGGCAGTGAGTGATCTGGATAAAGCCAAACGAAAGCTTGAAGGAGATCTTAAGGTATTTATTACAATTTAGTGGTGGTCTACTTTCATTGTGACCCATCCTTTCCTTTCATTTTTAGTCCATGACAAGCAACTGCGATGAATTGAGTGCTGCTAAAGCCGAACTTGAGAAATCAGTTTCTTCGTAAGAAATAGAGAGAGAGAGAGAAAAGGAGAGAGAGAGAGAGGGGGGGGAGCATGAGAAGGCAGAGTGAAGGAGGCGGTGATAGTAATCCATTAAAACAGGAAGGAGAAAGAAGTCAATGAACTGCAGCAGAAGATTGAAGAGGATTCGTCCGAAATTGCTGCTCTTCAACGCAAGATTCGTGAACTCCAAGTATGTACAAGTCACAGCTGCTTTTTGTATCCTAATTATATTTTATATTTTATTATTATTATATTTATTTATCTTTTCTTATAAATTCTAAGGCTAAAATTGAAGAGCTTGAAGAAGACCTTGAAAACGAGAAACGAATCCGTCAAAAGGTCGAGAAACAAAAGAATGAACTTTTGAAAGAATTGGAAGAATTGAAGGATACCCTGGAAGAACAGGGAGGCATTCAAACTGCTCAGGTAGAGAAAATGTCACCCGAATGTGTGTGTGTGTGTGTTCAGCTGTGTTTTATTCAGCATTTCAATAGTAGCATGTACATGTACATGTATTTCATTGTGTGGTTAGGTTGAGTTGAATCGTAAGAGAGAGTCTGAGCTGGACACATTGAGGAAGGAGCATGCAGCAGCAACTGAAGAAAGTGAAAAGATGATCTCCGATCTTAAGAAGAAGCACGGAGAGTCCGTCAAAGATTATGAAAGTCAAATTGATACTCTTCAAAAAGCTAAGAACAAGTACGTGTTTTTTAAAACAATATTAGACCTAGGGTACGAAACTAATCATTCTGTTACAGATTGGAAAAAGAACGAAGCTCTCTCTCCTCTAATCAAGACGACTTGAATAAACAAGTTGAAGACCTTCAAAAGTACAAGGTAACTTCACTATTTAACCTCAGCCCCCACTTGTACAATGTTCATGAATATATATTACATTTTCTTTTGACAGACTGTTACCGAACGAAAAGTCCGTCAATTGGAGGAGCAGCTCGCTGATACCAGTGCTAGAGTAAGTGAAAAAATTAACTTCATTCATTCATATGCACATGTACATGTACTTTATACAATGACTAGTCCTTTTATTATTATTATTATTATTATTATTATTATTATTATTATTATTATTATTATTATTATTATTATTTGTTCTGTGCAGGCTAATGAAGCTGAGAGTGCAGTGCAGGCTCTTGAAGCTTCTCAAGCTAAGAGCGCAACTGAAAATAACGACCTCAGCCAGCAGCTGGCAGACGCTGATAGTAAGCTTTCCTCTCTCTCAAAGGCAAAGAAACAACTTGAGACTCAATTGGAAGACACCAAATCCGATCTATCCTCAGAGACATCTGTAAGAATATAATTTGTACATTCCTGTATTCATTTGTATGAATACAGTTTGTAAATACATTGGGTCATTCATTATTATCACCAATTATCTGCTTTCACCTACACAATATAGTACCCATTCTTACTCATTTACTGTATATCTATTGTCATGCAGTTTTATCTTATCAAACTTTTAAAAATTCAATTTTGCCTTGACAGCTAAACAAGCTAGAATATAACAAAAGTGAAGGTCTATTCATTTAGTGTTATCTTGGCATGTTTATCATCATGATATGTTTTATTGATCTTCTTGATGTGTGTTGTTAATAGGCTAAACTGGATGCTCTCTCAAAGTTGAAGCAAGCTCAGAACGAAGTACAGAACCTTAATGAAACTGTCGAGGAGGAGCAGGACAGTAAGACTGAGCTTAGTAAGCAGCTAGCAGCTGCTAAGGCTGAGGCCGCCCAATGGAAGACCAAGTTTGAAACTGAGATCAACCCTAGAATGGAGGAGCTTGAGGACAGCAAGTAAATGAAGAATTAGTTCACGTTTTACCCTCCAATGTCTCCAATATATTCTTGCTATTACGTCTGCTATGTCTGTTTTTATTATACATATTGATGTCCTTATGCTGTGTAGCAAGTTTGAGCTTTTTCCAACAAATATTTTTTGAGTTATGGTCATTTTTTAAAAACTCCAAATTTTTGAAAAATACCCTGTACTATAGCCCATGGTTTTTTCCGAAAAATGGCTAAAAAATGACCCCAAATTTTTATTACATTTTCTTATACATATTGATGTCCTTATGCTATGTAGCAAGTTTGAGCTGATTCCGACAAATATTTTTCAAGTTATAGTCATTTTTTAAAAACTCCGAATTTTGGAAAAATACCCTGTACTATAGCCCATGGTTTTTTCTGAAAAATGGCTAAAAAATGACCCCAAATTTTTATTACATTTTAAAATACACATTGATGTCCTTATGCTATGTAGCAAGTTTGAGCTGTTTCTGACAAATATTTTTCAAGTTATAGTCATTTTTTTTAAAACTCCAATTTTCGGAAAAATACCCTGTACTATATAGCCCATGGTTTTTTCCGAAAAATGGCTAAAAAATGACCCCAAATTTTTATTACATTTTCTTATACATATTGATGTCCTTATGCTATGTAGCAAGTTTGAGCTGTTTCTGACAAATATTTTTCGAGTTGTGACCAAAAATTCCCCATCTCCTATTCCTAATTTATGTGTGGTTGTTTATTCTTTATTAATTATTATTCTATAGACGTAAACTTCAAACTCAAATGAAGGACCTTGAGGAGCAGCTCTCAACCACTCAAACTAAGTACTCTTCGCTTGAGAAGACAAAGAATCGTGTCGCTGGCGAACTGGAGGACGTGATGCTTGACCTTGAGAAGGAGAGGAATGCTACTGCTGCCTGGGAGAAGAAAAAGAAAGTCATTGACCAACAGATCAACGAATGGAAAGCAAAATATGAAGGCTCTCAACAAGAACTTGACGCAAGCAAATCTGAATCCCGTCTGTACAGCACTGAGGTGTGCTTCATCATTATCATTATTATTATTATTTATGATATCCCTGATACTTCACATTCACATTTTACTTGATACTTTCACCATTTTTATTCTTGTGTATATGTACATACTTGTAGCTACTGAAACTCAAATCTGAGAACAGTGATCTCAAAGATGATCTAGAGACGGCAACCAAAGACAACAAACGACTACAAAGTACATAAAACTCTCTCATTCATTAGTACAATATGTACATGTACATGTACATGCATGTGCATATTATATACAGTACTACATTGTTCATGATCACAGAGTGTGTCATTCATGGTTTTTGTGTCTTCATTTAGACGATCTTGCTGACCTTGAAAAACAATTAACCGAGGGCGGAGCCAGCGTCCACGACCTTGAGAAAGCTAAAAAGAAACTTCAACAAGAACTTGAAGAAATCAATCTCATGATGGAGGTGGGTGTGGTTTGCTGTTACCATAGTTACATTGATTATGTTTGCAGGAGAACGAAGGCCAATTGGAAATAGAGCAGAACACGGTCCTTCGTCTTCAGTTAGAAATATCACAGCTCAAACAAGAAAACGAGAGGAAACTCTCAGAGAAAGATGACGAAATGGACTCCCTCAGGTAAGTCTCACTATACAGACCCAACTCATTCTAATGAATGTCATTCTTCTAACGTAGGAAGAACCATCAGCGCCAGTTGGACGCACTCCAGCAGTCGCTTGAAGAGGAGAACAAAGCCAAGAATGACGCCGTTAGGCAGAAGAAGGCAGCCGAAGAACAGCTGGATGACTTACAAGCTAACCTGGAGAGTGCACAGAAAGTATGCTGCTAAAAATGTAGTTAGGGAAATTTATAAATATTATCTTGATATCACAATAATTATTGTTATTCTACTACATTTACATGTACATGTACATGTACATGTTCATAAATTTACTTGGTTTTTACGCTTTACAGTCTAGCACTGATTTGGGCAAGTTAGTGAAGAAGTTGCAAGCTCAAGTGAAAGATCTTAGCGGAAGGATCGATGAAGAAACTCGCCAGAAAGACGAACAGCATCAGCTGGCAGCTAAAGCAGAGAAACGTGCCAACGACCTTACTGTTGAGGTTGAGGAACTTCGAAGCAGCACTGAACAAGTAATTAAATAATATAATACCTACTATATTGTGTTTCTGATTAGTAAATAGTGTACGCAAATACTACAATTATTATTACATATTGTATTGAGAATGTTGTAAATTTATTTTGTATGTACGTCTAGTTGCAACGTCAGTTCAAATCGGCAGATGCTGAGAGGGTGGAGCTACAGGATCGTTTGAGCGAGTTGCAATCATCAAAGGAGAGTCTTCAAACTAGCAAGAGGAAGGCCGAGCAGCAGCTGTCTTCTCTACAGGAGGAGCACGAGGAGCTGGAGACTGAGAGTCGTGAGAATGCTGAGAAACTCCGCAAAGCAATGGAACAAGTAAGTGTGTGTGTGGGAGAGAGAGCTTATATGTACTGTACAATTTTTATAATATTAAAATGATGTCAATAAAAATATTACTTTTGTTCCTTTTAACACTTTCTTAGGTCTCCCGTCTACAAACTGAGAACATGTCACAGAAAGATGAACTGAATGTTGCCCAGAAAGCTAAGGTAGACTAATACACTATTGGGCTATGCCATAACACTGTCACTGTCTTCTTTACCACAGTCTTCATTGGAGAGTCAACTGAAGGAAATGACTACTAAACTTGAAGAGGAAGTGTCCGTGGCTGCTAAATCTGCTAAGAGAGAGGCTGCCAAACTCCAGCAGAGGGTAAGAGAATGTTTTATTATTATTATTATTATTATTATTATTATTATTATTATTATTATTATTATTGTTTTTGTTGTTGCTTTAGGTTACTGACTTGGAAATGGAATTGGAGACTGAAACCAAAGGCAGGAGTGATGCCCAGAGGAATTTGAAGAGGTAACAAGAAAATTTAATTCCGACTGTTTTTTGACTTCATTTTTCATTCTCTTTCTTTCTCAGGAGTGACCGTCGCTATAAGGAAGCCGTCTCTCAAGTTGAAGAGGAGAAGGCTAATGCCCAGCGTCTCCAAGACCAAGTCAATTCTCTCAATACCAAGGTCAGGAACCTTCGCCGTGACAAGGAAGATGCAGAGAGTGAGGTAGAGAGTATCCAGAAGAAGCTCCGACAGGCCAAGTCGCAGCTGGAAGAGGCCGAAGAGGAGAGTAGCTCTTTGAAGGCTCAAGTATCTAAACTGCGTAGTGGGGCAGGGGCTACAAGGAAGGCTAAAGTAATGCTGTCCTATGTTGCCATGTTGATGTTACTTGTCTTTTTCTTTCTTTCTTTCTAGCTTCCAAAGGATGATGATGAAGATGATTGAAGTAAAGAAAACTTTGCTACCTTGAAAAATTTTTAGTCAGCTCTCATTATTAATAATAATTAATAGACTTGCTAGTTAACTAGAACTTTATAGCTATTAGTTTTGCCTTTTAGTGTAGCCACGATTCTCTCAATTCTTATAATGATTATAATTAAGACTTTTGAATTTTAGTTCCATTTTAGTGCCATGATAATGTTCATTGATTTAAGATTATAATATCATGACCATGCACAGTCCTTTATTAAAGGAGCCACTGTTTGCTTATGCAAAAAAAAGTATGATATCTGGTTATCAACATGGATCAGCACTGCTGCCACTGCCACACCTTGTCACCTTGTCAGCTCACATGGACATGCAGTGTTGTAGTCCTGGCCACGTCATAGATATTGCATGAACTATAGCTCATTTTGCAAAGTCCTTTGCATACTTAATGCATTGAAAAATAATTATTATGTAAAGTAATCAAGTATTGTGTGATGATAGCTTGATCTTCTTCAAGCTTCAGTACATTTTGTGCTGCTGGTTTTTCGAAATGAGATCTTCAATCTATAAAATGAAATCAGATCATAATAACATGATATTAACAATTGCTTTAAGCATACACTTACTTGCTGCCTGTACATTGTTTTCAAGTCTTCAATGTCCATTCTCAGCTCCTCTGTTTCCTCTGCCTTCTCTCCAAACATCTGAAGCAAAGCCTCATGCTTCTGTGACATCTCCTACAATCAACAAAAAATAAAGTTATAATTTTATTCTCACTCACTTTTAATTTCTGCTGAAGGTCGGGGATCATCTTCACTTTTTGTTCCAGGACCTCATTTCTCTCCGAGACTGTCGCTAGTTCTTGAGTCAGTGAAGCTCTTGATCTCTCCAGTGACGCTACCATTAATTGAGAATTGGAGAGTTCGCCTTCTTTTTGCTTCAATGATGACTGCAGTTGCTCCAGTACAGAGAGAGAGCTGCCACTAAATGAAGAAGAGCTCTCTCCAAAGAGAGTCGTTTCACTTGAAGTTGATATCGACCTTTCCATCGATTCAATCTAAATAATAATAATAATAATAATAATAATAATAATAATAATAATAATAATAATAATCAATGCAGTTCCTCTTAGTGTATGCACAAAAGCATTAACCCTTTGAGTTGTGTTCAGTGATGATGTGATTGGATGAGTGAGTGTAACTGCCAACTGGTTCCTTAGCTTCTCCTACACAATGCTTCTAACATGGAGGACAAAGAGCATAAAAGTCTTACCTTTTCTTGAAACTCTAGTGTGGCCTTTTTGCTCTCTGCTTCAAGCCTTGCCCTCTCATATTCCAACTGATGTTCCATCCTCTCCTACAGTACGTATAACAGAGACTATAAAACTGGAGGACAGAGAGATAGATATGACATACTTTTTCTTTCTTCAGTTCTTCTACATTCTGCTGCAGTGAAGACCTGACGGCTTCGTGTCTTGAAACTTCTCTAAAAGTTTATATGTACATGTACATGTCATTATATTCTATCTTCCTTTCTGTCTTTATGCTTACAAGTTACTTCCTTTCTTCTCTCTCTCTCTCTTTCTCTGTCTCTCTCACCTTTGGTAAGTCTCTTCAAGTGTATCCAGTTTTGTTTTCTCCATTTCAAATGACGCCACTAGTTGCGCCTTCTCCTGACGCAGCGAATGTACTTGTGCCTCTAATCCTCCGACTCTGCTCTGGATCAGCATTTCTTTCTCAACAGCTGCTCGCTCTTTTTCAACGGCTGCATTCATCTGGTTCTGACAATCAACTACACAGTACAAGAAATACATGTACATTAACAACCATAGCATCTACATGAACATGAATGAGGTTAAAGGTAGATTTTACAATAAGATTCTAGGCCTAACATTACTCAAGTTGAATCAAATTTAATTCTAGTGTCCATTCAAAGGTCAAATCACTCACACTTTTCATTAATAATTGATAGTTTGCTGGGCTATAGTGTCAATTTAACTAACCAATGCGTTGTGTAAGGCTACTCTCAACCTTTTCCCAGTTATTAACTTGAGCCGAGTGGGCGGACTGGAGGTGTTCAATCTGTCTTAATAATGGACGAGTTGCTGGAGAGAGAGAGAGAGAGAAAGGAAAATGGAAAAGGAGAGATAGAGAGGAGTGAATGCCAAGTAAGATCATGTCTTGTGTGATATCATTTACCGTTTGATATTGTATCTGAGAGCTCTTGATTCCTTGACTCTGAATCTTGGAGTCTCTGGAATGTGACATAATAAAACAGCATAATATGTACATGTACATGTAAGCATAGTAAAAATGAAAAATAACCCAATCACATTATCTACATGTACACATTGTGTTTGCATGCTCACTTGATGTAAGTCGGATATCTCTTGTCTCAGTTGCTCTTCTCTCCAAGTTACCTGCTGCTCATTCCTGCCCAGAGTCATCCTTAACTCATTCACCTACACACACACACACCATAAATATATACACAAATCATGAAACACATAATCACAACAAAGTATAAACATTATACACAAATATATGTGTCACTAGTACATGTATATCTCACTGCTAACATTGATCAATACATACAATGTACATGTACATGTACATATACATTAGTAACTATTAGTTCAATCAATACAGTACATGTACATGTACATGTACATGTACATGTACATGTACATGTACATGTACACCCTAGGCCCATACTTGCATAAGAAGAGCATCCTTGTCTTTCTCTAATTGGAGTCGTTGCTCTTCCAATTCTCTCTTTAACTCGTCCCTTGTATTCTGTTTAGCATAAAGAGCTGCTTCTTCAGCTGCACTCTCAGCAATAGCATTAGTCTTACGTAATTCGGTTAATTCCCTGATGATATTCATACTAAGACCCCACCCACTAATAATTGTGATACTTGTAAGTGCTGTCAAGGTTCGACTGAAGACTTCTCACTCTTTCTTGAAGGTCAATCTTCTCCGGCTAAAGTAGTTAAACACATAAAACATGAAACATTTACAAAATAATGAACATGTAATTTGTAAAGACTTTGCTCAATGGATAACGTCTTACTCACTTTTATTGCGGCTAGTTCCTTTGCTTGCTGTTCAGAGATGCTGTTCAATTGTGACAATGATTCTAAAAAATTTTTTTTAATTTATAAAATTTCCTCATAACATAATGGCATGCATATACATGTACATGCAACAATAAAGTTTACTACTATACCAACGATATTATACCTAGATATTTTTTCTCATTTTCTTCTTTTTTCTTGATAATTTCCTTGAGACGTTTGACTTCATTCTCAACATCTTCAATCTGCTGTCTACAACCAATAATAATAATAATAATAATAATAATAATAATAATAATAATAATAATAATAATGATGATGATGATGATGATGATAATAATAATAATAATAATAATAATAATAATAATAATAATAATAATAATGATGATAATAATAATAATAATAATAATAATAATACTAATAATGTGTTTACTTCTGTGCCATTATAAGCTGCTCATTCTGTTTCTCTTTTGCTCTTAGTTTCTTTATCGTGTTGTTAAACTGAAGCTCTTGCTTTGATAATTTCTCTCCTAAGTTAAAAGAGAGGGAGAGAATTTAATGGAGAAAAGAAGAAAAAAATTGAGAATAAACTAAGAATGAGAAGATAACAAGAGACCAACCTTCTTCCATTAGTCCTGCAATCTGCTCATCCTTCTCCCTCAATACATCCATCATCTTAGCATCACTGACATTCTTCCTGTACCATAATGACAGCATACTATAATATTCATATATCCTACCCCACACACTGACTGTTGTGTATGTTCTTTTTCCCATATCAACACTTGTTTCTTTAAACTGTTCCTCTCCTATTGATTATGTATGTGATAAGTGTCTTTTAATAAGTGTATCACTCTTACTGTTGTTAATGTCTCCATGTTCTTCTCCAGTCTTTCTGAGTGCTCCTCTAGCTGTGCCTTTAGCTCTTGAGTAGCTTGTAACTCTTTCCTCACTTCTTGTAGCTCTCTAGCAAATAATAGAAAACATAATAAACAATTGAACTTTAAAATATGCTAAGATATACATAGGTAAAGTTATAAGTACATGAATGTACATGACAATAGCTTAAAAGCAGATATGAAATCAGCCATTTTAATCTACAATGTAAATGAATTGTTACTATAAGTGCATTCACCTTTGAGTGTCAAGTTGTTTCTCATGAAGTGACATTGTTTCTTGACTCATTTCCATCAGTTTTGTCTCTCTTGCTTCCAGTATGTGCTTTGTCTGTGCTAATTCCTAGAGCAACAAAAGAGAGAAGAGAAATGGAGAATCATAAAATAGAACAATCATAGCTTTACTTTAGTTAGTGTCTTAATCATATCAGAATCCTTTGCTGTCTCTCTTGTTCCAATGACAGGAGATGCTCTAACTTCACTAGTTGGACTATTATCATCTTGTCTTTCATTTGATTTATCATCCACTGTCTTGTCATTTCTCTTTGTTTCATCGCTACAAGTCTCGGGTTTAAATACTTCTTCATTCTCTACTACAACTGATTCAGGGTTGACAACACTATCCAGTACTACAGGGTCAGCCACTGGTTCTTTAACAAGTTTGACTGACTCACTTTCTAGTTTGACAGGTTCAGTTGCCAAGTCAACTTGTTCTGAAACAGGGTCTTTAGGATTTAGGGTATTTACTGCTTCCTGAGTCTCCAAGGACTCGTCTTCTCTCATATAAGTGGGTGGAGCTTCCTTTCTTGTATCATCAATAAGTTGTGTCTCTTCTTTCTTCTCCTGATCCTCATCTTTATGAATTTCAAGTACAGCTGGTTCTTTATTCTCTTCAGTAATTGATATACTATCCACAAGTTTCTTTTCATCATTAAATTGCAATTCTACTGATTCCATTTCTTCATGTTTAACATCATTAGTAGTATCAATATTAGCATCTGATGTAGTTGAGTTCATACTTGAAGCCGGTCCTAAAGGGTCTGATACAGTACTTGATTGAACAGGCTTTGAAGGGTCTGAAACTATTTTTGAAGGGTCCGAGATTATTTTCGAGTGTTCCAAGACTGCACTACATGTTTTAGGTGTTGATGTTAAAGCTGGTTTTTCAGTGAAATGAGATGACTGGCCGTGAGAGACAGCATCTTTATTGGGCGTGGCTTTTAATGAATCAGTAGGTGTGGCCTTCAAAGAACCAGTGGGTGTGGTTTTTGGCGAACTTGCATGTTTTCTATTACTCCTAGCCCCTCCTCCTCCAGTCGATAGTTTAGTTGATGACTGTGTCTTTCTAACTGATCCACTACTTGATCCACTTCTCTTTCCTTGAGGTGAAGGAGATCCCGTTGAACTCCAAAACGAGTCGGTTCCTCCCCAAGTACTTGAGAAATTATCGAAACTCTTTCCTTTAGAGACACTGTCACTATTAGCTTCTTTTGGATCTAATAAAAAATTAATGTTTAAGAAAAAAATTAATTATACAGCCCTCGTGAAGCAAAAATTTCGTCTAACAAAATGCCCGGACAAATCTGACAAACTTTTTGACCAACAAAATTTACGGTACTATATCCCCAATTTTATTGCAATCAGAAAAATGAATTTAAGTATATTATTAAAAATTTATTATACATAATATTTAGGATAGGTTACTTGATATTGTTGAATTATCACCTCCTGCTCCTTCTCCTTTCTCTCCCTCTTGCTCTGTCTCACTGATGTCAAGGACTTTGTCTATTGATTTCTGCGCCTGTGAGAAAGCTGTCTTTGCGAAGCTGAGACTAGAATCAAACCATGACATCTTTAACTTTTTTACCTAAGAAGGGGAGGAGAAGCTGTGCCCAGATGGGCAAGGTTCAATGAAGAAGATCACGCCTTAAACCATGTGGAGTCATCATTATCATCATCATCATCATCATGGCGAGTGATGATTTTGATGGAAAGACTGATACTCACGAGAATGACAGCACTGATACTAATGGCACTAGCATCATTATTGATGATGATGATCCTATTGTACAAGAAGTGAGTTGACTGCTCTCCCTTCGGCCTCTCATTCTGCCTCCTCTCTCTCTCTCTCTCTTTACCAGATACCAGTATACTTAGCCAAAGGGCTGGCCAATAATCTTTACTTGCTCCAAGTAGGTACAACAAGATGTCTCATTAATAGAACCAAACACTGCTTGTTTCTTTGCAGTATCCATTGCGTCCTGCCCACATGCCGTATGATGGTAAATCTGTATTGGAGACCAGAATGAAAGGAGAGCAACTGGAGATGACAATCGGCTTGGAGACAAGGGGAGCTGCTGGACAGCATTACTCACAAAGCAAAGGAATGCAATACTCAGGGCTTACTGGGTATGGCAATGCTGTATAGCAGGAAACTTTTGAGGGACTTAACTTTCACAGATCTGCCCAAAAAATTATTTTGTGGATTCTGCCATCTTATACCATGTTATTTAATTATTTTGATTTCGTGGATCTTAACGAAATCAATGAAAATTAAATCCCTTTAAAGTTTCCAGCTGTCCTCTGTAATTTTCTCACCTCCTCCTCCTCCTCCTCTCATGTAGTGGTGTAATGGACAAGATTGTACTATCATCACAGTCTTCAAAACCTGGTGACATGTCTCGGTATGTTGCTGGAGTTTTTAAAGACAGTGAGTTTCATCTTTACAGACAATATACATTCAAATTATTATTATCATTACTTAAAATATAATGTTATTTATTATTATTATTATTACTTATTATTATGTTATTTATTCCTTTTTGTTTGTGAATGAATCTATTACTTTAGATCAGATCCACTTAACTCCACTGAAGGGTATTGTCCAACTTCGTCCTTGTCTCCGTCACATTGAGAAACTTAATGAGAGTGGGCGTGTACCAGGAGCTGGTGGGGTAGGTGCAGTTAGTGATGGAGAAACAACAGCAACTGAGAGTGAAGAGGAAGAAGCTAAACCAGTCACTGTATGCTTCTCTTACTCGTATCCTTTAGGATCATCATCCCTTTTCTCTTCCTACTCTTCTTTTCCCTTTCCTCTCTCTCTCATTCCAGGTGAGGTTTGCTAAAGCTGGAGCGAAAGATAAACAAAAGGCCGAGCCTGAAGAACCTTGGAAAACTTTAAGCTACCACTCGCTTGAGGTGAACCTATTGATGATTGTTTCCTTGTATTTTTTCGCAATTACAGTCGAATGAAGCAACGGTTGAGAGAGAATTGCTGTTTGCTGGAGATGACAATCATACTGAGGAATTCTCAGTTACACCTAGGTTAATTTTATTAATTATTATTTATTATATAATTTCTATTGAAATTTTAAAATGAAAAGAAATTAAAAGTTAATGATTTTATCTTTTGTACTAGTGAATATCTGGATATGGTCTGTCCTGTTGAAACAATGCAGAAAAGGTTATTCCATTAATCTTATTATTATTATTATTATTATTATTATTATTATTATTATTATTATTATTATTATTATTATTATTATTATTATTATTATTATTATTATTATTATAGTGCTAGTCCTCTTGGCCCAAGTGATGTGTTGTCACTGACAACATTGAAGACATTACCTTATGAAAAACAAGTTATCGAACTTATGAAAAAAGGTATAAGTGAATAATGAGAATTGAGACATTAATGAAATAGGCAAGCAGTGTATAAAAAAACTATATTTTTCTCCCTGTTCTTTTTGCTATTCTTTTCTTTCTTATAATTATTTCTTTCCAGCTGTTGTCCTCTCGTTTGATTACGTGTGTATGCTCCTTAGCAGGGGCAAAGGGGAGAGAGGGTCAGTCCTCGAGTACCTCCAGAAATGTTCACTGTTAGTCCAGGGTTGCTGGGTGGTCCATTCAGCACTACTCCTCACAAAGGAGAGCTCTTCTTTAAGAAATGCTAGAGATTATATAGTACGTCTAAGCTAGCTATTTTATTTAGTTTGTTCTTAGTTGCAGTAGATTTGTTTTAATCAATACCCTTACTGTATGTATGTGTGTGAGATTAGCTTCTTTTTTTAAAATGCCCATAACTCGAAAAATATTTGTCGGAAACAGCTCAAACTTGCTACATAGCATAAGGACATCAATAAGTATTAAAAAATATAATAAAAATTTGGGGTCAATTTTTAGCCATTTTTTGGAAAAAACCATGGGCTATAGTACAGGGTATTTTTCCGAAAATTGAAGTTTTTAAAAAATGATCATAACTCAAAAAATATTTGTCGGAAACAGCTCAAACTTGCTAAATAGCATAAGGACATCAATAAGTATTAGAAAATGTAATAAAAATTTGGGGTGAATTTTTAGCCATTTTTTGGAAAAAACCATGGGCTATAGTACAGGGTATTTTTTCAAAATTTGGAGTTTTAAAAAAATGCCCATAACTCGAAAAATATTTGTCAGAAACAGCTCAAACTTGCTACATAGCATAAGGACATCAATAAGTATTAGAAAATGTAATAAAAATTTGGGGTGATTTTTTAGCCATTTTTTGGAAAAAACCATGGGCTATAGTACAGGGTATTTTTCCGAAATTTGGAGTTTTTAAAAAATGATCATAACTCAAAAAATATTTGTCGGAAACAGCTCAAACTTGCTACATAGCATAAGGACATCAATAAGTATTAGAAAATGTAATAAAAATTTGGGGTGATTTTTTAGCCATTTTTTGGAAAAAACCATGGGCTATAGTACAGGGTATTTTTCCGAAAATTGAAGTTTTTAAAAAATGACGCTAACTTGAAAAATATTTGTCGGAATCAGCTCAAACTTGCTACATAGCATAAGGAGATCAATGTGTATTAGAAAATGTGATAAAAATTTGGGGTGATTTTTTAGCCATTTTTTGGAAAAAAACCATGGGCTATAGTACAGGGTATTTTTCCGAAATTCAGAGTTTAAAAAAAAACGGCCATAACCCGAAAAATATTTGTCGGAAACAGCTCAAACTTGCTACATAGCATAAGGACATCAATAAGTATTAGAAAATGTAATAAAAATTTGGGGTGATTTTTTAGCCATTTTTTGGAAAAAACCATGGGCTATAGTACAGGGTATTTTTCCGAAAATTGAAGTTTTTAAAAAATGACGCTAACTTGAAAAATATTTGTCGGAATCAGCTCAAACTTGCTACATAGCATAAGGAGATCAATGTGTATTAGAAAATGTGATAAAAATTTGGGGTGATTTTTTAGCCATTTTTTGGAAAAAAACCATGGGCTATAGTACAGGGTATTTTTCCGAAATTCAGAGTTTTAAAAAAAACGGCCATAACCCGAAAAATATTTGTCGGAAACAGCTCAAACTTGCTACATAGCATAAGGACATCAATAAGTATTAGAAAATGTAATAAAAATTTGGGGTGATTTTGGAGCCATTTTTTGGAAAAAACCATGGGCTATAGCCTTTGCTATTTTTCGAAAATCAGTCAATTTTTGAAAATGACCATAACTCAAAAATATTTATCAGAGCTGTGCTCTTAATATGATGGAGGTGGAATATGCAATGATTGAGTTGTATTGATCTTTATCTCTCTCTTCTCTACTTCAGTTGTGGTGCTTTACCCAGCAGCACACCATCACTAGGAAGGACTTAGCTGCTGCACTAAAAGTAAGACTATCAAATCATTTTGTATGTGCATTATACTTCACATGGCACTATGTCATCATTTGGTAGCACTAAAGCATTCATTTATTTTAAAATAGCAATTTATTTTTAGCATTATAGTTTGATATAGTTTTATATTTCCAGATTACAACACAGCAGTTAAGAGATATATTAAAGCCGATTGCTTGTCAGAGACCTGAAGGAGGCTGGCAGTTTCGGATGGAGAGAGACCACGACTTCATAAGCAAGTGAGTTATGTACGATATAGGAAACATAATATTTTGTAGAGAATTATATAGTTTTAAAATATAAATTTGAAATAGGTATCCACAAGTTGTCTCTTCACAGGAGTCCTTATGGCAGAGGAGGCACACTGAGTAAGTCATTAGTGAACTGTGTACATGTACTTCTTATTACTGTTAGAGTGTGCAAATACATTATTATAATTTAATGTATAGTTGCAGCAAAGATCAAAGGCCTAACAGTTGTGATAAAACCCACAGAACACTTCCACCAATACCGCAGTGTGATATTATAAATAGCACACTCATTTATTTAATGTGCAGCAGTGTGATATCAGTGATAGCAGAGCACGTGCAATCTTTGCTGGAACTATACACTAAAACAATTAATACATGTGGCGTCGTGTGCTATCTGATTTATCCGCACTCGCTTCCGGTCTCGTCGCTAAAATAGCGCACTCGGCCTTCGGCCTCGTGCGCTATTTTAGCGACTTGACCGGAAGCTCGTGCGGATAAATCAGATAGAACACACCGCCCCATGTATTAACTATTACAAAATAAATCTTATCACAATATACAATGTACGTGTATATGATATTTTATTTGATATGGTGTGTGTTTATTTGGTAGGTTAGTGCAGGTATATGGTCTTGGTACTTCACCTTCAGCTCCTCTTTCCACAAGTGCCTCTGAAGGTAAGTTTTATTATTAGATGTAAGGGCATTCATACTATAACACTTTATGATACTCATTGGTACTATTATGGCAATGGCACTGTATTCTTGTTAAGGTAAAACAGCTTCAGGAAGTAGGACAAAATCATCTCAACCGTCAGAGGCTAAGATTGATTTCACTCCAGCGAGGACACGCCTCCTTCAGCCAAACCAGCTGGACGTCGATAGAACTGGATCCAATGCTAGTTCTTTGAAAGACTTTTGTCGGACGACAATAGGAAGAACTGTTGTATCATTTTCGGAGCTGAAGGAACGTTTACTGAGACACCAGTCGTCTTTAGCTAAAGATAATCCTATGCGGTAAGTGGGTTGGGCTAGAGGTGTGGCCAGTTATTAATGTTTATTGTTTCATCCTCAGAGGTCAAAATGTGACTAATGACCTGTTGGTTAGTACTCTTAAAGATGTCGGATGTGTTGAATTGGGACAGGCTCATTCTAAGAGGCTCTTCGTTATACCAAGCATTGGAGACCATACTGATCCAGTAAGGAAATTAGAATAAGAGAGTGAGAGAGAAAGGATGAAATTGAGAAGATCTGGCCACCATTTTGTCTTGGGTGATTGTCAAATTGATTTATAGTATCGCTTGGCGATCATTGATTTATTGAAAACGTCAAAGAGTTTAAAAAGGAAGCAGGTGGTAGACGCCATTAGCTCTCACAATGTCACGTTCGACAATAAAGTACTGACAAGTGTCCTAAGGGTAAGTCATCGTTACTGTATATGTGGGTTTCTTTGGTACGTTAGGACAAAGTTTTGTTCTTTTCATTTTTAAAGCTCAAAAAATAAAAACACAATATTTAGTGGGCACAGTCTTTTCACAGAATTAATTAAAAAGTTGCCTGCAAAACAAAAGTTTGACCTGACAAAGAAAGAAACTCACAGACTGTAATAATAAGATCTCTTGGTAATACACATATTCATGAACATGTGTGATGGTAAATTGTTGGCAGTAATGGCTCATCTAAGAAAGGAATTATTGTTCTTTTGTCTTTTTATTTCTTTTTATAGGATCTGTGTAACAGCAGAGGAGCTCAGTGGCATTTAAAGGGAACAATTTAATTAATTAATCAATAATAATAATAACTAGTATAAGTCAACAACACTTCAAAATTTACAATAAAAAATCAAAAAATTAATGAAACAATAATGATTCTACAAACAAATGGCACTAAAAATTTGATAATACCAATAATTAATAATAATAATAAAATCTAAAAATCAAATGAACATACACATTGTAACAATAATAACAACAATGATAACAAGGACTATAAGTTTATGTAATAATTTTAAACTAAAACTGCATTCATTAATTGGGAGGAAAAAGACAGAAGATAATAATAATAATAACAATAATAATAATTCATTTTATATTGACGCTATAGTCTAATAACTACTAATCAATGCGGGACGTAGAGCTCTGGATTTGTGAAAGAAAACCCGTCAAAAGCTTCCGGATCTATAGCTTCTATAACGTGTTTATCAACCGGAGAGAGAACGCACTTCTCTGATGTGAACTCCTTATCAAAATTATTATGAGACTTGTTACTTTTCTAGAAGATTAAAAAATCAAAATAAACACTAAATAAAGCATATTATATGCAATAGATGTACGTCATAATTCATTTAAAACCAGACAGAATGTAAAACATTGAGGGGCTCTGCCTCCTGGCCACACCTCCTAGTCACGCCCCCAAACGTACACATATATACATGTACGTACATACAGAAATTCTCATAAGTAAAGGCTTTGCCCAATAAAGATGAGCTAACATTATTTATTTTACAGAATTGATGTATATTACCCCAGCTTCCTCTCTGATACTCATTATGCAGGACACATGTGTACAATGTATATACAGTCATTGAAAAGATAGCCATAAAGAGTTGGTCTATGAGTAACTAGTATCAACAATGAGATGTTTGTCATTGGACTCTTATCACTACAGCTGTCGTACGCAAACATGTACAGTACAGTACAGTATATAATGAAATGAATCAAGTCATGTACATGTACATTAATGCCATTTACACAGAAATTCCCCCCTCATCCCTCCCAGTCAATTTAGCTATAAATCTCTTTCTATATTCTCTCTTATTCGTAGGCCACTGAACTAATAAATATACTTGGATTTTCCTGTTTCAGTTTACATAAATGTGACCTCTCATTTAACGTATTAACATCAGCATGCATGAGGATATAAATAATATACCAATGAAAATGACAATACATCACACTGTTTCATAATGCCCCCACAATCACAAACAACCACTATATGAACTACACTGATCAATATATACAGAGAAAGAGAATTGCTTACTGTTGCATGTAAATACGTGACAAATTATGTCACTCATTTGATAATAATCATCAACTTCCCTTCATACATACAGTACATAGTTAAACAATAGGCTATCATCAGATACATTTGGCTCTTGAAAGTTGCTGATAAAACTACATGTACATGTACATGTACATGTACATGTACATGTACATTTTTGCTGTGATGTGTGTATGCATAAGCTGGTACTAACTATTCTCGGCTTGTAAGGAGGTTTGAGTTCTTTGGCTTCAAGCTTCTCCCAGTCAATGCTTGCAAAGAAAGGATGACCTTTAATGTCACCAGGACTCTTGTGACGATCACAACCTAGTCTGTGACGAGGGTGTTTTGTAAGAAACTATAGCGAGAGAGAGAGAGAGAGAGAGAGAGAGAGAGAGAGAGAGAATCAAGAAAGAAAGGTTAAAGAAAAGAGAGAGAGAGAGAGAGAGTGAGGAAAAGAGAGAGAAAGTGCAGGTGAAAAGAAAAATACATGTACATAGTAAACATATAACTCCACTTTGATCTAATAAAAATGCATGTACATAGACACAACTTACTCCTTGAACAACTGATTTGGCATTCTCAGACATTCCACGAGGATAATGAACTGGTTTTTCCATGATATTATTAAACAGCTGGTCATCATCATCACCATCAAAAGGAGGCTACAATAATAATAATAATAATAATAATAATAATAATAATAATAATAATAATAATAATAAATGAAAAATAATAATAAATAAATAATAATAACTAGAAGAATGTAAAACATTAATGGGTTCAGCCCACAAGCCACGCTATCGTTATGCTATATGGCCTAGCTTTCTTGCTGCTGGAGAAGTTTTTGGACAGCAGTTTATCTTATCTTTCTGACTGTTTGCTGTAAATAAGCTGCCAATTATTTCATTGTTACCACACCCACTTTCAATGAAGATTAGGCTATTTAACTTTAATAATAGTTAGACAACCCTATGCCAGACGCACTTCATCACTAAGGGCTTCGCTGAATTAATTAACATTGATATTAAAGGGACTTACCCTCCCAATCAGCATCTCAAAAATAAGAACACCCAAGGCCCACCAGTCGACTGCTTGATCGTACGGTTGATAACTGATGATCTAGAGAGAGAGAGAGAGAGAGAGAGAGAGAGAGAGAGAGAGAGAGAGAGAGAGAGTGATGTACACTATGTAACATTCCTATCATGCTTTTTCTACTTATTTGATACCAAACACAATTAGTGAATGCGTATACACACACATACATTGTACATCTACTGACATACCAGCTCCATAAACTGACTCCTTTCATGTATTTGGGGCATACTAATAGCTG